GGGCTTCCAATACGGGGAGCCGGTAGATGGTTGATGAAGATGAGTAATGACGAAAACTAAAGCAAGACTCGGGGAAAAAAGTTTCTCATGAACCCCATGAAGATGGAGCAAGTTAGTTGACCTTCCTGAGTAGATGGCTTCTTATCCCCATCTTTAACAAGATCATTGTAAAACCCGGGCACCTGTGGCTCACAGCGTAATCACAATTCAAAGTCAGCATAGACGAACTCTGACATGTAATGAACCAACAAAAAGCCAGGAATAAGGCATGACTCAAGTGGTAGAGCACTAGCCTTGAGCAAAAGAGCCAAGTAAGAGCACAAAGGCCCTAAGTTCAGGCCCTAGTACCAGCACACATACAAAAAAATCAAGACCAAGTTGTAACTGACTACACAGATTTGCTATTAACTATAAGAGTAAGATGAAGTATAACTGGTCATCTTCCAATCCCCTGTCTTCTAGGCACACCTCCCATTCATAGGCAGAAGGAGAAGAATGAATAACTCTCTGAATTTTCACATCAAAAAGTCATTTAAGGGCTGGGAAGGTGGCTCAGTGGCAGAGTGCTTCCCTTCCATGCTTGAGGCCCTGGGTTCGATTCCTCAGCACCACATAAGCAGAAAGAGCCAGAAATGGTGCTGTGCCTCAAGTGGTAGAGTGCTCACCTTGAGTTGAATTGCTGAGAAACAGCATCCAGGCCCAGAGTTCAGGCCCCACAACCAACCAAAACACACACACACAGACACAAAGTCATTTAAATCTTTAGCCCATTTATTAATGGGGTTATTATTTCTTTGAGGATTTGTTTGGGGTGGTTATTTTTTTTAGCTCTAGGTATATTTTAGGTATGAGGTACTGCCTGATGCATAGCTAGTAAAGATCTTCTTCCAATCCGTGGGCTTTCTGTTTATGTTGCTAGCTATATCGTTTGCCATGCAGGAACTCTTCAGTTATCCAGCCTTTCATTGATTTGTTATGTTTCTGGATCTTTACTTAGGAAGTTTTGACCTGTGCCAGGGAGCCCTAGTGTTTCCCCTACCCCTTCCTGTAATATTTTCAGGATATCTGATCTTACATTGAGGTCTTTGATCCATTTGGATATGGAATCAACCCAGAATAGATCAAGAAAATGTGGTGTATATATACACAATGGCATCCTTCCATCAGAAAGAATGACATTGCCCCATTCTTAAGGAAATGGAAAGACTTGGAAAAATCATATTAAGAAAAATAAGCCAGACCCAGAGAAACGTAGGCTGCATGGTTTTCCTCTTTTGTATTAACTAGAATATGTCTAGGGTATTCTTAGGAGAGGAGTACAATAGCTCAATAGCTATGTACATTTGACCATATAAAATGATGCCTATTGAACGGAAACAAGGGTTTTTTTTGTTGTACTGTTTGCAGTTATTTCTTTTTTCTTTCTTTTTTCTCCTCTGGTTTGTTTCCTGTTGTCACTATTTTTGATTCCAGTATTCTTTGTCTTGTATATAAGTTTATTTGATTTGGGGAATCACAGAAATGGTAGGACAAAGGGTGAACCAATGCAACAGCGATACTCACTGGACACTATGTTGGAAATGAGCCTTACAACTTGTGGGGAGGGGGCTGGGAAGGTGGCTCAGTGGTAGAGCACTTGCCCTGCATGCCTGAGGCCCTGGGTTCGATTCCTCAGCACCACATAAGCAAAAAGAAAAAAGCCGGAAGTGGCGCTGTGGCTCAAGTGGTAGAGCGCTAGCCTTGAGCTGAAGAGATGAGCGACAGCGCCCAGGCCCAGAGTTCAGGCCCCATGACCGGACCAAAAAAAAAAAACCTTGTGGGGAAGGGTGCAGAAGAGGAAGATGTAGGAGAACGTGAGGGAGGGGGTAACACTGCTCAAAAAAAAATGAACTCATTACCTGACTTATGTAATTGTAACCCTTCTGTACATCGCCTTCACAATAAAATTTAAATTAAAAAAAAAAGTAATTTAAAAATGATATGATTGAGGCTAAGATCTGGGGATTGTGGCTCAAAGCCAGCCCAGGCAAAAAAGTCTATGAGCTGCTTATCTCCAATTAACCAGCAAAAGGCCAGAAGTGGGGGGTGTGGCTCAAATGGAAGAATGCTAGCTTTGAACAAAATTGTTCAGAGATAGCACCCAGACCCTGAGTCCAAGCTCCAGGACTTGGCCTCCAAAATTCATCCATCCATCCATATATATACACAAACGTACGTACATACATACATAAAATATGATCTAAACACTTTAAAGTACCTAATAACAAGGTTGCTTAATACAAGGCAGATTTTTTTCTTTCTGCCTTTATAGTACCTGAGCTGGGCGCCGGTGGCTCACACCTGTCATCCTAGCTACTCGGGAGGCAGAAAAGTCTGTGAGATGCTTATCTCCAATAAACCACTCAGAAAACCAGAAGTGGTGCTGTGGCTCAAGTGGTAGAGCACTCTCCTTGAGCTGAAGAGCTGAGGGACAGCGCCCAGGCCCAGAGACCAAGCCTCATGACCGACAAATATAAATAAATAAATATATATATATATATATATATATATATATACACACACATATACACATATACATATATACACACACATACACATATACATATATACATATATATACAAATACATACATACATACATATATATCATGCCTGAGATCTGAGCTTTCTGTAGATGTCTCTGAGGCTGGCGAGAGCACTAGTTTTATTTGTTGCTAAGACCAGGCACCCTCATCTGCTCTGGGTTAGAAACCCCGGGCCCAGTCGGGCCCTCTCGGTGGAAGGCATCCAGATGCGTCGTGTATACGCTGCACTTTAAAGTAGATGTATCCTGAAACGGATTCACTCCCTCCCCTTCATGTGTTGGGGAACAGCATGCATTCCCCAAATGCGGTGGAAAGGGGGCGATCGGGGTGCCCTGCCTCCTCGAATGGAGGGACAGGAGTTCCCACCATGGTGGTTGAGCTGTGAACAGCTGACCACAGGATGGGAATTCCACATGGAGCTCAGGGGCCAGCCTTGCTGCGTGCTGGTGCCCCGGTGGAGCCCCAGCCCCGACACCAGGACAGAAGGAGGGGACTGCTCAGAATGAGAGAAAAGGAAGAAAGATGGGAGTAGTTGCTAGGAAGGGGCACTCTACTTCTAGGCTAAGGTACTTTCAGGGGTCACACAGAGCCAGAGCCCGCCTGGCTGAGCCTGAATGTGGGAGGTGGGGTCAGCCCTGGCCACAGGGGAGAAGCAGGGAGATGGACGCTCTGGTCGGTCCCGTGAGGACGGAGGGGAGGGAGGGGGCCAAGGATTGTGCAGAAATCCATGGATGGCATCCCTACCTGGGCCTGAGCCCAGCGGGGCCTGGGCTCTCTCTCCTTCACCTTCTCCCCCTGCTCTGCCTTAGGGGGCCTCCGCCTTCAGGCCTCAGCTGATATCCTGACCCTGCCATTTCCACCCAACGTGGCTCTGCCATCTGTCTGTCTGCTTTTCTCCAGTCCCTGGCCCTTGAAGCCAGTCACTCTCAGGTCTTCTTCAAACCCTGGCTGGGTGGTCTGGCTTCCAGGCTTCCAAACCCAGGGCGCTCCCCGCACTGGCCTTCTGCCTTCCCCAAGAATGGTCATTAAGTGGAAAACTTGATTCCCTCCCTCAAAGACAGGAAGTCCGTACAGCAGGGGCTGCCTCTCACAGCTCATGCCGGACCATGCTGAGCTGACCCCAGGCCCTGACCTCACCCATCCCCATTCCTGAGCATGCTGCACTCCCGTGGGCCTTCACACGCATCCTCACTGACACACACTGTCACACGCATTCACACATGCTCGCACTTGTTCACACCATGCCCATTCACACCATACATACATGCATACTCACACACCTTCATGCATGCATGCACACATACACATGCTGTCATGCATTTACACACCACGCACTCATTCACACACATGCACATGCATGTTCACACACACCTTCACATCATGCATATACGCATGCACTCACAATTCATGCGTGCATACTCACACACCTGCTCATTCACACACATGCGCACACACATGCCCATTTACATACATACACTCACGTGTGCGTTCACACATTCACATTTACACACGTGTGCACTAACTCATGCACAGCCACACATGTACTCACACACATGCACTCATGCTCATGCACATGCATACACCTATGCATGCACGCACACACACACACACACACACACACACACACGTTTTCCACTTTCCCCTCAAGGGTCACCTCCATGGGACCAGCATCCATCCCCACCTGACAGAGAGGTCATTGCACTCTCTATCACCACATCTGGTTTTGTCCTTCCCATTCATTCCTTCAAATTAGTCCTTGCGTTCTCGTCCATTTGTCTACATGTCTCCTCACCTTTCTTTCTGCGAGGCTGTGAGCTCTGAGGCGTGGGGCTTGGCACTGACGTCTGGTGTGGCATGGCAGGAGCTGACCCGCCCTTCCTTCCCTCTGCATCCAAGGACCAGGTGGAGTGGGAGACACTCCTCTCCCCACGCCCCACTTGTACTCCTTCCCCCCGCATCACACACGGGCAGCTGGCCTGGGCTCTTCAGCTTCCCCTCCCTCCTCCAGCGCCTTGGAGGTTTTTAAACATAGCCATGATCTTAGGAAAGCCGGCGTCAGAGTCCAAGCTAGACATAGAATAACTTATATTGCTTTGGCATTTAGCTGTATGCAGTGTAGAAAAAATAATAGGAGCATATTCTAGAGTTTCTGTACAGGCATCTTCCAGTCCAATATGACCAAATTATTTTCATGAGGGTGGATGGAAAGAGGGTTCCATTGTGAAATACCGTGGTGGGAGGGGGGGATTTTTGGTTTGAAAATTGAAATGATGGGATCTTTAGGCCATGACCTGAGTTCACAGTACAAAAGAAGGAAGGCGCATGCCCAAGTGAGCCAGGGAAAAGAAGTGGAATCTATGTGGGTCGGGATTTCGATGGTTCGGGAGGGGAGGTGATGATGTACTTCTCTCTGCAGATGTCGGAGGACAAGCTGAAGATGGAGAAAGACAAGGGGAAGGCCAAGTCCCCCAAGGAGAAAAAGGGCAGCTCCCCCAAGGCCACCAAGGGCAGGGGCAAGGAGCAGCCCGAGTCCATCGCCACCATGAAAAAGCCCACCCAGCTGAAGCGTAGGGGAGAGGAGGACGAGAGGAAAGCTTACATCGGTCAGTAGCACACTGCTTCCGTTTTCCTGTGCAGAATGGTCGTGATGGTGGTATGCATCTGTGTGTGGTGTCTGTGCGTGCGTGCATGCGTGCATGCATGTGTATGTGTGTTTGCTGGGACTGGGGCTTGGACTTGGAGTCCCATGCTCTCACTTGGCTTGTTCATTCAAGGCCAGTGCTCTACCACCTGAGCCTCATCTCCATTTCTGTTTTCTTTTTGCTGCTGAATTGGAGATCAAGGTCTCTTGGAGCCAGGCACTGGTGGCTTTCACCTGTAACCCTAGCCACTCGGGAAGATCTCCAACAAGCCAGCAAAAAACCATATGCAGAGCTGTGGTGAAACGTGCGCTGTGTATTTAATCTTTTTAACGTCACAAACGCATCCTGGCCGCATGGCTGAGCTCAGCACACAGGCCGGCTCTCCCGCACTCTACACAGAGCTACACTCAGAACTTGGGCAAGGAGCACATTCACATCCAATATTTCCCTCTTCTGTAAACACCTCTCCTTATAAAATACTGCAGAGCTGCAGCTACTTGTAATTCAGGAGCAAAGCCAGATGTTGCTCAAGAGAGATTAGAACCCAGGAAAAAAAAATCCCAGGCTCCACTCTGACCACACACACACACACACACACACACACACACACATTCTCCAAGCCCCCAGGCCCTGTGTTAGCTTCGTCCTCCTCTTTCCACCTCCGTCTCATTTGCAAAAGTGATTTACTATTTTGTAAAATGGCCACGGAGTTCTTCCTGTGAGAGCGATAATGAGAGTCAGCAACACCTCCCCCCCCCCCCCCCCCCCCCGGGTGGCCGAGAGGACCCAGTGTGTGTGCATTGGCCCCACCCCGCCATGCCCGCCCCACCTACAGCTTGCCCTCTGCCGGCTGCTCTGCTTTATGCTATTCTGAACAGATGATGAACCTGACGATGGCGCCCAACATTACATTATCGTGGTTGGCTTTAGAAACCCTCAGCTCTTAGCCATCATGACGGAGCTCGGCATTCCCATCACCAGCGTCATTAAAATATCTTCAGAGAATTACGCTCCTCTGCGGAGCCACCTGGCAGAGCTAAACGTGCAGCAAGAGGCTTTGCTTCTGCCGGAAGGTAAGCAGCCTGCCATACTACTTGTCCAATCTGCCCATGTTCCCTGCTGTTCTTAAAGGTCCCAAACCTAGACCTACCATACGGCCACTATTCAGTCCTTTCAAGGCTCTGATTTGCTGTTCATTCTACTTGGAGCAACCAAGAGCCATACATTGTGCACATGAAAATCAGACTGTGTTAAACAGGGAACGCAGACCCAAAGGCTGGGCTGTCCAGCTACATGTCTCGGGAGTGTTGATCTGCAATGGGCTGGGTGGATGCCCGCTGACCATCCATTCTTCCAGACTCCCAGCACCAAAGGGCTTGAGCAAGATCCCAGGCTCACCTTCTTGCCCCTGGCTCCCTGTGACAAGTCCAGGGCGTTCTGTCTCCTAGCCCTCAAGCCAAGAACGGGTAGATGGAATCCCAGACCTGGCACCAGGGAATCATCCCGCTCCCTCTCAGCCCTGGGGTCATCATGCTCAACATTGCACTCCATGCCTGCTCCCCTCCCCGGCCTGGCGCTGCCTTCCGCACCCCCCGTCCCCCGGACTAGACTGGAAAGCTGCCACGGTCTCCAGGTAACAGCCCAGGACTCAGTTCTGGTCTGTGCCTCCCGAAGTCCCAGCCTTCCTGCTTTGATTGTCATTCATGGATATTAGTCGCACGGTGCTCTGTAGCATTCACAGCCACATCCTGATTCCAGCAGCACTACACTTCTTTCCTGCTGTCGCTTTTCAGAGGAAGTCCTCACTACTCCTGGGCCCAGGATTTAAAACTAGCTTGAGGCCAAGGTTTCCAAATGCGTGGACTCAGCCATTCTCACGCAACCATGGAAGTGTGTATTTTTCCCCCATTTTGCCAAAAAGAATTCTACTCTCAGAGACAATTATTAAGTAAAAGAGTTGAGGTCCAAACCCAGGCTACTCCCGACTGTCACACAGGACAGTCAGGTAGATTACTGTTTTCTTAAATATTGTTATTGTCTTTGAGTAGTTGTACGAAGGAGTTGCCTTTAAACAAAGCAGTTGATGAGGTTAGAATTATTTACTCCTGACTCTGGTGACAATACGCTGCATGGGTATCAAGACATATTCTCTTTATAAGCACCTCTGTGTGCAAAAGAAATTAATATAAAAGTAGACTTTACAATAAAATAAGCGAGCTCTTAGTAGCAGGGCCCACTACGGAGTCGTAGGTGTAATTGTAATCAATGTAATACCGCAGGCAAAATTTCACGTGTAACTTTATAGAAATCTGTCAGTATTTGACAGAAAGCAAGTGCCCACAGAAGAGTGTATCTGTTCTCATAGATCCAAAAGTTACCAGAAGCATAAATCGCTGGCCCAGACTAGTTTTAGTCATGTGAGAAGAAATGAGTCAACGGTACTTTCTGCTCACGTCACTGTAGTTTTGGTGGTACCTCGGTTTGAACTTAGGGCTTTTGGCTTGTTAAGAAGTCATGCTACACAGTCACACTTCTCAGCCATCTGCATTTTTGACTAACAAATGTGGTCACAAAGTCAGTTGGCTGCACGTTGATGCAAAAGTTTGGTCTTACATTGATACAATCTAATTGCGATGGAAATCTTAATCATCTTTACGCTTCACAACGTGTGACCTACAGCAGAACCTTCCTGTGCCTTCACCATGAAATGAAGAGGTAGGATAACTCATATTTAATATCAAACTCTTTTGGTTTTATAATCTTGTTGGACACTTTCACAGACTTCCCCAAGCTACATCTCTTTGTTCGCATGTTTCTGCTACATAAACATACCTTGTAACACCCGTGACTCACTACATCTGGTTAGAGTGGGAAGAAATTCAATGCTCTCATTTCATAGTAAAACTTGTTGCTATTTTTAGAAATAGAAGCTGAAAATCTGAAGAGAAGGAAAGCCATAAGGGAACTTGAAATTTTCTGGAAGTACCTGGAACCAATCCTAAATAATGACAAACCTGAAACAAATCTCTTTGATGTGGCACGACTGGAATGCATGGTCAAAGCCATGGATTTTCCTTCCGACTGGTCAAACCTTGGGATGATGGTTAGTGCCCACCTTTGGGAGAATACGGGGTTCCAACATACCTGGGTGATGCGTTTGCTGTGTTCTTTCCTCCCACATTCGACTCCCGCGCACTGCTGGTGCTGCTTAACCTTCCAAATCACCGACTATCCAGGATGGTAACCGTCAGATTCTTAGTATATGACTTGATGATAAAGAGTAAAGACAGCCAAGCACAGGTGGCTCATGCCTGTAATCCTAGCTACTCAGGAAGGAGGCTGAGATCTGAGGATCGAGGTTCAAAGCCAACCTGGGCAGGAAAGTCCATGAGACTCTTATCATAAATAAATAAATACCCAGCAAATAAATAAATATCCAGAAGTGCAGGTGTGGCTCAAGTGGTAGAGTGCCAGCCTTGAGCAGAAGAGCTCTGCAAGAGCTTAAGGCCTTGAGTTCATGTTCCAGTACCAGCATAAGAATAAATGAAAAAGTGGTAGTAGCTGCTATATTTTACATCCCGCCCCCCAAACACAAATAAAAAAATACTAGAAGATGTTCGAAGAGTTTAGACTGAAACTTTATAGCAAAAAAAAAAAATTAGCAGCTTAATTGAAGTACTGGTTCTTAGAGAACATTCTTGGCTTCAGATCTAGAAGATTCTAGACCAGTATTGTTTAGTTGGGCCAGGAAAACACTCAGCTCTCTAGAGAGCTATCAAGGCCTGTGTGGCCCCGCTGGTCCCTCGGCAGCCAATCTGCAGAAGGGCTGAGCGTCCTCGTTGCTCCAGGCATTAGTCTGGGTCCAGCTATAGAAATCTTAGAAAGCCCAGGCCGGCTTCTCTGCGAGCTCCGGTCACTGGAGGTGCTAGGGTGACCTCAGAGGCTGCTCAGCAATGAAAGTGAATTCCAACATAAATTACCCACAACATTTGGGGGGAGGTTGAACTCAAGGTCTTGTACTCTCAGCTTGCTTGCTCATGGCTGGTGCTCTACCACTTGAGCCAATGTCTCCAGACCAGTTTTTTGCTAATTAGCGATAGAATCTCACAGGCTCTTCTGCTGAGGCTGGTTTCAAGCTGAGGTTCTCAGATCTCTAGCTCCAGAGGAGCTAGGATTACAGGCGTGAGCCACTGATGCCACACACACACCCACTCAAGTTCATTTTAAACTTAGGATCACTTAATAAACATAAAGGTGACAAACCTCTAACAGAAACAGAGCACATTCATAGTACCATGCTCTCGCCTGTTATCTGCAAGTTCACAGCCGCCTCGTATTCAGCACAGGAGCCAGCCACCTGGTCCTTGTCCTTCCTGTTTGGATGAAAGCATTGTGATCTTCGGTGGCAAACGGTCAGTCAGGCTGTATTTCTGCAGGAGAAAGGTCACAAAACCCTGACATCAAAAAATAAATGCCCATTGAAACGAGCTAAGGCCTCATGAGAGACCTTTGCAGCGTCTCAATTTTAAACTCTGGCTGTGGAAATCGCTTTCTGAGGCCTTATGCATAGCATTGCTGTTGGATATTCAAGTGACAAGATGTCCAAGAAACACAAGTGCAGGGTTCTCTCTGTTAGAATTTAGGCAGAGAATACCAGGAGAAAGGGGAACGGAAATCTCTCAGTCTTGGTGTGAAGTCCCTCACGTGAGAGAGAAGGTCAGGTGTGCTAGGAGGACAGGCTGTGCCTCCTGCTGCGCTAGCTCCAGACTCTGATTGGCCGGCCCACGGAGGCCATCTGGCGTCCCTCACTCCCTCAGCTCAGTCCCAGAGCAGCCTGGGTAATCCTGCCTTGCGGCAATCAGTGTTTTCCTACTCAAGAAATAAAACCAACTGACCGGTAATTTGTGTGCCAGCCCATAAAACGTGGGAGTTAGAGAAACCACACCTGGGTGATTTCTTGACCAGTTTTCCCTCAAGATAGCACAAGAGAAGGGAAGGAGGGGGGATGGAGGCTGAGTGTACACTCACCGTTGCGTTCTTGGGTGGGCGACCCTCAAAGCTGCACGGCCTCTGCCTAGCCCAGCAGTGAAGCATCTATCGCTTGCCTTGGGCTAAGGTAGAAACACCCCCCTAACACATTCAAGCAACTGAGAAACTAAACACACAGGCCAGTGGTTCACATCTGTGGTCAGCTACTCAAGAGGCTGAGATCTGAGAATCACGGTTCAAAACCAGCCAGGGCTGGAAAAGCTGTGAGAGACTCTTGCCTCCAATTAGCCAGCAAAACTTGGCAAGTGGAGGTGTGGTTCAAGAGGTTGGGCTCCAGCCTTGCAGTAAATAAAGGACAGTGCCCAGGCCCTGGGTTTAAGCCCTAGGACCGACACCAAATAACAACATCAAAACCCAATAGTCCAGAGTGCAGAGCTCGATGCTTGTTGGTTTGCAGTTAGTACTCACTGACCTCTCTTCCACCAGCCTAAGGGAGCAGTCTGCACTATAATGAGCAGGGAGCAAGAAAGGGTTCTAGGCTGAGGATGGCTGCCAAGGCCGGTGATCCCTAAGAGACACACAAGTGGAACTCTCTGCTTCCAGTACGCTGTCTCTTGTGTAGGTGGAGCTGGGCACAGTGATTTTTGAAGACGTGGCCTGTTTGATGTATGACAGCCTGGACTGGAAGAGGCAACATCAGCACTATCTGAGAAACATGCAGATCATCAACATCCCGCAAGTGACCAGCGAGAAAGCTGCACTAGAATCCATACCAGAGGTAGGCTCTAGCCCACGGGTGGGCTGTGATAACATGACCCACGCTGAATGCTAGCACTGTGTGCAACGCTGCCAACCCCGCTGCGAAGATTCCCTCTCCTCACTGAGGCTGACTATTGACTATGCATGCATTCATGTATGGCTGAACCTGTGGCCTGGGTGCTGTCCCTTGGCTTTTTCACTCAGGGCCGATGCTCTACCACTTGAGCCACACCTTCAGTCCTGGCTTTTGGCTGGTTAATTGGAAGCAAGAGTCTCATGGACTTTTCTACCTGGGCTGCCTTTGAATCTGGGTCCTTGGGTCTCACTCGGCCCCCTGAGGAGCTGGGATCACTCGCCTGAGTGCTCCAAGTCCTACTGAGCTCGTGAGGCCCGGCTCTCAGGTGATTGGTCTCCATGATTCTTACTCCAGACCTCACCGCCTGTGGTCCCCACCCTTACAAAGAAGAAAGTGTTGAGCGAAGAGCAACCAGCTTCACACTCAGTGCCTCCAGGCGAGTATGAAAACTGTGGCTGGAGGCCCAGCCTCCGAGGCTGCATCTTGGGGAACATGACGGCCTCTGCCCTCCACGTTGCTTCCGGCTTCTCCTCCATCTGTGGTTCCCATGAGTAGGGGCAAAGAGCGAACGCATGCATGAGCATTTCCTTTAGGCCATACTGGGTTTTCAACTCAGGGTCTTCTCAGGCTTGCTACATAGGTGCTCTGTCACTTGAGCCATGGCCCCAGTCCCTTTCTGCTTTTTGCAGATAGGGGTCCTTCTTTTAGCCCGGGGTCAGCCTGAGACATGATCCTCCTACCTAAGCCTCTCCTATAGCTGGATGTATAGCCATGAACCACCCCTAGTCTGACTCTCTGTTGAGATGGGGTTTCTGCTAACTTTGTGCCTGGGCTGACCTCAAACTGTGATCCTCCTGATCTCTGTCTCCTAAGTAGGCTGAACCACAGGTGTGAGCCACCATGCCCGGTCTATATTTACACTGGGAAATTTTGGCAGAAGAAATGAAGAACATACAGTAATTGTGTGTTTTTCCGTAGCTTCCGTCAGCGGTGTGGAAGTTGACATGAGGTATTACAACGACCTGATGAACCCCATTCCAGAGGAGTTTGTTTCCATCCCCCTCATCATGCACTGCATCCTGGAACAGGTGAGCACACCCACTGCCTCTCCAGACCCACGCTGGGCCCATCAGCCCGCAAGCATGAGGATATTTCTAGAATTCCTAAGCTTCGGCCTTCTGTCTTTTGTTCTGCTGTGGAAGAGTTCACATAGCATTTCCCAGCATTTTGGTAGAACACATCCCTTAAAAAAAAAAAAGTCACCATGTAGACGGAGCTCAGTGGCTCACACCTGTGATCCTGGCCACCTGCGGGGCAGAGACTATAATGGTCACGATTCAAGACCAGCCTGGGCAAAGTTTTCAAGGCCTCATCTTCACATCAGTAACAGAAAAAGAGTCGGTGTACCAGTGCAGGCCTGTTGTCCCAGCTATGAGAGACGCCCAGATAGGAAGCCCTGAGGCTGGGCCAGGGCACAAGGCTGACGGCTGTATCTTAAACACAACTACAAAAAGAACAGTGGCTGCAAGTGTAGCTCAAGCAGTAGAGTGGCTGCCTAGCAATTGTTAAGGCCCTGAGTTCAAAACTCAGTACTGGCCAAAAATTTTTTTAAAAAATCACAACAGCAACAAAACCTGTATGTGCCTCATATCGTTTTAGTAAAAAGAGGAAGAAGACAGGAACAAGTAGATGGCTAATATTCTGCAACTCAAGTCTTCAAACGTTTCTTTCTATTGTTTGAAGAGACTTTTCATAGTACTTGGATTTTTATATAAATAAATAGTCCCTTTTCTTCTAATACTGCTGCTGACGGAGGGCTGAGATCACCTCTCCTGGTGCAGCTGCTAGGGTTTTTTCTTTTTGAGGTTTACTGTCTGCCGTTTGCATTTTTGGTGTTGGTGTCAGTGCCGGCGTTTCCTGCCCCGGCCAGGGCCCTGCCTGTCCTTTGGCCATGCAGCTGGTTCCACCTCTCTCATGGCGCCGTCAGAAAAGGAAGTAGCTGGGCATACATGACACTAAGTTCCCCCCTGCCTGGTTTTCTCAATAGGTTGTGGCCAGTGAGGAGGATCGTGTCCCCCCAAGCCTGGTGGAGCTGCCCCCCAGAGCCGACGGGCTGGACCACAGGGTGGCCGCCCACATGGTCTCCATCCTGCCCTCCCTCTGCCTCACCGAGAAGGAGAGAAAGGTCAGACCGTGCGAGACAGCCAGCGTGGGTCCTGCTCTCAAAAGCACCCATATGATCTCTTTAAATCCCTTCTGTTTCGATTTTACTAGAATCTCCGTGAACTATTCTCATCTGAAGAGGAAAGCAAGAGCAAGGCAGTGCCCAAAGGGCCGCTCCTCCTGAACTACCATGACATCCTCGCCCACAAGAAGTACGCGCTGAAGGTAGCAACACGTTGGGCAAAGCACAAGTGCTCTTCAGCAGCCAATGCAATGTCAGCTAGAAAACATCGCCCATGTTGATAAAATTTAACACGTAGCCGAGCACTGGGGACACAAACTTGTCACCCTAGCTACTCAGGAGGCTGAGCCCTAGAGGATCATAGTTCAAAGCCAGCTCGGGTAGAAAAGTTGACAAGATACTAGCTCCAAAATGACCAGGACGGAAGTGGCGCTGTGGCTCAAGTGGTAGAGCGCTTGCTTTGAGCTGAAGAGCTGAGGGACAGTGCCCAGGCCCAGAGTTCAAGCCCCACGGCCAACCCAAAAAAAAAAAAAAAATGACCAGGAAAAAAATGCTGGAGGAGGTATGGCTCAAGTGGTGGAATCTCACCCAAGCAAGCAAGCAAGCTGAGTGAGCACCAGGCACTGAGTTTAAACTCTGTACCACCAAAAGGAAAATGCAATGAGCAGTAGAGAGAGAAATAAGCAGGCAGGCAGGCAGGCACGCACGCATGCACGCACACACACACACACACACACACACACACACACATATAATGAGCAATGTAGTGTCTCAGAAAATTGAAACACAAGGGAGAAATTACAACAGCAAAGAAAACCTGCCTGGGAACCCATCAGGTTAGTTAACACTGGGCAATTCTGACTACCGCCAAATCTGCATCAAAACTCCATTGGTATTTTCTGACACAGGATGTGCACACATATGAGGTCTTGGCAGGGGAAGTCAGGAGTTACATGGGCACCATGAATGTCTGGCTGAGGAGGAGCTAGCTTTCCTGACCTGCAGCCACTGACACGGAGGCCTCGCTTCTCACTTGAGTTGCCAGACTAGTGAAGGGATTCCGGCGCTCAGGCCGGCTGGCTCTAACGGCCCCTTGTCACACTGCTTTTCTGTCAGGACCAGCAGTATTTTGACCCGATCCAAATTGAGCAGGAAATGCGAGCCAAGTCTCCGTTGTGGGATTGCCTTCAGTTCCCTCTGCCACCGCCGTGGAACAGCACCAGGCGCCTCGCCACGATCCACGAGCTCATGCACTTCTGCACCAGTGGTAAGTGCACCGGGGTGTCCTGGCACAGACATACTTCAAGTCATGGTCATGGTGCCCCCCCCTTAAATCCCACTCTCAGCCGGGAGCCAGTGGCTCGTGCCTGTCACCTTAGCTACTCAGGAGGCTGAGATCTGAGGATCATGGCTCAAAACCAGGCCGAGCAGCAAGGTCTGTGAGACTCTTATATCCAATTGACCACCAGAAAACTGGAAGTGGCTCTGTGGCTCAAAGTGATAAAGTACAAACCTTGAGCAAAAAAGCTCAAGGTCAGCACCCCAGGTCCTGAGTTCAAGGTCCATGACAAGCAAAAAACAAAAACAAAAAAGAAACAGAAACAATGTTCTGATCACTAAGGCAGACAGACATTTTGATGGACCACAACTTTTCTTACCTTGAGTAATCTCATATCAGTGGTATGATGCTTGTGGTGTATAGTGTCCTACAATTGGATGTACTAAGTTTTCTTTTCTCTGCATTTCCTTAATCAGAATAAACTCCCTTCCTTCCTTCCTTGCTTCCTTCCCTCTTTCTTCCTTCCCTCCCTCTTTCCATTTCTGCTTCCTTAATTTCTCCTTCTTCCTTTCCTCCTCAATTCATTCCTTCTTCTCCTCCTCTGTCCCTTCCTTATTTCTCCTTCCCTTCCTTCCTTTGTTCCTTCTTTGTTCCTTCTCCTTCCTTCCTTCTTTCAGCTTTTTTGCTTATGTGTGGTGTTCTACCATTTCAGTCATGCTTCCAGTCCCTCTTTTTGCTGGTTAATTGGATATTGAGTCTTTGGAGCTGTAGCCCAGATGAGTTCTGAAGTTCTGTTCTCCAAACCTCAACCTCCTAAATAGTTAGGATGACAAGCATGAGCCACCAGCCCAGGGAAAAAGTAGAAAGCAGCAGTTTGTCAGGGGAGGAGGCCTTTCCTGAACCTAAATGAACAGGAAATTCTACTGAATGTAATAGCCTGGGCTAGACACAGTGAATTACCTCTCTGGCATAAATTATAACAGCATTAAATGGTACATTCACTCTAAAATAAGCTTTAAGCATAACCAACATGGTGCCTTGGAGAGTGCATGCAGATGAAGGTGGCTGGCACTGGACCACGTGGCCCTTTGCTCTATTATGTCTTCATGGTGTAGCTTGCTTACTGTTGGGGACCTTTGGTGATTGTTGCAAGCTTGTAGAGACCAGGTTCAGTCAGGCCAGCACCGCCCTGGCACCAAGTCCTTATTATCATCCTGGTCAGCAGAGCCCTTGTGTGTCCCTCGGCCCCTTTGCCCCACACCATCTGCTCCTGCTTCCTTTCAGATGTTCTGAGCTGGAATGAAGTAGAACGGGCCTTTAAAATATTCACCTTCGAGAGCCTGAAGCTCTCCGAGGTGGATGAGGACGGGATTCTGCAGCCTTCGGGGATGACGCACACCACTGAGGCTGAGACGGTCAACATTCCGTGGGACAACCCTGCCAGGTTTGCCAGGCAGATCCGAGAGAGCCGCCTGCAGCAGGCCCAGAGATACGCGGAAGAGGCCAGGCAGAAACTGGCATATCAGAAAGGTGTGGCCGGAGAGGAAAAGCACACTCGCAGTGAATAAAGCACACCTGCAGTGACTAGCTGCCGGTCTCCCCAGGCCCGCCCTTAACCAAGCCTCTTTGTATTGCCCAGACACCAACCTTAAAGACAAAATCCTCTTCGTGGACCAGGATTGGATAACAGCTGAGCCTGACGGTGGTGAGAACAATGAAAATCTCTCAGCCCCAGCTCAGTCAGATGCTGACAGCAAGAAACCATCCGAGCAGAGGACTATGAGGTCTTCAGACCCTGAGAGCAGGGACCTGACCCAGCTGGAAGTCGACACAAGCACGATTACCATGTCTTTGGGTGAGTAAACATGTGAGTAATCAAAGGCCTGGGTACCCGTGGCTCACACGTGCAATCCCAACTCCTCTCTCAGAGGTTGAGAGCAGAGGATAGTAGTCTGAAGTCAAGAGTCCCTAAACAAAATAGCCAGCAAAAAATGGGGCTGGGGGCATGGCCCAAGTGATAGAACACCAGCCAAGTAAGTACCTGAATTTAAACCCTAACACCACACACACACACACACACACACACACACACACACACACACACACAATCAAATGCATGAGAGGGAAAATAAAAATAAAAGAACCAAGAAAAGATAAGAAAATACAAGGTGGGCTATTTAAATTTCATTTGCTCACTTTGGTTGCAAAACCAACACCTAAGTTATTTTCCCTGAGTATTTTCAGTCCTCTTTATTCAACACATTTCAGAACACCATATGACATCTTAGAACATTCTTCCTTTAGAAAATTTAACACAACAAACAAAACTAACACTTTCATCATTGTTATTTCACCAGTTATGGCGATTCAACACTGATATATCTAAGAATTACTTGTAATGGCACAATGACATGCTTGGCAGAGGGCTTGGTACAAACAGAGGGGTCGGCGGACATCTCCCTCCCTCCCTCTCCCCCTTTTAGCTTCCTTCCATCATCATCTATATTCTAGAGTATAGCATTATAAACAGTGTTACTCTAGGAGAAACAAGCATAAACTTAAATGAGGTCAGTTTTGTATTGTCCTGCCTTATACCCAGCTTTTAGATGAATCTAACTAAAATAGAGCTGCTTTATTCTCTGCTGATAACCTCCCACCACCCTGACCTGACACCTTCAAAGCAGACCTCACCTCTGCCCACTTCCTGTGCTTCTGCAGTAATACCAAATAACTTTCTCCTTTGCCTTTTTGCTCACTCATTCTCTGCTCTGTCAAACACAACACTGGTACCTGTGGCTCACGCCTGTAATCCTAGCTACTCAGGAGACTTGGTATCTGGGTCATGATCCAAAGCCAACCTAAGGCAGAAAAGCTGTCAAGACTCCAAAGTTAATTAACCAGCAAATAACCAGGCTGAAGGCGTGCCTCAAGTGGTAGAGCACCAGCCCAGGGAGTTTGAGGTCCTTAGTTCAAACCCCAGTATCACCAAGGGGAAAAGTGTAAATCAATGAAATATAAAACATAAATATTGGAGGAAGACTTTTTTAATATAGAAGTTACATTATTTGAAAATGAATATTAATAAATCCCTTATACAAGGCTGTTTATTAAAAAAAGGCACAGCCATACCAGGAATAAAGTCATTATCATAAATAAAATCCTATCATCAGGTGCTGGGAGTTTCTGATATCATTTGTCTTTATGGCATGACTTTATCATTTGCTGCAGGTGCTGGCATATGCCTTTAATCCCAGGTATATCAAAACCTGGAAGCAGGAAGCTACCCAGGGCAAAAGTGTGAGGCCCTGTCGGAAAAACAAACTAAAAGCAAAAGAGCTGGGGGCATGATTCAGATGGTACCAAGGATAAGGCCTAAGTTAAATCCCCAGACCAAAAGCAAAAGTTGTGTCAGAGATAAAGAAAGGGACATCACTCAGGTCCTACAGACAGCAAAAAGATAGAACAGGAACATGAACAACTTTATCCCACTACAATTGGGAATGCAATGGGCAAAGTACTGGAAAGGTATATCTTGCCAAATAAAATGATTCAATAAGAAAGAGGAAACTTGAGTGGTCCATAACTGATTCAGTTGCTCACAAATCCTTCCAGATAGACCACACCCAGCCCAAATTATCTCACAAAGGTTTTTCAAGCAAAGTGAAAAGTGAAGCATCCTGCCCTTCACCATTCTGTGAAACCAGCCCTAACTCCATAATAAAATACACAAAGATAGAAAATTATGAAACAAACTCATCCATGAACACAGGCACAGCAGTCCTAAGGAAAGCCTAAACAATGGTTCTCTCAATATGTTACATGCTACTAATTCTCCATAAGCAAAATATGAATGAGCAGTAACAGAAGGAACACATATCAGTGAAAATACATACCCACTAAGGTGCAAAAACACATAATCAGTTCAGTATATGCATAAAAGACACATAAACAGCAATTTATGAAAAGAATCTTAGCAAGCTGGTATCAGAAAGACAATTCCTCAATCCTATAAAGGTTATTTTTTTTTAATTATGGCAATAAACATTACGTATAGAGATAAAAAAAATGGAGTAGCTTCTTGGTACCCACTGAGAGCCCTTGTATTGAAGGTGCTGGCCCACACAGTACGACAAGAAAAGGAGATAAAGGTACAGGACTAAAGAGGAGAAAACAACGCTGTCATTATTTATAAACATCATGTATGTAGAAAGGCCAAAAGCATCCATAGAAAAGATTGGAATTCCCACTCAAGCTTAATAAAAGATGATTGAGGTGCTAGGTGTTTCTTTATAATGGCTCAGTATATGAAATACTTATATTTTTTAAACTCAATTGAATTTCATAATGTTAAAAGGCATGAGAATTAAGAGTTAAGTGGCAAGTGCCACAGGAGAATAGACATTAAGTCAGTACTGACTAGTGGCAGTCTTGCCTTTGGTTTCTATGGACGGGGTGGAGTCAAGGGAAAGCCGCCTGCAGATCTCGAAAGGAGACAAGTACAAGAGAGGCTGGAGAGGGGGGAAGGCAGCCTGAGGTGACAGCCTGCTGCCATACTGCAGGCACCATGCTGCCTTACGTAGGTTAACTAATACTTTATTTAAACATCAAGCCCACAAGTTCCTGACAAAGGTAAGTATCGCCCTCAACCACATTTAGATAGGAAATCAGGGTAGAGGAACGTTCTGTCATCAAATCAGCCTGGCTTCCACTGCGCCCGAGTCTTCCTCAACTCAAGAAAGTCTAGTAGGTTGGCCATGTTTCGCATCTCTTCTTCGTGATAATTCTTTCTTTATGGTGGATTTTTTTTTCTTCCTGCTCTCCCTCCCTCCTTCCTCCTTCCCGGATGCAAACCTGAGTTCATATAGAAGCAGAACAAATGAGAATGCTATGAGACCTTCCAGCTCATTCTTTAACTGTCCTCCTTCTCCTCCTTTTTTTTCTTTAAAACAGCTGATTAAAGCTCTGCTCAGGCAGCTTTTGCCACCTGGTGGTCAGACTACATAAATCTGTGCTCTGGATCCTGGTGGGCAGTCCATGTCCTTGTAGCAAGGTCCTGTACCCTCAAGGCGGGCGCCTCTGGGGCCCCTCCAGCCTCGCTGGGGCTCTCCAGAGGACAGGGATGTCATTGTCGTTGTTGTTGTCGTTGATCTCACATAAAGGGAGTCACTTTCATTCTCCTTAAACAAAGCAGAAATTATTCGTGAACGTGTTACAGGGCCAGACTGGTATCAAACACATTTATATGTCTGATCCTGGACACAAAGGGCTGAATAGTTGTGCTTTTCTGGATTTCCATGTGAGGCTGTTTTTGAACTTGACAGGGCCTATTGGATATTTATGGGGAAACCTGAAGGCTGACGGCTGCAAGGTTGTAGGTTTAGAGGTGCCCTTTATGCTTGTTGGGTGTTTTTTTAATAAACTAACTGCTCTGCAGAGGGATCTTGTTATCTGTAAAGTAAAACAGATTACAAATGCTGTTTTTCAAAGGGATGAGAAAGCATCCATTTCCAGATGTGTCAAAAACTACTCCATCACACTGTCAAAGGATTTTGTGGTCACAGAAATCAGACAGAAAGGATTTATTTTTTCTTTAAAAAAGTGGGGGGAAGAGGGGGATTCTTGCTTTACTATTAATAAAAGAGTTCAGCCTAGTATTAGAATGTTCTATCTTTTGACAAAAATAACGGATGCATAGTTTTTTTTAGGACATATTGTCTGAACTGGAGAGTTTTTCTGCTGGATCCCTAGACACAAGAGGGAGGAAGAAATGTGAGGGAAATCTGGCAGACCACAGACAGAAGAAAGTGAGTTTTTACTCCACAGATGTTGTAACCATGGCTTCAAGGACACAGGGCGCGTGGTGGTCAATTTCGTAATCATTGGCTTGAGTTTTCTCCTGAATGGATCGTTGTATAAATGCTGAACTGACTCGGGCTTTAGAGTTGTCCTCAAGGCAAGATGGAACATTCTGGTGCCGTCATCTTTACCAGCCTAAGGCAAAATGGAGCCAGGAGTGAGAGCAGACGCAGCTGTTGCTATGCTTCTGAAAGATGGAAACCTTGGGGGGGCCCTGCCTAAGCAGAGTTACCTGCTCCCTCTAGAAAACGCAGCACACAAAGCTGTCTTCTGTGCTCACCTCCAAATCAGCCGGTCTTACAGATTCTCTTGCACAGTGTTGCTCTCGCTAAGGCTCTGGTTTCCATATGGGATATAGTATTTAAGTTTTGTTTCCTCATCCAATCCAAAGACAAAAACCATAGAAAGTCCCCACCAGGTGCTACCATTGCTTAGGGCATGGTGAGGGAAAACCAGACAAAATGGCCAGGCAGTGACTTCACTGCCTCTCGAGGCCACAAATGTATCATAAATTGGACTGGATGCAGATCAACAATGCAGCAGAGGGACAGGCAGGAGGTTCTTGAGAAAAAGCTCAACATCTGAGAGCAAGAGAGATGGGCAGAGGCTGACACGACAGACAGGCCTGGAGGTCTGTCTGAAATGGCAAGAATTGGGAGGTGCATGGGGAAACGCCAGGGCCTGGCTGCATGCCTTCGTAGGAGGCCATTTGCAGTTAGCCTCAGGATCGGAGCGGGCTGTGCAGCAGAGGAAGTTCTCCCAAGACCCGCCCTCCCACGAGGGTCCATTTCCTGTTGTTTTCTCCACTGGAGATCTCACACATGGGCAGTCAAGCACTGTGTAAGGCTTGTTAGTTTCTCTTGCTGGTGAGATAGCATCCTTTGGTAGGGTTTTCAAGCAGGAGCAGTGTCTGTCTGTCTTGGTAGTTCCCTTGTCCAAGGTCCCTGGGCCTGTCCTCGTCCACCATCTGCCAGCTTAGACACACTAGACCCTGAAAAGGCTTTGTGACAGCCGCTAGCAAAGGAGGAATGGCACATACAATGCTGTGGGTTCAGGTATTGATTAAATAAATACAATGAACAATCTTGCTGGTTGTAAAGCTAACAGTACTTGGTGAGCAGTAAGTGATACACGGCCTGAAAGCAAAATACTTGCTCTGATTTAGAGCATGGCAGATAAAAGCCAGGTTCCTTTCAAAGCATTTACTCTGACTTCCAGGTAGGTACTGATTTAGAAATATTGGCACAAACACATTCGGGAGGCAGGAAACATGCCTTTGAGGAATCAGCTTTTCAGCACAGGAACATAGATCATGCAGACAACAAAAAGGCAGAGCACCAGGTGAGGGAGGAAGAGAGCTGGAACACAACTGGATGTTAGTGTTTTTGATTTACAGAGCAGACCGTGAACACAGAGATGAAAGATGAAGCAAGCACAAAGTATGCTACTCCTGAAACGGTAAGGAATTGTTTTCCTGAGAAACACTGACAGAGACAGAGACAGGCACAGGGACAGGGACAGGGACAAGGAAGAAAGAAGGAGAAAGGAAAGGAGGTGGAGATAGAAGAGAAATAGAAAAAAAAGAGAGAGAAAAGGAGAGGCGCTTAAAAGAAAAAGATCCTTGTCTCAGGGAAGTAATCACTCAGATATCCCCACATGGGGAGAAAAGGGTTAATTTTCCTAGCTTTGCCAGCTTAAAGCGGAACTCCCCAGCTCCCCGCTTCTCTTTCTCTCTGGGCAGCCTGGCTCGGCAGCCTAGCACACACCTGCTTACCATACAGCCATGTAGAACCAACTTCGTCTGGAAGGGAGAGCAGAAAAAAACCTGCCTGTAATTGCTAACAGGACTCAGAAGAGTATAACCTAACAATAAAAATATTTAGATTATGTTGCCCATAAAAAAAAAAGTCAAAGGCGTACTCTTTCTGGCCGCAGCTCTTCTAAACTGTTGCCATATGCATTTGTCCCTACGCAGATTCCTCCCTAGATTAAATGGAGGACCTGCTGTTAGTTGATGGACTCCAAGGGAGCTCCCATTGGACTTAAACAAATTATGACCCGAATGGTGGGGTTGCTGTGATTTTTTTTTTTAGAAACCCAAGAAGATGGTGGTAGAGGCAGATTTGGAGGACATAAAGAAGGCACAGCAGCGCAGTCTGATGGACTGGAGTTTTTCTGAACATTTTAAGCCTAAAGTCCTGCTGCAGGTATTTATGGGCTGCTGGGTAGGGGGGAGACAGCTGGATGGGTCTGGGTGTGTGTGTGATGGAGAACAGTTCACCCCTAGGCCCTCAGATCAATATTCCCATTTATTTTAGCTATAAAATGAGTTTGTTCTTGGACCGAGCTATGCAATCCCAGGAAGTCTCCAAGATCATTAAAAACATGCTTTTGCAAAAGACGCTTCGATAAAAATCATTGAAGGAAGAAAAAAAAAGGAAATATGCAAAATTACTGCACATGTTTTCTGGGGTGGGAAGAAAGTAGGGTTTTACAATATTGGGGGGTAAGATTTTTCCAACATGCAAAAACATATTCTATTTATTTTATTACATTTCACAGTATTATCTGTGTTGTGAAATAGGAGTTGCTAGCTATTGCTATCTGGGCGCCGGTGTCTCACACCTCTAATCCTAGCTACTCAGGAGTCTGAGATCTGAGGATCCTGGTTCAAAGCCACTGAGGCAGGAAAGTCTGTGAGACTCATATCTCCAGTTAACCACCAAAAAGCCAAGAGTGAAGCTGTGGCTCAAATAGCTGAGCTCTAGCCTTGAATGAAAAACCTCAGGGATAATGCAAGACCCTGAATCTGCACCTAAGAAGAAGAGGAAGAGAAGAAGAGAAAGAAAAGGGGTGGGAGAAGGAGGAAGAGGAGGAGGAGATAGTCGCTTTATATAAAAAGCCAAAGTTAAAAAGAATTTTCCTTTAAAATTCAAAATTCCTTGCGATCTATGCTTTCCTACAAATGATGGAAGGTCTAATTCCTAATTGATCCTATGATCCCATAATTTTCTTTTCACTGGAAGGTTTATGATCTCCGTGTACCAGACCTGTGTCTATTGAGGTTCTCTTTCTGTGTGACTTCCTGGTGATCACAGTGCAAGCTGGCCTTCCCTCCCACCCTGAATTCTGGGAAATGTTCTATAACCATTTCCTTGATAACCTTCCCCTTCCATTTTTTCTCTTTCCCTAGAACTCCTATCATTGTGATGTTAGACCTCCCAGACTGAACCTCTGATCTCTTTTCTTTTTTTTGTGTGTGTGTGGGGGGGGAGGGTCCGGTCGTGGGGCCTGAACTCTGGGCCTGGGCGCTGTCCCTCAGCTCTTCAGCTCAAGGCTAGCGCTCTACCACTTGAGCCACAGCGCCACTTCCAGCTTTTTTCTTTTGGTTTTTTTTTGCTGTTTTGTTTTGTTTTTTGGGTCTGGTTGTGGGCCCTGAACTCTGGGCCTGGGCACTGTCCCTCAGCTCTTCAGCTCAAGGCTAGCGCTCTACCATTTAAGCCACAGTGCCACTTCTGGCCTTTTTCTTATGTGGTGCTGAGGAATCAAACCCAGGGCCTCAGGCATGCAAGGCAAGCGCTCTACCACTGAGCTACCTTCCCAGCCCCCAGCTTTTTTCTTTTTGCTTATGTGGTGCTGGGGAATCGAACCCAGGGCCTCAGGCATGCAAGGCAAGCGCTCTATCACTGAACCACCTTCCTAGCCCCTGATCTCTTTTCTTTTTTCTCCCAGTTTCCACTTCTTAGTCTTTTTGCCCTGGAAATATTGACAGTTTCAATCTAGTCCTTATACTGATCCCTCTATGTCTGTCAGCAGAATTTTAAGTGTATTTATAATTCCAAGTGACCTTTTATTGGACAATTTTAACCTTTTGGATATAATATCCATGCAAGTATAAAGCCCTTTGAAGTTATTTTCTCCTTGAAGTGTCCCCAGTTTTTCCCCAAATTCCTTTTCTTCTGTCTTTATATTGTGGGGGGGAGGAGGGAAAGAGGAGTGTATTAGTGTTTTCGGCTTCTATTTTTCAGGTTCAAAAGATATCTAATATGTTCTTCCTCGTTCATATAAATAATGGAATATTAAAACTATGCTAGGGAGTGCTGTGGGGAAGGGTATCATCTTAGAAAGTGCTAGGTGGTGTTGGGGGGGGTGAGTAAGCTGAGCTTTGTTGCCGATAATTTGATTGAATGTTTCCTTTAGTAGACCCTTCACTATTGGAATATTAGGTCTGTTCTCCTGGAGCATTAAGATTTTGCAGGGACAACAAAGATCTAATCTGCCTAAAAACTACGAATGAGCATGTTCATCAGGGTTTGGGGAGGTGAGTGGTAAGAGAAGGAAGCGAGCCTCCTGTGCTTTCTACACCCACATCTTGCAATGCCGCAGCCCCGGGTCACAGGGCAGCGTGTGTACACACGGGCGAGTATAAGTAATATGCACAACCGATTTCACGATTGGGTATTAAAAACCTGTTGCAACTCAGCAGTAGTTTTCACACTAGTTATATTGTAAAATGCTAGGACTCTATTGTATGTGCCAGTACTGGACCTTGAGCTCGGGGCTTTGTGCTCTTGCTCTGCTGTTTTCACTGAGGGCTGGCACCACGTGAGCCACAGCTCCACTTCCAGCTTTTCTCTCATTAACTGGAGAAAAAGAGCCTCACAGACTTTTTTCCGAGTGGGGTAACTACAAAATTGAGAATTACCCACGTGGCTCAACTTTGTGGCTCACCTTATATTCCTATGAGATGGGCACTGACTTCCAACATTTACAGGTCCTTTTTTTTTTCTGGAATGTTCTTGTCCTCCATGGCGTCTGGCCTCCCCTCCTTAGGTCACCTTGTATAGACTGTAACCATCCTGCCTCTGCTGGAATGGAGGACAGACAGTGCCTGTTGGGACGGCCAAGGGGACTTGCAGGACCTGCTGCAGTGACTGAGTTTATCTTGCAGTGTTCCCTGATCCCATCCACCACCCTCCTGGCCTGCAGCATTCTCTTGAATGTCAGCCTATGCCATGCTCACCGTACTCCAGCCAGACCCTCCACAGTTCAGATCTTCAGTCAAATTCATCTGAATCCCAGAATGCTCTCTAAAACTTTGAACTAGATTTAGCTGGAGAAATTGATCTACCTTGTTAATTTTTACTGCCCAGAGCCCAGGGCCTGGCCTTGAGCAGGTACTTGTTCTGTTTGAGATAGTTCACTAAGTAACTTGTAAAACCCAGGATATTAATGCAGAAGAAGGGGAAGAGGATAATTAATAGAGGGGACAAGATACTGTGTAAACATTTTTAATTTTGACTTTTTATTATCTTTAAGTAGTTGTGCAAAGGGGTTTCAACTCAGCATGCCTGTTTATGAGTACAGTACATCCTGATTAATGTCACCACTTCCATCTTTCTCCCCTTCCGCCCCCACTTCCCTACAACCCATCCTGTCGAGTTACCTGGTTCCATTTCACATAATAGTCAATGTACATTGAATGTTATGACTGTTGTTGTCCACCTTTCCTCTCTCTGTTCATCTGCTCTCCCCACCTCCCCTTGCCTCCCCCTCCCAGTCACACTGGTTTCAGCTGCAGCCTATTTATTCTGTTAAACTATAACTCCTTTTTCAAACAAGTTTTACCATTGGAATCCTCCCCTACATATCTCATACTTGAACAATTTGTGTATATTTGTATACGACCCTGTACACACCTGTAACCCTAAACTTCAGGAGGCTGAGCTCCAAGGATCAAGGTTCAAAGCCAGCCCAGGCAGACAGATCGATGAGACTCGTTTCTCCCACTAACCAGCAAAAAACTGGAAATGGAGGTTTGGTTTAAGTGGCAGAACACCACCATCCTTGAGCAAAAAAAGGCAAGTTGGGAGCAGAGGCCCTGAGTACAAGCCTTAGTACTAGCCCTGAGATTGGAGAGCTTGGTGCTGTATTTCTTAATGGGTGAAGGCTGCAGAGGTCTTACTGTCCAACAGGAGGAAGGCTATATGATCTTCATACACAGCCACATATGTGTTCCGACTTGATAGTCTCAGAGGAAGGGAAGCTACACGTAGGCTTCTCCTATTGGCTCTCAGGGAGCAGATGTAAAAATTTCAGTGCCACGTCATAACAACACCCCAAGGGGGGCCTAGATGGGGAAGTTGGTACATTGCTTTGGCCACACTAGCAGTGCAGAAATGATAGCCAGAGTGATGTGATTGCTTCGTAGAGAACTGAACTCTGCCTACCCTGATTGATATGGAAAACGCAGGCCCAACAAAAGCTACAGCTATCCACTGCCTTTTCAAGCGAACACTTCCCTGTGGCTAATGGGTGTGGAGAAGGACTGGGATCAGCAGCTCCCCCTGCTCTGCCAGTCCTAGGAAGGTTTGTGAGGAATCAGATCACACTGTGTCTCAGCACGGACCACCGCCCCACCCCCTCCACGAGGTACCACGATCTGGTGGTCGGTGGGAGTACCCTGCCCAAGGTGGGCAGTGTGAGCGCAGTAGCGAAGAAAGACTGGCCTGAGTGCCAGCACCACAACTGAACACTCCCAGGCGAGTTCCTTGTCCTCTTTCAGACACAGTTTACAAAGCAACACAAGAGCACTAAGACACTGAGTGGGGAAAAGTAATCGCAGCCATTGTCTCCTTCCCCTCAGGCTGCCCTGACAGGGTGTGCCACACAGGACAGCTGAAACCACAGACATTTACTGTGTTGGTAGAGAAAGAGGAGAGCTTGGAGAGCAGCTTTGAGGAGCCAGCCCAGGTGGGCACTGGGGAGGGCCTGCTCCCTGGCTGACAGAAGGAGCCTTCCCCCAAGTTCTCAGGCGGTATAGAGAGAGCAAGGTCTCCCGCTCAGCGGGGTGTGGCCGCAGATCCTGAGGGCCTGATCTCCCCTTGCAGGTCAGACGAGGTTAGACACACAAGCCGACCTTCTTTAGAGTGCTGAGTACTGTTACATGCTACAGTGATTGCCACACATGGGTTGAGCTTTCCTTGAGTCTTCAAACACTCGGTTTGTTTGTTTGTTTGTTTGTTTTGGCTTGTTAGCAGTTATATGCAGAGGGGAATTTCTCCATGGCCCATCAATTTCACTCCCACTAAGACACAGCTTCCCCACCAGGCTTTCTTCTTCTGTTTCATAGGTGTGAACAGTCTGTTTAGACAGAATCCAATCTTCCTCACCACCCTCCCACCCACAGCCTCCTCCTGCTAGTTCCCACCCACCCACAGAGTCTGTTTCTTTCTCTCTCTCTCTCTCTCTCTCTCTCTCTCTCTCTCTCTCTCTCTCTCTCTCTCTTTCTCTCTCCTGGGCACTGTCCCTGAGCTTCTTTTGCTCAAGGCTAGTACTCTGCCACTTGAGCCACAGCGCCACTTTCAGTTTTTTCTGTGTATGTGGTACTGAAGAATTGAACCCAGGGCTTCATGCATGCTAGGCAAGCACTCTACCATTAAACTACATTCCCAGCCCCTGCTTCTCTTTCCTATTCATCACCAGCTTTTGTTGAGGTTCTCTGTGCTCCTCTCATACATACCTGTGATGTGTGTCATGCTTTCTGTGAATCATCAGAACTGTCACAGTCAGGCCATTCCCCTTGGTTTGGCCCTTCTCTTATGCCTGGCCACATGGAGTGGAGGACTCCCGTGGGGCTATCCTGTGGCAGTTGCTCAGATGACCCTCTTGAGAGCCTACAGTTCTGATCTCAGCTGCTTCATGCTAAGCACAGTTCTGGCTGAGAAGGGTCAGTGCCAGCCATGACTATTTCAAACATCTCATCTTGCATTGGTCTTTTTGCTATCATTAGCTTTGGTGAGCCTTAGAAACCATTTCTACCAGGCTGCAAGAGAAGGGGAACACTTCCCCTGGTGATGGAGAAGGCCTGTGACTGGTGCAAACATAATCCTTCATTTGCATGAATAGCTGTACAGTGACTAGTACAAAAGGAGTACTTCCCCTGGTGATGGAGAAGAAGGCCTGTGACTGGTGCAAACATAATCCTTCATTTGCATTGAGTGGCTGCTGCACTGTGAGGAGCACAACACCCTTCTCCCACCCCTTTACTGGCTAGGTCCAGACTGTGCAGCTCACTTACTCCCCAAGTCAGTCAGGAGAAACTCTCCTGTGCTGCCCTGAAGTGTTGCAACATTGGGCCCAATGGACAGTTTCTCCAGAGTAGTAGATTCTTTGCCCACTTCAGATCTCTTGCACAAGTAGAGAGGGCTGAGCCGGGAACACTAAAAGGAGCCGGCAGGGCAGCAGCAGGGCAGGAAGAACATGGCTGAATGGTTCCAGAGAGTGGCCAGGGCGCAGAGACAAGAAAAGACGCAGAGGACCCTGCGAATACCGAGCCAAAGATGGAGGGTGTGAGCTCCAGCTGCTAGAAGAGTTCTGGGGTGCTGCCAAGCCCCAAGGCCAAGAAGAGCCCTGTCACCCAAGGCGGGGGAGCTGTGGCACCAGCTGGGGCGGCTAGATGCTGAGGACTGCCCTGGCTTCCCAGCACTGGGCCACCGGAAACCGAAGCCCAGAGCAAGAAGCCCCAACCTCCAGGGCCTAAAGCACTGGCCTCTAACCACAGCCTCCAGCTCTAGAACTTGGGTCTACACACCTCGAAGTCTCTCAGCCCAGCTCACAGGCTCTCAAGCCCTACGTGTACTGGAACAACTACTAACCTACTTGCCATTTCTACCCTACTAGAGCAGAAGGACTCCAGTCAGCCACAGGGCAAAAATCCTATGAGGGGTCAAAGGGTCACTATGCAAATTCAGAGTAGGCAGGGGTACCACTCAGTCCCTAGCACCTATTTACCCGGAGTTTTCAATGACATCACATGATAAAATACAAGCTGGATCACTGCTTGACTTAGTTATCATTGGCCATTCTTCAGGAAGAACACTTCTAGCAAACGTCTCTTTGCTTGGATGCTGTTTGTTTTTTCTGTAAAAGTTTCTGAAATGTTCCCCAAATGTTCTCTCTTAGGATCTCATTTTTCTACCAGTTAGGAATGAATCCCATGGAATACAAACCAGACTAACAATATTAACAAGAGGGAAAACCAGGAGAGGGAAATAAGGAGGACCAAGATAAGCTCAACAGGAGATCCATCTCCTCCTATAATGCAAAAATAATGAATAATGATGCCATTGTAAATAATAATACAGCAGTGTCATAATAAACTGCAATAACTTTAATTTTCAGGTTCTCCAAGAAGCTCACCAGCAGTATCATTGTGTGGATTCTTACTACCATACCCAAGACAATTCCTTACTTTTAGTTTTCCATAATCCAATGAATACCCAGCGTTTGCATTGTGAATTTTGGGATGTTGCTCTTCACTCTAATGTTGGATTCAGGTAACGAATTTAGAGAATTCAGTTAATTCAGTAGTTGAATGAGTTCATTGTTCCTTAGTTGCTTACATGATTCAAATGGATGCAAACATTGATGTATTGACTTCAGTGAGAATGCATTCTCCACCTCCTCTGTTTTGCCTTGTCTAGGAGTTATTTAGAACTTGTTGCAAAATCCATTCAAGATTGGGTCACAGAAGAAGAAGCTAAATATCAGGAGCGTAGAATGTCGGAGGAGCTCGAGAGGGCCAGAGCTGCTGCTGAGCAAGAACTAAAAATGTTGGCTACTGTCAGAAATTCTACTAGCAAAACAATTTCCCCCAAAAAATCTAAAAGTAAATTACCCACTCAACTCATTTTCTGTGTGTGTGTGTGTGTGTGTGTGTGCATGTGTGTGTGTGTGTGTGTGTGTGTGTGTGTGTGTGTGTGTGTGCATGCCCCGATATTGGGGATTGAACTCAGGGCCTTGTTCTCTTGCTTAGATTTTTGAGGGGTCAAAGTTATACTCAGTTGTGCCACATCGCCATTATTATTTTTTGTTTGCTTTTTTTTAACCAATTCACTTTATGCCTAGAATAAACTCCAAATACATTCACCTACCTTTTAATTCACTTAAGACTTAATTTTTCAAAATTGAAAGGAGTTATCCACAAAATTCCCATGATCCTTTGTTTTCTCTAATACATGGAAGAGTTACACTCCACTCATGTTGAGATGACTCCTGAGAGACAGTGAAATGTTCTCCAGCTTCGGCTCCACTTCCTGTGCAACCCGTACACAGATATGATGTGATGTGTTCTCAAACACCAAGTGTCTTTATCAGTAGGACTGATGTGATTCCTACTCAAGATGTGTTGACAATATATAAGAGAGGGCAGACACTGGTGGTCATGCCTTTGGTCCTCACTACTCAGGAGGCTGAGATCTAAGTATCAACATTTGAAGCCATCCTGGGCAGGAAAGTAAGTCTGTGAGAACTCTTATCTCTAACCAGCAAAAAGCTGAAAGTAGAAAGAAGTGTGGCCCAAGTGGTAGAGTACCAGTCTTGAGTGATAAAGCAAACTGGAACTCAATCCCCGAGTTCAAATACCAGTACCAGCACACACACACACACAGACACACACATGCACACGCACACACACACGCACACACACACACACACACACACACACGAAAAAGAAAGAAAAAGAAAATTGAGTTAGTGGGTTTCCATTCGAATAATGACAGGTTCCAACAGTTCTGTTAAATCCAGACCCTCCTAAGTGGGCCTGCTAGGGGATGTAGAGCTAAAGGAAAGGCCATTTTTGGAGGGAGACAGCGGGCAGAGATTGATAGGATCTTAGATCAGTCCACAGCTTTAGTTCCATTTTCTTTTTCACTAGTTTTCATGGCTTAGAACCCATACGGCAAAGGCAAAAGAGAATGGGAAGGGTTTGAGTAGATATTTAGAAGTATACTAGAAAAACGAAAGATTTGAAACAGTTGGGCAGTTCAGCTAGAAAATAAAAAAAAATTTTCCTTGAGTTTTGTGCAAAAGAAATGCACTCTCAGTTAATAACATTCGATATTTATGAGAGCCAAATTTGAGAGTGATTTCTCATAAAGAAGCATGGCTATGTAGATTCCAATTTTTTTGCCATCTCTATCGATTACAAGAGGAGTTAGCAAATAGCCTAATTATAAAGTAAAACTTAAACGAGATTGCTGACATACTGATTCCACCAAAATGTCTCAGCTTCTTCTAGAAAAAAAAAATGTATGGGACTCTAGGGACTAAAGGTAAGGCTGCCTTCCAACTCACAGCTCCGGGGCAATCCTGGCCTATTAGCAGAGCGGCGACTGTGTTTCCTTCCCAACACTAAGGAGCAAACCAAAAACTTCATCATCTAGAAATTTCTGGAAACACAGGTAATTTCCGGTTTAGGGCTGTTCTGTATAGCATTCAAAGTCCTCTCAGAGAAGGTTCACAACTTCAAAATAAAGTGACTACAATGGCAAGAGAAGGACTTCAGTTTGAGACACGTTAACTGTGTTCTGGGTGGTCCTCAAAGTTTAACCGTGAGACAGCATTAGGAAAAAGCAAGGTGTGACAGACCAAGTCACCAACAACAGGGTACATTGTCCCCAGAGACTGAGAACCCATCACCCATTGGTCTGTCATGTCTGTGGAGATAACAGGAGAGGCCAGAAATAAATGGATGGATGGACGGATGGATGGATGGATGGATGGATGGATGGATGGATGGATGGATGGATGGAGAGTTGAACTTGATAGCCTTTGAGATCCCCTCTACCCAAGAAATTTGATTCTTCTGTTATCTATGAGAAATGCTGAATGACTAAGAACTTTTGTTTCCTCTGGCTATAGTCACCAAACTATCCAGCAAAACAGACATATCAGAACAAGATAAAGAAAAGGATGAGATGCCCTTTGTGTTAGAAGGCTCTCTCAAGGTAGGTGACCCAGTGAAAGATGTCTGGCCCCACTCACAAATCCATTATCTCATAATGCAAAGTTCACAGCAAATGACATTTTTGGCCAAATCTTTAGCATTCAATGACAGGAGGATCAAAGGATTATCTGTCCACCAAGTGGTGGGCTGGTCGTGGGCTCTTTCCCTTAGCTTTTTAACTCAAAGATGTTGCTCTACCATTTAAGCCACACCTCCACTGTCAGCTTTTGGTGGTTAACTAGAGATGAGTCTCATAGACTTTCCTGCCTGAGCTGGCTTTGAAACGTGATCCTCAAATCTTGGCTTCCTGAGTAGCTGGGATTGGAGGCATGAGCTACCACTGCCCATCTGTGTCTTCTTTATTGTCTATATAACCACATCACATTGTACCTTGATCATAGCTATTATATTCTTTCTCTCTCTCTCATTTGTTTTTGTTTGCTTATTTTTAAGTTGAATATTTTAATTACAAAAGTAATATGCTTTCCTAACAATTCAAAATCGTATTGCTGGATTGTCTTAAGTGTCAGAGATAATATTAAATTTGGGGGGTATACCCAAAAATACTCAGCATTTTTATTTGTTTGCTTATGGTTTAGGTTGGGTTTGGTTTGGAGGTTGTGTCCTGGGGGCTTCAGGTCAGTCACACTTCTAAAGTGGAGATACTTTTGCCATCCCTGAAGGGGCTAGGGGGGGTTGATGGCGGTGCCCATGTGCAGGTATGATAGATATCTAGCTCTTCTCTCCTTCCTGAAAGCTGGAAGCAGGGAAGGGCCTGAAAGTTCTAAGCTGTGGTCTTGCTAATGACTAGCTTCCCTCCTATCCCATCTCATCTAGGAGTTTGCCAAGAGTTTTGTCTCATTGGAACAAAAGACACTCAGGTATCACTCATGAAATTCCAATGGACTTAGGAGCTTTGTGCACAGATCCAGGAATGAAGACCAAATATCTGTTTCTTATTATATCATCATATCATACTTTTGATTTAAATCAGTTGTTTGTTGTCTGAAAAAAATGGCTTTATTTTGCCCCTAGTCATTAAAAATAGCTTTTCATTTATGAATCTCCTGGTAGACTCCTTTATTTTCTTAGAGCAGTCAAGACATTGTCCCACATTTCCCTGGCTAACCCAGCGACTGTTGACTGCTCTCTAATCTGACCCTCTTTTACAGACAGTTTGTCTGTTTCCTGTAGCTGCTTTAAAAACACACAGATGGCATGTTCAGCAGCCATTCTCAAGAAAAAGCAAAAATGTACATAGATGTATACACATGCATAAGCTGAACCACACCTGTTACTGATAGTGTGTTTGTAACTTATAAGTGATGTAACTTATAAATAGTAATAAAACATACAGTACTCTAATCTTTATTGCAAATTCCACATAGCCAATTGATTCTTTTTGTGTATGTGCCAGTACCAGGTCCTGAACTCGTGACTTTTCCTACTCATGCTGGTGCTCTACTACTTAAGCCACACCTCCTGTCCCAGTTTTTTGATGTTTAATTAAAGCTAAGAGTCTCACAAAGTTTTCCACTGGGTCTGACTTTGAATTGTGGTCCTCAGATCTCAGCCTCCTCAGCAGCTTGGATGATGGGCCTGAGCTACTGACACATGATACAATGATTCTTTAAAGAAAAAAAAAGGTTTTAGAAATCAATTTTTGAAATTTTTGCTCAGATTGTTTCTCCAAGTATGTAGTCTACCATATTGTTGATAAGTCATCATTCAGTCATCATTGATAATGGGTGTCATATGAAAATCAGTGATGAGAGCCTTTAAGAAGCTGCTAAGGGTGCAGGGCGCTGGTGGCTCACTCCTGGCATCCTAGCTACTCAGGAGACTAAGATCTGAGGATCATGGTTCAAAGCCAGCCCAGGCAGGAAAGTCTGTGAGACTCTTACCTCCAATAAACCACCAGAAAACCAGAAGTGGTACTATGGCTCAAGTGGTAGAGTGCTAGTCTTGAGCTGAAGAGCTCAGGGACAGTGCCCAGGCCCCGAGTTCAAGTCCCATGACTGACAAAAAAAAAAAAAGAAGCTGCTAAGTAAGGATCACTAAAACCTGAGCAAAGGAAATTGCATCTGAAGCTAAGAGAATCTGCAAGGCAGGAGAGAAGGGAGGGAATATCCTGCATAGAAGTGGGATGAGAGGAAGAACCCGAGATACGGCTGAGGGTGTCAAGCTGTGTATGTTAGTGAATCAGAGAACCACTTACATAAATGACGCTCAGTGCTCTCCAAAGTCATTTTGATGAAATCCATGTTTAAAGCTGCTGCAGAATACCCTGAGTCCATTTTGCACTGACTTTGCAGGCGTGGAAGGAAGAGCAGGAGCGGCTCGCGGAAGAGGAGCGCATAAGGGAGGAAAAGAAGGCAGAAAAGAAGAGCAAGGAAGCGAACAAGCAGAAAGGCAAGGAAAAAGGAGCGAAAGGAGCGAGCAAGCCTGTGAAGAAGAAAACGTCTTCCAAAGAGAAAGATAAAGAGGAACTGATGAAGATCGCGGAACTGGTTCAGGAGATCCCCCAGGCACCGGAGCCCCAGCCTGACATAGTTTACCAGGTAGAGTCCAGTCTCTCCATTGCTTGGGGTGATTTTTCATTGTTTAGGGGAGGGGAGGATGGGGGGTGTCTTCTGGGATCCCAGAGCTAAAAAAGACTGTACTCCACCTTCTCTGATTCAGAGCCTTCTTTTCAGCCAGTCGCCACGACAGGACCAGGCTCGGTTTGCCTTGAGTGTTTGGAAGCTAGGTTGGAAGTAGCACTAAGGCTGGCTGTGTCTCGGATAATGGCATTATCTGAGGTCATCTGGTTATCTCCCCGAGGGCACTCAGGTTCCTGACTCATAAAGTCTCTCTCTCTTTTTGTTAGTCAAGGGTCTTTTTTTTTTAATTTAATTTAATTTTATTTGTGAACATACTGTACAGAGGGGTTACAATTACATGGGCAGGATAATGCGTACATTTCTTACCAAGCATTGCAGCCTCCTCCTTTGGTTTACCCTTCACATCCCTTCCCAGCCTCCCCCCTCCCCCCCAATCCCAATCCTTCTCCTTCTCCCCCCTTCCCCCCCCCTGCACCGACGTTGTAAAGCTCGTTTTGGACATGAACTCAGGGCCTGGGCGCTGTCCTTCAGCAATTCTGCCCAAGGCGAGTGCTCTACCACTGGAGCCCCAGCTCCACTTCCAGTTTTCTGGTGGTTCATTTGAGATGAGAGTCTCATGGACTTTCCTGCCCAGGCTGGCTTTGAACCCTGATCCTCAATCTCAGCCTCCTGAGTAGCTAGGGTGACAGGTGTGAGCCACCAGTGCCCAGCCCCATTCTGTTTTTAAGGTGGGATTTTTGGCTAGCAGTTCTCCCAAGCTGGCCCAGAGCTATGCTCCCATGATCACCACTTGCTGAGCAGCTGGGATCACAGGTGTACACCACCACACCCAGCCTTAAATCACTTCACCACAAACAGAAAATGCATGAATGAATGAGAAGTTGGTTTCTTCTAATAGTGCAGTCACCTCCCTTGGACCAGATTATGAGGACGTTCACTCCAACAGAGTTTAAAGTCGCAGATCTTTTGGGGCTTGGTGGGGGCAAAGAGGGGCAAAGTCTTAGAGCTCATGTCCTGGGTCTAGTCCCTCAGCAACTGCCTAGCTAGCTTGAGGCTCTCAGTTCAAATTCCAATACTGGTTTAAAAAAACTTCTTAGGCCTTCGTTAATTCTGCCTGTTATAGGACAATACCATCCCAGCACCCCCCCGAGGCTGAGGCAGGATGATGGTGAATTCAAGGCCAGCCTGGGCTATATTATGAAACCACGCCACAAACAAATAATTCCCAAAGACAAATTTGGACCTTGGCTTCAGAGGGACAGATAACTTCAAAGGGACAATAATACTGTTCAGCAGAAATTAATTGGCCAACCAAGAAAGGTTGGCTGTTATCAATTGTAATTTTATCCACAAGACATGATACTTTGTCTTCTAGTTTCGAGGCTACAACATGGGAGATACACCCATTCAAATCTCAGGGGTAAACTACTACCTGTACCCTTCTGACGGCGGGGAGATTGAAGTAGAAAAGATGACATTTGAAAAAGGTACATCTTGAAAGCGGCTGGTTGGGGGCTTGGAGATATCAGGGTGTTGTGGAGTGTGGCAGATGACAGTCCTCTGTCCTTCACGCGCCCTCCGCGCTGTCACACTCGACCTTCTGGTGAAAGGGACTCTGCAGGCACAGGCAGCCGGGAGTGTGTCAGGAGCACACTGACGCCTTCACTTTGCTTGTTAAAATATCGGTACATCGTCTATGACATAGGATACAAGGAGATGGTTGCTAATGACAACACATACTCTTCAGCTCAGAAACCAAGCATTCACTGCGTTTCTAGCACTTTTCCTGGCTTTTGCTTCTGGAGCCCAGAGTTTATGGGCCTACTGTTCTTATTATGAATTTTTTTGTATATGCATGCAATGCATGTAAATGTCAGGTGGTTCATAGAAAATACAGTCATTTCATCCTAATCCCATCAAATTTGAGGATACTTCAAAGCTGAAAAATAAAGGCTGGATTTTAAAAAGTAAAAGAAAACAGAAAGGTTTAAAAAAAAATCAACCTGGGTGCTGGTGGCTCATGCCTGTAATCCCAGTTACTCAGGAGGCTGTCTGGGGATTATAACTCAAAGCCAGTTTGGGGGGGGGTGGAGATGGGGGGAGTCTATAAGACTCTTATTTCCAATTAATCAAGAAAAATCCAGAAGTGAAGGTGTGGCTCAAGTGGCAAAGCACCAGCCTTGAGTGAACAAGCCAAGGGACAGCACCCAGGCCCTGATGCAAGTGTCTCCCTCAGACTCCTTCCTCGAGAATTGCTGACTTACTCAAACCAAATTCTAACCTGTCAAGGTGCCCTGGTAACATCTTACGCCAGCCTAGCTCCCATCCCATGGCTTTTCCATAGGCTCCACTTTTATTAAGGTGAAAGTGAAAAAAGACAAGCACAGTTTCATCATCCACCTGAGGGACCCGAAGGAAATCGTGAGAAAGCAAGAGGACGAGAGGGACAACGCTTCCGAAGACGACTATGAAGACGAGGAGGAAGCAAAAGATAAGGAAACAAGTAAGTGGCTACAACGTGGATCCGTTACTTAAATGTCACAAAACTTCCTCGTGATGCGGTGTGACCGCCAAGCAGCACACCTTGCCTTGAGAACAATTTTAGGTCCACAGCAAAACTGACAGAAGTTGGAGACATTTCTACACACACCTGGCCCCCTGCATGCAAATAGCCTCTCTCTGACTGCCTCTGTTGCCCTCCATCTCTCTCTCCCTCCCCGCTCTTTCTCCCTACCCCCCTATTACCCGTTTTAGCAGGATCTAGAATTATCTAGTGCTCTGGAGCCACATTTAGAAACCAAGGACCACCTAAGAGAGAGTGCCAGTATTCCTCAATATGTCCATTGACGAAACAGAAAATCAACCATCAACAAATGAAAGGAACACTTGATTTCTTCTCACTCATTTCCTTTTTTTTTTTTTTTTAGTTGGTTGTGAGGCCTGAACTCAGGGCCTGGGTGCCGTCCCTCAGCTCTTTAGCTCAAGGCCAGCGCTCTACCACTTGAGCCACTGCACCACTTCTGGCTTTTTCTGCTTATATGGTGCTGAGTACTTGAACCCAGGGCCTCATGTATGCAAGGCAAACACTCTACCACTGAGCCACCTTCCCAGCCCCCTCTGGCTCATTTCTTCTCACACTTACCCCTATTGATGACAGTGGGTTGTCTCCCACGACCCTTGTTTCCTTAGGTTTCACATGTGGTGTTTGTCATAGGTCCCATGTAGCAAAGTGGCACAACCTACTCTCACTATATTATACAGAGATTGGCGTCTCCATCCTCAACCAACTCCTGGCAACCACTGGGCAGTTGGCTGTGTCCACAGTTTGGACTTTTCCAGAATGTCATATTGTGTGGATCACACAGGGGGTAACCTTTTCATTGGGGTTCTTTCCCTTAACTATATGTGTGGAGAATTCCACTCTGTCCACCCATGACTCTATGGTTTCCTGAGTAATATTTCACTGTCTGGACATACCACAGTTTATCCATTCACCTACTGAAGAACATTTTTGGTTGTTTTCAAGTTCTGATAATTGTGAACAAAGATTCTGCACACAGCTTTGTGAACATGAGATTTTAGTTCATTTGGGTAAATATGAAGGGACATGGTCGCTTGGTCGGGTGAGAGTGAGTCCACTAAACTGTTTTCCAAAATGGCTCCCCCTCAACCTTCCCCACAGCTCTGCCCACAGCAAGCACCAAGCGTTCCTGTTGCTCCACATCAGCACTGTCAATGATTTTGATTTTCTCCATTCTGGTAGGTGTACCCTAATTGTAATTTGCATATCTCTGATGATGTGATGTCCAGCGCCATTTGCTGTATGTGTGTCTTCTTCAGTGGTGCTGTCTGCAGAGCTGTTTGGCTTATCTCTTACCAGGCTTATTCATTCTCCTTTTTGTGGAGCTTTCGGGGTTCTTTTTTTTTTTTTAAGTTTTTTATTGTGAAAATACTGTACAGAGGAGGGGGTTACAGTTACATGAGCAAGGTAATGACTACATTTCTTATCAAGCATTGTTGCCTCCTCCTTTGTTTTTCCCCTACCATCCCTTTCAGAGTTCTTTGTGTGCTGTATATAATAGTCCTTTAGCAGATGCATGCTTTGCAATATGTTCTCCCAGTATGTACCAGTATGTTCCCACTCACAAATTATTATTTTTTATTCCACTGACCACTGGAATTACCCAGTTTAGAAGTTATCTCTACTTGGGTTCCAGTACAGAAAATCAACATTTTACCGTTTTCACTGCATGTTAACAGAGGAAATGAAAACAAAGCAACAAAAAAAAGAAAATTTACAAATCTTCTCATTTGTCTTAGACATGTATATTTCTAACAAATTTTGCTTTAAAAGGATGTTTGACTAGAAAAAAATTTTAAATGTTTTTAAGAATGTAAAGAATTTACAGTTGGCACTTGTATCTTATACCTGTAATCTCTGCTGCTCAGGAGGCTGAGATCTCAGGATTGCAGTTCAAAGCCAGCCCAAGCAAATAATAATAATAATGAAACTTGTATCCCCAATTTAGCAGCAAAAAGTCAGGATTAGAGCTGTGGATCAAATAATAGAGCACTAGCCTTAAGCAAAAATAGGACAGCGCCTAAGCCCTGAGTGTAAGCCCTAGGACTCTCTCTCTCTCTCTCTCTCTCTCTAACACACACACACACACACCACACACACACACACACACACACACACACACAGAGTAAGGAATTAAATATTTAACAGTATGGCTTAAAATGTGGGGAAATGGAGATTTGGTCTGAAGCTCTTGGGAATAGTCTAGCAGAGCAATAATCTGCACTGAGGGCCAGGGCATTCTTCTTTCTGTCATTCCTTATGGCAAGAGCCTCTGGCTCCCAGCCCTGAGTACACAGCAGGAACTGAACCCATCACTTCTCAGCTAATTGTGGTAGAATAACTAAGACCTCCATCCCCATCTGTGCTGCCCTCTGAGTTATGCTTCCATGTCCTTTGAAGCAAAAGAAATATCCTTGATCTGATTTTGTCTTTTAGAAGACTCGGACACAAAGAACATCATTGTCAGCAAGTTTGGATCCTTTTCCGCCGTGTTAGAAAATGGAATCTGCCTTTCAATAAGCTACTATGGGCCAGGTGGAACGGCACCAGGTAAAATAAACACAACAGAAGGAACAACTGGCCAGGCAATGGTGCCCACACCTCTAATCCTAGCCACTCAGTGGCCTGAGATCTGAGGATCGTGGTTCAAAGACAGGCCAGGCAGACAAATCTGAGAGACCCTAATGGTCCAATTAACCTGCAATATGCTGGAAGCAGAGGTATGGCTCAAGTTCTAGAGCACCAGACATAAGCAAAAAAGCCAAGGGAGAGAGTGAGACAGCCCTCAGTTCAAGCCACAGTACCAGCACAAAACTAATAAATTATTAATAATAATAAACATCTGTACTCCCATGGCCAGAGATCCTTGCCCGTCTTCAGTCAACATGCTCCTGATTTCATCCCTTTTTCAGTATTTTTTCTGCAAAGCTGAAATGAAAGGGGGGTTTTGTGTGTGTGTGTTACATATGCATGTATACATGTATGTACATATACAACATTTCATACAGAGTAAAATGATTGGCTCATAAATATTTGACCTCTTGCTCAATCTTTTATACCTGTATCATCCTATATGTTTACACACACATATAAATATTCCAATCATTGTTAATTGGCCTGCAAAAATATTCCTGTCAGTTGGTTCCAAGAACACATGGTTTGCCACAGAACCCTCTTGGTTTTGTTCAGAATCATATTTCTAGGCATCCTGTAACTATAAAGCTGCTCTCTGTGAGTCAGAATGTTCATCTTATAGGAGCCACCCGCTGGACAAATTCAAAGATTTCCCCATAAACAGATTCTCCAACTGGAAGCCACGCCCTTTCCAAACACAAAATAGTAGTCATTATACCAGGAGCCAATTAGGAAACCTGCAGCTTCCCATGCCATTTAAATAGAATTAATCGCGCTGGTGGCTCACACCTGTAATCCTAGCTACTCAGGAGGCTGAGATCTGAGGATCGCGGTTCAAAGCCAGCCCGGGCAGGAGACACCGTGAGACTCCTATCTCCAATAAACCACCAGAAAACCAGAAGTGGCGCTGTAGCTCAAGTGGTAGAGCGCTTGCCTTGAGCTGAAGAGCTGAGGGACAGTGCCCAGGCCCAGAGTTCAAGCCCCATGACCGACAAAAATAAATAAATAAATAAATAGAATTAATCACAACATAATGTTGAATATAATACAAAATTCTATATAACCTTAAAATTTTGTGTTAATTATCTGCTCTACTATTTAGTTTTCTGCAGAGACAATATTTGTATGAATCATTCCTGTCTTGTTTCTTACCTTAGTAGAGTTTGAAATGTCTCTGGCACCACCGCCAAGAGTCAGAAATGTGGATCTGTGGCTCAAGTCTGTAATCCTGGCTACTTGGGAGGTGGAGATGGGAGGAATCATGGTTTGAGGCCAGCCAGGGGGAGAGAAGAGGTTCCAGGGATTATATCCTGACTTATTGTAGAGCATGAGGTAGCACCTGATATCCCAGCTCTACAGGAAGCACAGGGGCTAGGCACAGGGGCACACACCTACCACCCTCAACTACACAGGGATGTACAAGGAGGAGGAAGTCAGCCTAAGCTGGCCAGTGTAGAAAGTGAGGTCCTACCTTGAGAATAGCATGGCAAAAGGGACTGGAGGAATAGCTCAAGTAGTAGAATGCCTGCCTAGCAAATGTGAGCTCCTGAGTTCAACACCCAGTACCCCTCTCTCTATAGATAGATATGGAGGAGGAAGGAAGGAAGGAAGGAAAAAAGGAGGGAGGGAGGGAAGGAAGGAAGGAAGGAAGGAAGGAAGGAAGGAAGGGAGTTTGGATCTGAAACGGAGAAGCAAGTCCATGCCTTACGATATAAATTTTGGGTAGAAAAGCATAACAGGGGTCAGTGCGGGAGGATGAGGACAAACTGAGCAGTGAGGTAAGGAAACAATGGGGAGCAGGCTTCAAGAGGAGGAGGGTTCTCTCCCGAGCTCCCCACCTGAGTTCTCTTCTCATCTGCTCTCCTGTTACAATTCTAGCAATCCTCTAAAGCCCAGAAGAGAAGAGATAAAACATAAGACAACTGTTTTTTTTTTTTTTCAGTTCAGCCAGAAATGACCATATTTTTGGGCTTCGTGGTATCCTTTATTATATTTCTACTTCACCTATCTTACATTCTGCTACTTGGGCACGGATCTGAGACCCCATAAGACTTTAACCCTCTTTTCATATTTCCATGCTTTTCACATCGGTAGTGGCAAGGCTGCTGCTCTGTCACTGAGGGCTTGACTCGCCAAATCAGGCCTACCAAAGGATTACCACTCTCTCATTCCTACCGAAGGATTACCACTCTCTCATTTTCTGTCTTTAGTCATGATTTTCAGATAAACTATATCACACCTGAAATACAGCCAAGTGATAAACATGTTGAGCAAGGGGAAAACTGTTACCCAGAGAGAGAGAGAGAGAGAGACAGAGACAGAGAGAGAGAGAGAGATGGGGGGGTAGGGAGAGAGGGAGGTTGTGTATTTACTAAGAGTGCTGAGTACAGCTGTCTGACTTTCTGTACTTTCTCTTTGGCTGCCACAGAGGAGAAAGACCCCGCCCTGGAGCCGATGTTGAATATTCCTTCGGCCCACACCCCAACAGTGGTGCCCGTGGTGGTGACCGCGCCACCAAACAAAGCCAAAGCCAAAGCCAAAGGCAAAGAGAAACCCAAAGAGCCTAGCAAAGAGGAAGAGCACCCCAAAGAAGAAGAGAAAAAGGTCGCAACCCTTGCCACTCTGCCCTGCTTCAGTGTCACATGCATCAAATCCATGCCCCGTCACGAGTGCCTGCATTTAGGAGCAGGTGCATTCTCATTCCTGTGACCGCAGCCTGGGACCAGGAGGACTGGCCACAGGGTGGAACCCCCTCTCTAGGAGACATGGCCACACACAAGCGGTTCCAGGTCATGCACTTGAAACCCAGAAGGACCAGTTTGCTCTTTTTCCCACTACGGTTCTTGGGTTTTCTTTGCTTTGAGCTGGTTAAATTCCTACTGCTCTAACATAAGTTCATTTAGCTTGTTTGGCAGACAAATGGGACAAGAACTCCAGTTGTTAGACTGGCACTTAATGACAGAGTGAGAACGCAGCCCGACTAAGTACTGGCAGCTGGCTGTTGGACACCACACACACACACACACATACACACACACACACACACACACACACACACACACACACACACTTTGATTTTGATCTTTTCCTAGTAGAACACTGACCAAAAGGGAGCTCTAAAAGTGGAATAACAAAGAATCTGCTGGTGAATGTTGACTCCTACTGAATGTGGGCTTTTGCTACTAAAAGTGTATTTTCAATTCCTTAGAAGAAAGAAAATACGTTTAAAAAAACAGTGCTCGAGAAGCTCCAATTTCAAAGTCTGTCCCTTTAACAGACAGAGGTGTAACTGTCACTCTGCTTCAGAGTGATATCTGGATAATTCCACTGAGCTCCAGTCAAATGCATGAGCACTGATGGAAAGATCACCGGTCATTCACCTAAATGTGATTGAGCCAAAGGCAAATCCAATGTCGCTCATCCCCAATTCTCTGTATTGACTGCAGTGAGGTGTGAGGGCGATTCCTGGCCTCAGGTTTGACCCGGGAAGCTTGAGTTTCAGTGTTTTTGTTCCTTCTACAGAACTTCATTAGCTTTAGCCTCTTTGTTGTGCTTCAGTTTTATTCTGAGTTCTTTTGTCCTTGTTTGGCTTGGGAGTTTTGTTTTGTTTAGTTTGAGGCAGGGTCTCACTAGGGCTGACCCCAAACCTGCTACGTCTCTCTCAGACACACAATCCTCATGTCTCAGCCTACCAAGAGCTGGAATTGCAGGTGTGTATCCCTACACCAGCCTTGCTTTTTATTTTTAGTTCATCTTCAGTAATTGTTCATATTTTTCCATTAGTGACTAAGAAAAGATGGAACAACCTAAATTATCCATCACAGATTAGTTAGGATAAACTCAAGAAAGACCCAGTTAGTGGGATCTGCAGGTATAATAAAAGGAATAAGTTCAAAGTATTGAAGTGGTTCTCCTTAGAAATGGTACCAAGTCACTGCTTTCCTCAGTACATGTGACAGAGCGAAGGATTCAGGCCTAACTGGCACAGAATTAATTGGAGTGGCCTCACACACACACGCCCGGTTCTCATGAATTGGAAGCAACCTTCTATTGTCTTTTTTTCCTCACATTGCTTTTAGTTGTTACAAAAGCAATGCATATGTATTATAAGAAAAAAAGGACAGATGTTATCAAAACACGATAAACTGTAAGAATTGCACACAGAAAAGGCTGTGGCGTGCTCGTACACCACGCTCTCTCTGCCGGTCACAATGCATTGGCCTTGCAACCACAAAGCACCTTAGACGGTGATTTACAAACAGTAGAAGTTTGTGGCTTAAGTGAAGCTTTGCTCCTGTTGAGGCCCTAAGCCCTCCCTCAGTTCCCTCCCAATTATTCCTATTGCTCCTAATCTCCTCATTGTCTAGATACCCCTCTGCAGGCAGCAGCAGAGGCCTGAGGTTGGGGGGAGGGGGCTGGGGACCTATGGCAGGTTCTACTCAGGTGTTCACAGGCTCCCTCCCCAGGGCCCTCCCCAGCCCTTGGCTGAGTTGCGTGCCTTGGAGCTCATTGAAAAAGCAGCATGCAATGACTCATCTGCAAAATTCCTTACAGGAAGAAGTAGAACCAGAACTTGTTATCCAAGAGACTCCGTATGTTCCCACCTTCCAAAACCTGAATGTGTCTTGCCCCAATGGGCTCCTGTTAACCTTCCTTGGGCAAGAGCTTACAGGTGAGTCCTAGCTGTGTTTAAGGGGCAAAAAAAAACCTGTATATAAAATAGATCACAAGCAGGCAGGGCAATGCATGTTTGTAAGTCTGGCACATGGGAGGCCTGGGGGCTGGAGGATCAAGAGTTAAGAGGCCAGCCTATGCTACATAGCAATAGCTCTATGGGGAACACAAAAACAAAAGCAGACCTCCGCTGAAAACTGTACATTTTCCCTAGCAGGTAAGCACATCTCTTGTTAACAATGAACTGTAGATTCGTTTCAAATAAGGAGCACAATGATAATGCGTGTTTTTCATGCACTCACTATGGCCAGATGCCGAATTCTTAACGTACATGGAAAAATACACTCGCTACTAATAACTGCATTTTCCAAGCTCAGGATACTGAAGAAGCAGGATCACTAAAGACCCCAGAGATTGGGTTAGGATGCTGTTCTTGGGCCAGGCGTGAGGAGCCAGGGGCTCTCACATCTCCTAGGTGGGCCTGTCTTCCTGCCTCTCAGAGGACCACAGCGGAATAACCATCTGGTTACTAAGGACAGAGGACAGTGAGCCACGATAGAATGAGGAACATTCATCTATTTTTTTTCCTTCCCTTTTTTTTTGTATTATCTTTAAGTGTTTTACAAAGGCATTTCAATTCAGCATGTCAATTTATGAGGACAATGCATCTTAATCGATGTCACCCCTCACTCAACCTCACCCATCCCGTCACAGTTCACTGATGTACATTAGATATCATGACCTATGCATCTGCCCTTTCTCTCTCTAGTTGGCCTGATGTACTCCCCTCACACCCCCTCCCCACCTCCCCTGACAAAATGTATTTCAGCTTCCAGGTATTCCTTTGGTTAAACCATTAGTTGCTCGAAGGAGTTACACCATTGGAATTCTCCTGTGCATGTACCATTTGTGTGTCTATGTATATGATCTCATATATGATTTCATCTGATATCTATATGGAAGCAGTAATGTACCCTTTGTCTCTCTGACCCTGATCCACTTCACTTAACATAATATTTCCAAGTTCATCCACTTCTCTGAAAATCACATAGTACATTCTTCCTGGTGGATTGAAAACCAGGCTTACCGGCCACGTGTCCGTGTGTCATTTTACGGGGTCTGTTCTGTTGCAGTGGTCTGCTGGTCCCATTGGCGCTAGAACATTCAGGTGGATAGATGAGGACAAATAGGCTTCCTTACTTAACAACACAGGGTTTCTTCACTGGGGCCTGGACTAGACTGTTGCTTACATGAAGACTTGCTCTTGCTATAGAAGTAGACAGCGTAATGAAGCCACTGGGACCGAACTTGAGTTCAAGCTGGCCCTGAGAAAAACGAAGTACATGACCCTTTTATTTCAATCGCTGGGACCATGTGTCCTCATCTGATCAAAATCAGTTAGATGTTAGCTGGGTACTGATGTCTCACATCTATCATCCTAGCTACTCAGGAGGCTGAGATCTGAGGATCACTGTGTAAGCCAGTCCCGGAAAGACAAGTCCATGAGATTCTTATCTCTACCCAGCAAAAAACCAGAGAGAGGTGTGGCTCAAACAGGCCTGACAGTGTCAGCTAATTTTCTAGTGTAACAGACTAGCTCTGTTTTGTGTTTAAGATCAAAATACCCCAGATGAGGAACGGACCTGGGCTATCACGGTTCGTCAGAGCTACCCCCAGAGGGCCCAGCACTATGAGTTCTACAAAACTGTGATGCCGCCCCCCGAGCTGGAGGCCTCCAGAGTTATCACCAGCCAAGGCACGGTTGTCAAGTACATGCTGGATGGGTCCACCCAGGTAAAACCATGCTTACACAGACTGCTCTTCCATGTGGAGATGGGCTGACAGGGAGAAAGCATAGCATAGCATAGTATAGCACAGTATAGCATAGAATAGAATAGCATAGAATAGCATAGCACAGCATAGTATAGCACAGCATAGAATAGAATAGAATAGCATAGTACAGCATAGAATAGCATAGCATAGCATAGAATAGTATAGCATAGTATAGAATAACATAGCATAGCATAAAATAGCATAGCATAGAATAGAATAGCATAGCATAGAACAGCATAGCACAGCATAGAATAGCACAGCATAGTATAGAATAGAATAGACTAAGGAGGCACGAGTCACTCAGCCTTGTATTCTTAGCTACTTAGGAGACTGAGACGTAAGGATTGAGGTTCAAAGCTAGCCACAGCAGGAAAACCCCTGAAACTCTTATCTCAACTAACCAGTAAAAAGCCAGAAGAGAAGGAGTAACATTGTCCAAAAAAAAGAAATGCACTCATTACCGAGTTAGGAAATGGCAACTCCTCTGTACAATACCTTAATGATAATACAATCATATATTTTTAAAAACAGAAGTGGAGCTGTGGCTCAAATGGTAGAGCATCAACTCTGAGGAACAAAAGCTAAGGGACAGCCCCCAGGTCCTGAGTTCAAGCCCTGGCCCCAGCATTAAAAGAAACAATTAGCTACAAAAGAATAGTTGAACCAGATAGACCTTAGCCTCCCCTCCTTCTGTTCCCTGGAGCGGTATACATAGAGCCAGATGGAGGCTTATGCAACGCCTAGAGCCTCTCTACCTAGGAGACAGAAGTTAAAAGAAATAAGCGATGAGGGCTGGGAAGGTGGCTCAGTGGTAGAGCGCTTGCCTTGCATGCCAGAGGCCCTGGGTTCGATTCCTCAGCACCACATAAGAAAAAGGCCAGAAGTGGCACTGTGGCTTAAATGGTAGAGCGCTAGCCTTGAGCTGAAGAGCTGAGGGACAGTGCCCAGGCCCAAAATTCAGGCCCCACAACCGGACCCAAGAAAAAAAAAAAAAAGAAAGAAGCAATGACCATTTTAAATGTAATCAGTCGAAAAACTGAAAGTTGTCCATATGATTTTCCAATCACCTGGAGTAAAGGTGATAAATGGAAAAATAAACCAATCTAACCACAGGTAGAACACAGAAACAAACAGGACAACAGGTAAATGGAAACTAGGAAGCCACTTGCCTACCCTTCGGTCGCAAGTAGTCTGGTGCTGCATCTTATTATTTTAACCCCCAAAGGTCAGCCACACAGGGCTGGTTAAGCAGCCTCTGCCTCACTTGTGTTCCCTTTAGATTCTCTTTGCAGACGGCGCTGTGAGCAACAGTCCAGATTCCGGTCCCGTGTGTGCCTCTCCCGAGACATCCACAAGCCCCCACAACGGAGATATGGTGGACACAGCTTCTCAGCAAAAATCAGAAACCGTCCCGTCGGAGATTGTCATCACAAAGAAGGGTGAGCAGCAAAGCCTCCCAGCTTGTTCCAGACAATACTTCTCCTTGCCCTGAATACATTCATGAGTGTCTATCGGAGCACGGATGGAGTTTCGTGCTCAACCCAGAACCACACCCTGTTTCATAAACAGCTTCCCTCCCGCTCCAGCAATAGATGATGAACATTAGCCGGGTGCTGGTGGCTCACGCCTGTCATCCTAGCCACTAAGGAGGCTGAGATCTGAGGATCACAGTTCAAAGCCAGCCTCGGGGGAAAAAAAGTTTTGGAGATTCTTTTCTCCAGTTAACCAGTAAAAATTGAGAAGTGAAGGCATGGTTCAAGGGGTAGAGCAGAAAAGGCCAACCCAGAGTGTGAGGCCCTGAATGGCCCTTCTGGTCTTGGTCTCAGATTTTGAGGAAGTAGATGAGCTTTCATGTAGCAACTTCCAAAGCAGAAAGGGGGTGAAGACAGGAGCTTGCTTCAGGAGTCTCTCTTCACCCAAGAAGGCTGTAGCTCCTACTTCACCCTCAGCCATTGTCTCTTAATTTATTTTTTTTTTTGTCAGTTGTGGGTCTTGAACTCTGGGCCTGGACACTGTCCCTCAGCTCTTCAGCTCAAGGCGAGTGCTTTACCACTTGAGCCACAGCGCCACTTCCATTTTTCTGGTGATTCATTGGAGATAAGAGTCTCACAGACTTCCCTGCTTTGGCTGGCCTTGAACCTAGATCCTCAGATCTCAACCTCTTGAGTCGCTGGGATGACAGCTGTGAGCCACTGGTGCCTGGCCTCCATCCTCTCCTTATTTCTTATTGACTAGACTCAGCTGGGCACCAAGGCTAGAAAAACAATTACCTGACATTTGAGGTCTTTTTGTTAGAAGGGGAGCCCTGTAGTAAGGATAAAGAGAGAGGATATAATGGAGTCAGTAACTGTCTCCGTAATCAAAATCCCAGCACTGCTTGTCCCAGTGGCCCTGGTTCATAGCACAGAGAATGCCTGTCTGCTCACCTAGGCCAGACTAGACCTTATCCACCCGGTCACATTCCATTTGACAAATAATTAATGCATCCATTTCTTTTGCATTTAGTTGATTACCTAGTGAGGTTAAGTATTTAAAGATGTTTATTGGATTTTCACTCATTTTGTAAATAAGAAAGACTTAATCAATTTCATTATGTTTCATACACCATCTATTTCATTACAATGTTTTCTTTGAAAAAATTGAATTATTTCAACTTCTTTCTACATTTCTCAATCTAAGAAGTGGTTTTAGTTTGTTGTCATAGTTGAGTTTTAGCTAACTACTTGAAAGTTGTTGAGACATAATTTATAGCCTCATCTCTAGTGAAGGTTGTTTTTTTTTAAAGAATTCTGTGATCGAAAATAGAATATTTACTATAGTTGGTACAGTGTTTTCATGATATTTATTAGATGAAACTTGTTAGTTGTGTTGTGCAGATCTAAACTCACATTCAGCAAACGTCTAGAAAGGGCAGGACAGTAAATATTTTAGTCTTTGTTGTCCATAAGGTCTTTGTCACAATTATACAAGTCTTCTCTTAGAGCACAAAAATAACCATAGACAAGTACACAATAAAGTGTGGCAGTAAGATTTGAGTTGCATATAATTTTCACGAGTCAATTTCTTTTCAGTTGTTTAGAAATATAAAAAAGGATTATGACATCACAGGCTGTATAAAACAGACAGAGGCTTTATTTACAACCTTTATTCCATATTTTTAAACCTTTTTTAATCTACTGTATCAGTTTACATGCTTAAATTGACTGGAAGGATGAAATTGTCTCATCAGTGCTGTGTTCCTTCTGATTTAATATTAAATATTAATTTTCTTCATTATGAAATTAATTTGTTTTCATAATAGTTGTCAGATTTACCTTCATATATTTTTAAGGATATAGTTTTAGATACTTACAACTTTAGAATTATCACATCTTTATGGTAAATAAATCTTTTCCATTATTTTACAATGGCTTTTTGGTTGTGATGGTGGTTGTGAGGCTTGAACTCAGGGCCTGGGGCACTGTCCCTGAGTTCTTTTGCTCAAGGCTAGTGCTTTACCACTTTGAGCCATAGCACCACTTCCGGTTTTTGAGTGGTTCATTGGAGTCACGAGGACTTTCTTGCCCAGGCTGGCTTTGAACCTCAATCCTCCTCAGATCTCAGCCTCCTGAGTAGCTAGGATTACAGGCATGAGCCACCGGCGCCCAGCTTATGCTGACTTTTGATTGTGGCTTTTTTTTCCTCCTGATGTTCCTTTTGCTTAATGTAACTCCAACTGTTCTACTGGAAAACTTTTCCTACACTTACTTTTCACGCTCGGTGGTTTACATTTAGATGAGTCTCTTTTCAAGAGTACATCGATGGATATTTCACGTCTTAAATCTGAATTTCTTGTTTTTCGGTACTTTAACCCATTAATTGCATAACTCATCGTTCCTGACATTTTCCTTGTAGTCCTCATCCTTGAGCGAAAATTTTACTAAGCGTAGAGTTCTAGATGAACAGTATTTTCTGGCTGTGCATTGACAATGACCTCCTCCCCCTTTCCCCAGCCTGAAGGACAGCATCATGGGGGAAGTGGGGGTGCGAGGTCAGTTACTGTAGAGCCCTCAGTTCACAAGCACCCAGGGACACTGCATGGACCATGACTTTCCAACTCTTTTGGCCTCCAATGTTGCTTATGAAACGCTGGCTCTCAATCTACTGGCCATGGCTTTAAAGATGTAATGGTCTGTGTTTTCCTTATCATTGCGTGGGCTTCTGTGGATGTGTCCAAGCAGGAATTCACTGGCCTGCTTGTTTACCTCAACTCCACTGCTGTCCGGTTTCCCTTCCCCAGGTCACAAAGGTCACAAAAGCCAGTCATCTGGCTCGCATAAGAATGAGCCCCACGAGCCGCCCACCATGGAGGCGCCTCAGGTGGCCACACCCATGGAGAGCCACCTGGGCATCTGGTACACAACCACACCCGATGGAAAGCGGATTGGCACCAAAGGGCTGGAAAGAATCCAAGACTTGGTCCCGTTCCTGTCCTTCCAGGCCACAGACCCCATCAATGAAACGGTACGGCAGATGGCTGCGTACTACAAAATTGCCTATGCCCTGAGAGTCTTTAAGACAGCATATAGGGGTGGGGAAGGTGCCTCAGTGATACAGTGCTTGCTTAGCACTCGTGCAGCCCTGGGTTTGAAAGCCAGAAGTGGTGCTGTGGCTCAAGTGATAGAATGCCAGCCTTGAACAAAAGATCAAGGACAGTGCCCAGGCCCTGAGTTCAAGCCCCAGGACTGGCAAAAACAAAAAAAAAGACAGCATATAGGAAAGTGTATAGAAAATAATTTTAAATAATTGTTTAATATCTGTATTTTGATCTGGCTGTGCACACACATACACAGACATTTACAAGTACAAACACTTCACAACACAATATGTTTGACTTAACCTGTAAGCTTTATTACATCCTTAATGAACAAAAATGTCCATTTTGCTCAGTGATTCCTATCACCAATAGGGAGGAACAAAGCAATCGATCTCTAAGAGCTTGAGAGTCAGCATAGCAATGGCAGAAATCCTGCTGTGTCCAGGCCGGCTGCCACACTTCCCCTCGGCCAGCTCAGCTTTCCATCTTCAGATAGGACATCCAAGCCAGGGAAGTTGAAAGGCTTGCCCAGGATTGCTCAGCCAATGGCAGTGTCAGAATGCAGGCTCCAGATGGCCTGGGGGGATCCCACACATCCCCTGCCAGGCAAGAGGCCAACATGGTCTTGTGGCCAAACTGGACAACGGGTAAATGGGTGGTTTTTTTCACAACCCAGACCTCAAGTCTTATGTGTAGAGGGAAACACTGCCCTGTGGAAAGCCCTCTGACACACCTCCCTTCATGCATACACTAGAGAGCCGAACCACTACCAGAAACAGGTGGGAACATGGATACCCGGGTATTCAAACTCAAGTCTGAAAGCTAACAGGCTGTCCCAGGCACTGCCCCTTGTCTTTCTACCAGACGGATCCAGCCGTTTGTGTTCTTCTCCAACCTTCTTTCCATCTGTCCATAATAACATTCTCCACCGGCACAGAAGGGATTATGGTTACACTTGACAGTGGAACTCACAGCCCAAGGCAGACCTGCACCCACGATAGCATGAACTAGTGGTCGGAAAGGATGCCACGGGGAAGGCCGTCCATTCTCTTCCCGAGGCAGCCCAGGCCTTGCGTGTGGCTTCCTGAACCCCAAGGTCCCAGCAGCATGCGTGGCAGCACAGAGGAGTGTACACGCATGTGTGGACCAGCATGGCAGAGGGCAGCTGCAGCCTCTCCAGTCTCCATACTGTTCAGCGGCCTGGAGGCCTAGCACCTGTGAGCCAACTCATAGCCCCACCATCCAGGGATGCCCTGCAGAGGATCTTAACTCTACCTGCCAAGGGTCTAGAAGCAGTTTTCCCCAATATTCGAGCCGATCCACCAGTCCCGATGGAACCAAATGTGTCCCGCCTCTTACCAAAGCAATTGTTCTAACTTCTCTAAGACTCAGCCTCCACTTCCTCATCTGTTAGATTTAATGGGGTACTTTCTGCCTCAATAATGTGGAAAGTGGTAGTTTGGATAGATAAGCTAAAAAACTTTCCCTTGTTTTGGTTTGTTGTCATCTGTATGCTTGTTGTGTCAGTACTGGGGTTTGAATCAGTGCCTGGGTGCTATTTCCTAGCTTTTTTTGCTCGAAGTTCCAATCAAAGCTGATGCTCTATCACTTGAGCCACAGACCCACTTCTAGTTTTTTGCTGGTTAAGAGTCTCCCAGACTTTCTTACCTGGGCTGGTTTTACACTGTGACCCTCAGATCTCAGCCTCCTGGGTAGCTAGGATTACAGGTGTGACCCTCAGATCTCAGCCTCCTGAGTAGCTAGAATTACGGGCAGGAGCACCCAGTGGATGTGGCCTCTGAACTCTTGGGGCTGAGTCAGGACGAGCAGGGGCCACGTGAGTGAGTTCTGCCTTGCATGCTCAGGTGATGACCACTCGAGAAGACAAGGTGGTCATTGTGCAAAAGAAGGATGGCACTCGGATAGTGGACCACGCCGACGGCACCAGAATCACCACCTTCTATCAAGTGTATGAAGACTGCGACCCCCCTTCCCGCGATCAAGAAATGAGTACGTTTTCTTGTCAGACACGTAACCATCTTTTGTAACTCCTACCACGAGAAAGGTAGAATCTTCACACCTGAACAAGGCACATACACACTCATTTTTTAAAAAGACTTATGCAGTCTAAACCTGGGTCTATTAGAACCTTGAATTATTATTGTTATTATCATTATTGATATCATCAGCTTGACGCCTGTTGTCTAACCTTTGCTCTGCCCGTAGCTGACAGTCCGGGATCTGTCACGCGGAGGGTGAAGTGCATGCGGGTAGAAAGCCTGCACCATGCCACTGTCATCACAAACTGCGAGGACAGCAGCTGCTGTGCCACCTTTGGGGATGGGACATCCATCATCGCAAAGCCACAGGGCACCTACAAGGTAGGTCCTTGCCTGCCCCAGGCCCGTGACTCCCACCGACCATCCTAGCTATGCTGGAGGCTGAGTTCTGATGATGGAGCTTCAAGGTCAGCCCGGGGCAGGAAAGCCTGAGAGACTCTTATCTCCAGTTAGCCACCAAAAAGCTGGAAGTGGAGATGTGGCTCAACTGGTAGAGTGGTGCCCCCTTTGAGCAGCAAAAGCTCAGCAGAAGTATGAGGCTCTGAGCTCAAATCCCAGTACTAGCACCAGAAAAAAAAAAAAACCTTGTTTTTAAATGTTTTCCTGTCTTTTGTTTCCCCTTGCAGGTGTTGCCCCCCAACACGGGCTGTCTTTATATCGATAGAGATTGTTCGGCCACGTACTTCCATGAAGCGAGTAGCAATATCTACCATCCTTTCCAGAAACGTGAGCAGCTCCGGGCCAGCCGGTACATCATGAAGCACACGTCTGAAGTGCTCTGTGAGGTCATGGACCCTGAGGGAAACGTCTTCCAGGTACAGAACCCCCGGGCCTCAAGAATGGTGGCCTCCTCAGCCATCGGGTAACATCAGGGTGGACACGTGTCTCCCCTGCCCTGGGGCGATAGATGTACTTTGTGTTCATACTTTGGCCAGAAATCATCCATGTCAATATCTTTGCTTTTTCCAGTCACTGTGTGTGTCTGTGTGTGTGTGTCTGTGTCTGTGTGTGTATCTGTCTGTCTGTCCATCCTGGAGTTTGAACTCTGTCCCTGGGCTCTGTCCCTGAGCTTTTTGTGCTCAAGGCTAGCACTCTACCACTTGAGCCACAGCTCCACTTTGGGTTTCATTGGAGATTAAGAGTCTCAAGGACTTTTTCTTCTCTGGTTGGTTTCAAACCTCAGTCCTCAGATCTCAGCCTCCTGAGCAGCTAGGATGACAGGCACGAGCCAGTGGTGCCCAGCCCCTACTCACTTCCTAACAAATGTGTTCCAGTTGGTTCTCATAGCCAGTGTACAGTTCACAAGTAGAACCAAGCTGCGGGTTTTCACCTTTAGGAACACAGTTTAGAATCGGGCTGATACTGATCTTCCCAGTTCTCAGACAGGAAGTGGAGAAGTGGACTGTTGTGGTGCTTGACTTCTCGTTCAGTTACTCGTGTACTTTTTCTCCTAGGTCATGGCTGACGGGACAGCCTCAACTATGTTGCCTGAAAAAAAACTGGAAGAGGAGTTGAATATACAGACTGAGGGCTATGAGAGTTTATCATCGGTTCACCTGGAAAAGAATCATATGCAGATCTATGGGGAGCATGTCCCAAGGTAAAAGAAGAAGAATATTATGACTTTTCTGGGGGGAAGAGGATTTATCAGGGAGAAATGACAGAGAATGAGAGAGGGAGAGAGAGAGAGAGAGAGAGAGAGAGAGAGAGAGAGAGAGAGAGAGAAAGAGAGAGAGAGAGAGTTCTCACTTCCCATGCAGGAAACAGGAGTTAAAGACTGCACAACTTCGATTCCCAATTCCAAAGTTGATAGAACAAGCATTTTCGCTAGACCCTTTGCAGTGATTTCGCCTGTTGCATCCCTGAACAGGTTTTTTGTTATCTATGCCAACGGATCAGGGCTGGAACTCCTGCGGGACAGCGACATCGAGGAATACCTGTCCTTGGCCTATGGAGACTCGACCTCAGTGGTTCTCCACGAGCCCATTCAGGAGCAGCCCGGTACGCAGCGCCCCCTGCTGCCCCTGTGGTGCTCAGAGATCACACTGCACGCTGCCCCATCCACCCAGGCTCTCTTGCATCTCCCCTGGTCTCCCTTTGCAACTTCCCTGCCCTCTGCCATGCACCTGCCTCTCTGTCTGTCTGTGGCTGTTCGAATTTGTGTTTACATCTTGCTATTTCTCAAGCCACAATGTTGGAAGTGAGTTTCACAAGGCAACCACCACTCAGGGGAAGCAAGCTGATGACACACGCTCAAAACGCACTCCTCCGGTGCGGCCTGAGCGTGAATTCTATGCTAGGCAGATTTGTACCTGCGTTGTCTGTGAGTTCACAGACAACTTTGTTAACTTGAAAAGATTGCTTTAGTGAAATTGAATATAAAAAGAATAGAAATATAAGTAGGAAATATGTTTTATCTGGGCACTGGTGGCACATGCCTATAATCCTAGCTACTCAGGCAGACAAATCCGAGAGACTCTTGTCTCCAGTTAACCAGCAAAAAGCTAGACATGAAGTGTGATTCAAGTGATAAGAGTACTAGCTTTAAGTGAAAAAGTCAAGAGACAGCACCTAGGCCTTGAGTTCAAGCCCAGGTACAGACACACAGACACACACACAATTTATTGAAATATTTGGAAGTATGTGGATGTGGCTGTTGAGGGCTATGAGGTGACAATGAGTTTTCTAGGCAAACAGCCTCACCTGGTTTGATTACAAGGTCCTACCTCAAAATCACTGCAACTCACTAACCTTTCTGTGGTAATTCCCAAATGTTTGCTGACTTTAGTGAATGCTGCTGAATGGGTCAGGATAATTCTGGTTACCTGTCTCTGAGCCAGGCACCCTGAGTATCACTGTCCTGCGTCCCTTCCACGAAGGATCACCGTGGCTGCTGAAGAAGGAATTAGACAGCGTGGTTCCACCCAATCTCTGCTCAAGGCCGTGGGACACCTTCCCCTCAGTGGAGGTATGCACCTTCCTCTGTACTCACTCGATTTGCATATCCAGCCCTGGACCGGAGTCTCTGATCCTTTCCCACGTACTCATGAATTTTCACCCTACTCTAAGTTGCTCATGGACTTAGATTTCAAGACTTTTGACATTTGTAGATAGAATACAGAATTTTAGAGGAACGTGTCTGGCTGATTTCAGTTTTATCCTTTATTCAATATATTACAAGCTTGAACATCTTCCTATAATATTATTCTAACTTATCCATGATGCACCTCGCTCCTCTCCTGCCATGGAATTAGGATTACTACATAATTCCCTCCCCTTTTTTAGACTCTGTGTGTGTGTGTGTGTGTGTGTGTGTGTGTGTGTGTGAACTCCAGGCCTGCACACTGTCTCTAAGCTTTTCAGCCCAACGCTGGCATTCCGCCACCTGAGACACCTTCACTCCCTACTTTTTGCCGGTTAATTGGAAAGTCTCACAGACTTCCTGCCAGGGCTGGCTTTGAACAACAATCCTCAGATGTCAGCCTCCTGAGTAGCTAGGATTACAGGCTGAGCCACCTAGAAATTCCTGTTTTTCTCCTTGCAGTTTGAGGCCAGCTCATGCAGGTACAAGACCCTATCTGAAACACAAACTAAACAGTCAAAAGAACTGGGGATACAGTGTAAGTGGTAAAGTCCTGAATTCAATCTCCAGGAAAAAAAGAAAGGAAGGAAGGAAGGGAGGGAGGGAAGGAGGAAGGAAGGAAGGAAGGAAGGAAAGAAAGAAAGAAAGGAGGGGGAGGGGTGGGAGGGAGAGAGAAGGGAAAGAACAGGAGAGGAAAAAGGAGAGGAAAAGAGAAGGAAGGAAAGAGGAAGGGAAAGGAAAGATTCCACATTCTTGGATACATACTCATAAAAAGGATACCTTTTCTGTATTGTTTTCTATTTGTAGTTTGTGGAGGGCAAGGATCTCTCTCTCTCTCTCTCTCTCTCTCTCTCTCTCCCCCCCCCCCACCTCCCCCCCAATGAGTGGGTCATTCCCAGGGCTGTAGATGCTGCTTTTTCTGGAAGCATGGCTTCTTTTCCTGGGCGGTCAAGGACGGCTGGTGTGGCTTGGCACCCCTGCCCTTGCTTTGTGTCTATCTCCTTTGCTACCTAAAACTGTGGGCCTACTGCTGCTCAGCTGTGCCCTCCGCACAGGCCTCCTGCAAAGGGCACTCACCTCAGATGGCTAATCCTCCCCCCGGGTGCTGAAGGCACCTGGACAAGGGAAACTAAGACATGTGTGAGATGTGTGGGCATGGTGTAACCTTCAGATTGCCAGCAACCAACTCTTACAACTTCCTGTCCACATCGAACAGATGACATCTCCACATCTCCTCACTGCCTCGAAGCAACCAACTCCAGCCGCCCAGGTGTTCCCCGATTCCCCATATTCATCACAGCGATCAGGACCACCGGGACGGACCACCAAGCCCCTGGTCACAGTCAAGCCCTCCTCCCCAAGGCAGCAGCAACTCCTTTTGTTCCCAGGGCTCTTCAGGGCTGATCCACCCAACCTCGCTTCCATCATGGCTGCTCAACTCCGGCTTCCATTCCTTTCCCTCTGTAACCTCAATTTCTTGTTAGGTTCTTAGGGGCCAGCCTTGTTTCCCAGTGTGGCCACACAGAGCAGCAGATTTCTTTCCTCCTCCTTTGCTTTTGCCATTTTGTTCTGGGACTGAGGGCCATACACGGTCCCTGTAACAACTCCTAGCACAGCAGCATAGCAACACCATCACCCAGGAAACCAAGGAAAAGCCATTGCCCATGCAGTCTGAATTCTTGCTTTGTTTTGCTGACAGAGAAAAACCCCAGGGCCGCCATTTGGCACGCAGATCTGGAAAGGCTTCTGCATGGAGACGAAGCAGCTGGTGAGCGTGCCCGCACCCGTGCTCAAGGGCCCCGATGTGCTCCAGATCCGCCAGTTCTTCCAGCATGAGGTCATAAAGGATGAGGTGAAGCTGAAGCTGCAGGTTTCCCTGAAGGTAAGGAGACCCGGACCGCATGCAACCAGGAGAGCCAGACGCCAGCGGATCCTTCCTGCCGGCTCCCAGGACCTCAAAATAATCTCGCCCCACCAATATTTAGGGCCACATATGAATGTCAGACATCCGGGAGAAGGCTGAGAGACAGACATAGACATAGTTAATATTCTGCAGGCTCACGCCTGTCAGGAGGCTGAGATCTGAGGATCACAGTGTGAAGCTAGTCCTGGTAGGGCAGTCGATGAGACTCTCACCTCCAGTTAACCAGCAGAAAGCCAGAGTGGGAAGTGTGGCTCAAGTGGCTCTAGTCTTGAGGGAAAAAGCCAAGCAAGAGCAGGGAGTCCTGAGCTCAAATCCCCACTACCGACCCACCACACACACGCACACACACACAGACACACACACACAGACACACACACACAGACACACACACACGCACATACACACACACACACGCACACACACACACACAGACACACACACACACACACACAGACACACAGACACACACACAGACACACACACACAGACACACACACACACACACAGACACACACACACACACACACACACACAGACACACACACACACACCCCCACACACAGACACACACACACACAGAGCTACACTTGTGGACTTTTATTGTTAATGACCTACTAAGAAAAGGGCTCACCAGAAGGCTTGACAAGTAACTGCTGGTTGAGCAGTATGAACTCCATACTGAATCTTTTGGTAGAATTTCAAGTGGATATTTACTCTGTTGGTGTCTCACCTTATTATTGATCGGTATTTGTTTTATCCTACTGATGTAGGACTACATAAACCATATTCTAAAGAAAGAAGATGAGCTACAGGAGATGACAGTCAAGGATTCCAGAACAGAAGAGGAGAGAGGCAACGCTGCGGACCTCCTCAGGCTAGTTATGGTGAGCGAAAACTCTATACACCGTTGAGTCAATATTACCCTAAAGAATAGCCATATATATTTTTTTTTTTTTTTTATTTTTTTATTTTTTATTTTTGCTAGTCCTAGTCCAGGCCCTGAACTCAGGGCCTGGGTACTGTCCCTGAGCTGCTTCGTCTTCTTTTTTTTTTGCTCAAGAATAGCATTCTGCTATTGAGCCACAGCGCCATTTCCGGCCTTTTCTGTGTATGTGGTACTGAGGAATTGAACCCAGGGCTTCATGCATGCTAGGGAAGCACTCTACCACTAGGCCACATTCCTAGTCCCAATAGCCAGATATTCTGACACTACTATGAAGCATTTCTTTCTCCCTATATTTCCTTATTCCTGTGAAAATAACTATTCTTTTTTATTTCTGTGCTGGTACTGCAGCTTACACTCTTATTTAGAATTACTGCTCAAGGCTGGTGCTCTACCATACCCCCCACTTACATGATTTCCATTTTTAAAGTTGCTAGATAAAGCCAGGCACCAGTGGCTCATGACTGTAATCCTAGCTACTCAGGAGGCTGAGATCTGAGGATCATGCTCAGGCAGAAAAATCCATGTGATTCTTATCTCCAATTACCCAACAAAAGGCACCAGTGCAAGTGAGACTCAGCAAGTAGAACCCCCGCTTTCAGTGAAGAAGCTGAGAGAGAGCTGAGGCTCTGAGCTCAAGGCTCAGTTACCAGCACAGACACACACTAAAATTGCCAAGTAAAAGGAATGACCAAAAATGCAAGTAAACATTATATTGGCATTAAAAACTAATTCATTTTAGAGTTATTTTCATTTAGAAAATCAATGTAGGCCCCACTGCTTCTGAACAGAGTGACTTTCGTGTGAATTGTAATCCTTACCACGTAATTCTGTCTTCCTTCCAGTCTTTCCCTAAAACAGAGGAGACTACAAAAGCTAGTGCCACTGAAGGTAACTTTTTCTGTAATACAAAATATCATTACAAATTCCAAAAAGTAATCTTAAATGCACTTCAATATTCTCTGATTCTTCTGTTCCTGCATTGGCCATGTTGTACTTTGGCATTTATGTATTATTGTGTCTAAGAGAGCCTCAAAAACCATGGTTGTTTAATGAATGAAAGATGCTCTTTGACTTCTTTGTTGACCTCAGTCATTTAGCAACACAGCTAACATACAGAAACAGTCAACTAGCCAAAAACTCATCCTCTGAATACATACATAACATTTCCAAGCAACCATACAGTTATGACCCCAGCACCTGTGCTACTGTGCACTCACTCTTACAAGGTCTCATTAAAGTCCCTTGCTCAGAACCCAGCAACATGGTTTCACTGTGTCGCAACATGGAGGCCACTGCCTTCATCAGCCTCCAGACAAGGCCTGGTTGCCGGTCCCATCCAGCACACAGTGTGACAGCTGGAAAAGCTTCGATATCATTTATATAAACATATGCTTACACCTCCAAGAGAGGTGAGCAATGAAGTTGGTCAACCTCTGTCCTCCATGTTTAACGGGTCAGAGGGCATTAGCTTGGCAGTTTTCCGTGTGGAGCAAGGGGCACATTCCAAGGGTCAGGTCATGGGAAGCTGGGGAGCAGGAAGCACACACACGGCTCATCCTGTGGAAGTGGTGCTGTGGCTCAAGTGGTGGAGTACAAAGAGGGTTGGGGACAGTAGCCCAGGCCCTGAGTTCAAGCCCCAGGATTGTCTTTTGACAGGATCACCACCAAACACTCAGAATCCTGCATCTTTACTCACACATCTCTGATCATATAAAGTAATATTTATCCCAAATGAATTCCAGGAAAGGGAAACAAGAGGTATTTTCTTTTCTTTCTGTCTTGTCTGTTCATTTGTCTGTCTTTGGGAGGGTAAGGGGAGCAATGAAGGAAGAAGGGGTGAACAAATGCAGCAGTGGTACTCACTGGATACTATGCTGAAAATGAACTCTACACCTGTGGGTGGGAACAGGAGGGAAAAACAGAGAGCAAGAGGAGTGACATGTCCAAAAAGAAATGTGCTCATTACCTGACTTATGTCACTGTAACCGCTCTGTATATTACCTTTATAATGACAATAAAAAATTATAAGGCAAACAAACAAGGCAGGATTTCTCTACTGGCATCAGGCATTCACATACACACACACATACACACTTCCTGTACCCAGTCATAACCTTCAGGGGGCTCTATGGTCACACTTGGTGTGTCTTCCACAGTCCTTGTGGGTCTTTTTAGTTTGTGCTGTGTTTATTGTCTGTGTAAAGTTTTCTCCTCTTGGTGTGTGGGTGTCGGTATTGGGACTTGAACTCAGGAAGGACCTTGTACTGTCCCTTTGCTTTTTCACTCAAGGCTGGCACTCTACCACTTGAGCCACAACTCCTCTTCAGATTTTTTGCTGGCTAACTAGAGATAAGAGTCTCAGAGACTTTTCTGCCAGGACTGGCTTCAAACTGTGATCCTCAGATCTCAGCCTCCTGAGTAACTAGGATGACAGGCATGAGCCACTGGTGCCTGGCAATTATAGTTTCTTCAAAATATTTCAGTGGAGTAACTGTGATCTGATTTTGTCATTAGGCTGTAAAGAAATTAGAATAAATATTCAATGCATGCATTTTCAAGTTGCAGCCCACCTAGCTGATTTATACAAGAAATCACTGCCTTCTGCTCCACCATGTCCGTCAGAAACATTTACGAAAGATTTTTTTGAAAAGAAATGGAGGTAAGCTCATCCACAATTACGTTTTAATTAGTGACAGTTATACGGTGATGAAGGGAGAGATGGGAGGGTCGTGACAAGTGACACCCAGCTCCGAATTCACCGACTTCCCTGCCCTTCTCTCCCGTGCTCACCGTCTATCTCACACTTGAGAGCCTCATTCCTGAATTTGCACATCCTGTCTTTTCTTCTCCCATAGGAACACAGAATCAGGAAAGCACTGGAGAGAAAAACTAGAAAAACAGAGGTAATTATTATTATTATTATTTTGTCGGTCATGGGGCTTGAACTCAGCCTGGGCGCTGTCCCTCAGCTCTTCAGCTCAAGGCTAGTGCTCTACTACTTGAGCCAAAGCGCCACTTCTGGTTTTCTGGTGGTTCATTGGCGATAAGAGTCTTCTGGACTTTCCTGCCTGGGCTGGCTTTGAACTGCGATCTTCAGATTTCTGCCTCCTGAAGGTAGGATGACAGGTGTGAGCCACCATCACCTGGCAAACAGAGGCAATTCTACAATATGAGGAGCCAGAGTCATGGACTCTTAGAGTTGGTGGGCTATAAAGTCCTATTGTAAGGCTCCTGGCCTCTGCAACATTGCTGTCTTGTGTGTGTGTGTGTGTGTGTGTGTGTGTGCGCGCACACACACACACACACACACTTGCATACACTGCTACTAGGGTTTGAACTCAGAGCCTAGGTGCTTTCCCTTAGCTTTTCACTCAGAGCCTAGGTGCTGTCCCTTAGCTTTTCACTCAAGGCTGTCCCTCTACTACTTGAGCCACAGCTCCACTTCTGACTATTTGCTGGTAATTTGGAGATAAAAGTCTCACAGATTTTCCAGCCCAGGCTGGCTTCAAACCTTGATCCTCAGACCTCAGCCTCCTGAGCAGCTGGGATGACAGGTGGCCCCGGGGGTTGTTGAAATGAGATGCCTGGTCCATCTTCAGGTCCTGCTTCAGGTCAGGCCATCCTGAACAGGGGTACTCATCTTCGAGGGAAAGTATCTCCAGTCAACTATGGTTTGGTTACTAATAGACTGTAGTGTGCTGGTGGGTTATTTCACCTCTAGCAAAGCTATCTCTGGGATTGCAGATTTCTTGTGTATAAAATCGTGGGAAAGATCGAACCACTAAATAACTAAAACTTCTTTCAACTCTCAGTACGGCCCACTGGCTTCCTAGTAGGTATAGAGAACATGCCATGCTTGGGTAGTGATATTGTTTGGAGTAGGTAATTTGGCCTATCTGAAACTTGTAGTTTTCATGTGTGCCGGTTCTGGGGCTTGAATTCAGGGTCTGGTCACTCTTCCTTGGCTTTTTCACTCAAGGCTGGCCCTCTACCATGTGAGCCACAGCTCTACTTCCAGCTTTTGGGTGGTAAATGGGGGAGATAAGAGTCTCATAGACTTTTCTGCTCAGGCTGGCTACGAACCATGATCCTCAGATCTCAGCCTCCTGAGTAGCTAAGAGTACAGGTGTGAGCCACCAGCATGTGACTATTTTATTTATTTATTTTGTCAGTTGTGGGGTATGAGCACTTAGCTCAGATTTGATATTTTGGCTCTAAAATTGTGACTATGTTGCATCCAGTGACTTCAACCCATACCTCATTGGTCTTAGGCTGCCTATTGCCTTCCTGAAGGATTCTGGCATTACAAAGAGAACACTACAATGATAACTTATTTTTTACTTTATAACCATCTCTCAGGTTTGGGTGTCTGCTACCACTCCAACTGAAATTACGAAAACAAGTACTTTCTAGCTTTCATTTAAACGTTACAGAACAGAAGACCCTCAAAGGTTCAGACATTGTAAAAACATCCCTTTGGTCATTTATCATGAATGACTGAAATAAAAATCAAAATATATCAAGATATTATGATTTTCAGTCTTATATCACAGTCAGATTTTCAAATCAGCGTATGTGATTCCATTTCATAAGTAGAAAATGAACTCAAATAGTTGAACAACAAACAAAAAAAGTATAAAGCATTTATTCTTACCTGTTATACTGTCAACAATTGCATTGATTTTTTCTGTGGAATTTAGAGCTACTACATAAGCAAATAACATTTTTAATGTCTTGTGTCTCTTTTTTCATTATTATGGAAATATCAACTAGGAGTGAAATTGAGAAAACTAAAAAATACCTAAGGGAAATTAGGGAGAAAACCATAGAACCCTACTTCACAGCTGATTTGGGACTGTTATACAAGTCTCAGGTAATAATCGACCTTAACTTCTTTATTAAAGTTGATATGTTGTATAATTTGTAACCTAACTTTCCAGATGTTTAAATCTTTAAGGTTTCAACCTGATGATTAACCCATAACTAACTTTCAAACCCATATTCTCATAGGAATACGATTAGGGGTATTTAATGCCATGTCCTCTTCTACCAGTATATTATGATCACGACCCCGCCACATCTTCTGTTATAAACATCTTTTATCCTCTCCCATGTATTTTAAGGTCTTCTTTGCACTCATCCCCATCACAATTGTCAGCAGTCAAGCCCAGCTTGAGGTCTGTGTTAGAACTGCCACACCCACAGGTAGCCCCTGGAGATAGAACACTCTCCTCCAGCACTCTCCCCTAGACCTCAGACACTCTCAGCCTTTCCTCATTGCCTGTTCTCAGGAACCGGAGGCAAAGGGAATATTTTTGTGTTTAAAACACCATTCAACTCAGGAGGCTGAGATCTGAGGATTTTGGTTTGAAGCTCACCCAAGCAGACAGATCCCTGTGATTCTTTTTTTTTTTTTTTGTCGGTCGTGGGGCTTGAACTCTGGGCCTGGGCGCTGTCCCTCAGCTCTTCAGCTCAAGGCGAGCGCTCTACCACTTGAGCCACAGCGCCACTTCCGGTTTTCTGGTGGATTATTGGAGATAAGAGTCTCACGGTCTCTCCTGCCCGGGCTGGCTTTGAACCACGATCCTCAGATCTCAGCCTCCTGAGTAGCTAGGATTACAGGCGTGAGCCACCAGCGCCTGGCTCCCTGTGATTCTTATCTCCAATTTACCAGCCAAAAGCCAGAAGCAGAAGTGTGGCTCAAGTGGTAGAACACCAGCCTTGAGCACAAAAACTAAGAGGGAGCATGAGACCCTGCATTCAAGCCCCACTGCCCGCACACATGCATGTATACACACATACACAAAAGGATGCCATGCACGCCAGAGGCTGCCCAAGAAGAACTCACAGGAAATTATGTCCAAATGAACAAAAGCTACATTTCAATTCATAGAGTTAGAGAACTCTATTTTTCAGAGTCTTAAAGACAGGCTTTCAGCGTGGCACAGTGGTGTGACATTTGTGGCAGTTGTCTTTTCAGCCACATGAGTCTAAAATAAGTTTTGTGCTTTTTTCCTTTAAGTATAATTATCTGAACAAGCTTTCCAAAAACCTGCCTCCTATCACCAAGAAAGAAGAAAAGACAAGGGAATCGATTAGTCCAGATATATTTGATCTTCACTCAGGTAATACCTGTGTGTGGTTCTCTTTCCTCTCAACCCCACCTGACCCAGGAAAGCCTGGCAGGAGCCTGGAGGAGGCAACAGGTCAAGCAGCTGTCTGTCTTAGCAACAGGGGAAAACAGAATACACTGACACCTGCATAGTACAGGACTGGCTGAGTTACATTACAAAAAAGATAGCCCAGTACCGGTGACTCACACCTGTAAATCTAGCTACTCAAAAGCCTGAGATCTGAGGATTGTGGTTTGAGGCCCAACCCATGTAGAAAAGTTCATGAGGGCCTTATCTTCAATTAACCAGCTAAAAGCCAGAAGTAGAGCTGTGGCTCAAGTGGTTGAGTGCCAGCCATAAGTAAAAAAGCTAAGGAAGTAACTGTGGTTCAAGTGGTAAAGCACTCGCCTTGAGCTGAATTGCTGAGAGACAGCACCCAGGCCCAGAGTTCAAGCCCAACGATGGACAAAAAAAAAAAAAGAAAGGAAGGAAGAAAGGAAGGAAGGAAAGAAAGAAAGAAAAGCTAAGTGAGTTGAATTCAAGCCCCAGTACTGGCATGCGCACGCATGCACGTGCACGCACGCGCACACACACGCATCTCATAGTTACAGGGTTATATCTCAGTAACCATTACTATATAAAAACAGAGGTAGATCACCTGACCTCTTCACATACCACAATTGTAGTATTTGGTCACAGGAACCACAAAGACCCAGCCAGCTCTGAGGAATTAAGAACCTTGAAGACAGGCCCCCGTTGGCTAAAGGCCGCACTGTGAGGAACCGGCCTCTTCTTCAGCTCTCTCAGTACAGCGTGAGGAAGGACTCAGTGCATTGCACAGCACACCGTTCCACCCACTCACACCTTAGAGCCACCATCATATAATTATCCAAAACTAGTGTTTTTTTCCATGTCTGTTTTGGGTTTTGTAGGGTCCAGCTCCTCCACAGTCTCAGAACAGGAATCCCTCAATACTTACAGTATCCCCACGTCAATGATCTCAGAGGATACCAAGAGGTCTCCGACCCAGGATGAAAACGACCACCTCACAAGAATCACTGAAGGTACCGCCTGGCAAGCTCGCCCCTCTGCGTCCTCCACATGAGACGCTGTGACACTGTGGGGTGTGCCGGGGTGCCAGGGCTGGGGTGCAGTTGGCAGTCATGGGACACCTCCAAAGGACCCAGGATCTATGGAGACTTGCAAGGAAGGCTCAGCATGTCACAGTCGCTCCAAAGATATCCAGAGAATGACAAGGCCTCGACTTGGTTGGTTTTGGGTTTTTTTCCTTTTTCAGATTTGCTAATTTTTTTTTATTGTGAAAATACAGAGAGGTTACAATTACATGGGCAAGATAATGAGTACATTTCTTGTCAAGCATTGTAGCCTCCTCCTTTGTTTCCCCTTCCCTTCCCATCCTCCCCCCACCACCAAAGTTGTAAAGTTTGTTTTCAACATAACAACTTGTACATCTCATTGTTGCAATGGGTCCACCTGTATCCCTATTTAAACGATTTGATTTTCCCCTTCCCCTCCACAAATTATACCGACATCAAATACAGTGATAGCAGGGGTTATACCATGGAGGAGGGACATACAAAGCAACAAAGAAATAATCTTATAAATGTGTTAGAAACAATCGCATGAAAGAAAAAAAAAAACATTTGAATATATAACTTAGGTTTCATTCCCCTAACATCAACTTATCTGACCTTTTTACTTGACTCAGACATATACTAGATATTGCAAATAAGGGAAACCATGGGACCTATGTTTCTTTGGGCTTGGCTTACTTCACTTAATATAATTTTTTCCAAGCCTTTCCATTTCCTAACAAATGGGGCAATGTCATTCTTTCTGATGGAGGCATAGAATTCCATTGTATATATATATACCACATTTTCTTGATCTATTCATCTACTGAGGGGCATCTGGGTTGGTTCCATATCTTAGCTATAGTAAATAATGCTGCAATAAACATAGTCGTGCTGGTAGCTTTAGTGTGGTCTTGTTTGTAAACATTTGGGTAAATGACCAAAAGTGGGATTGCTGGGTCATAGGGGGAGCTCTATGTGACGTCTTTTGAGGAACCTCCATACTGCTTTCCAAAGTGGTTGAACAAGTTTACACTCCCACCAACAATGCAGTAAGTTTCCCTTCTGTCCACATCCCCTCCAGCATCTGTTGTTATTAGAGTTCTTGATTTTAGCCATTCTAACTGGGGTGAGGTGGTATCTCAATGTTGTTTTGATTTGCATTTCTTGTATGGCTAGGGAGATTGAGCATTTCTTCATGTGTCTATTGGCCATCCTTCTTTCCTCTTCAGAGAAGTTTCTCTTTAAGTCTTTAGCCCACTAATTTATTGGGCAGTTGTTTCTTTGAAGATTTGTTGTTGGAGGATTTAATTTTTTGAGTTCCAGGTATATTTTAGATATGAGACCCTTGTCTGATGTATGGCTAGTGAACATCTTCTCCTAATCCGTGGGCTTTCTATTGATCTTGCTAGCTATGTCCTTTGCCATGCAGAAACTCTGCAATTTCATGCAATCCCATTTGTCCAACCTTTCTTTGATTTGTTGTGTTTCTGGGTCTCTATTAAGAAAATTTCGGCCTGTGTCAACAAGACCTAGGGTTTCTCCTATTCCATCCTGTAATGTTTCCAGAGTATCTGCTTTGACTCCGAGGTCTTTGATCCATTTGGAGTTGATTCTGGTGCAGGGTGATATATAAGGATCTAGCTTTAGTTTTCTACAAGTAGTTAACCAATTTTGCCAGCACCATTTACTGAAGAGGCTCTCTTTCTTCCATTCTATTTTTTTAGCTCCCTTATTGAAGATTAGATGGCTGTAGGTCTGTAGGTTCATTTCTGGGTTTTCAATTCTATTCCATTGGTCCTGAAGTCTGTTCTTGTGCCAGTACCAAGCTGTTTTGATTACTATGGCTTTATAGAGTTTGAAATTTGGTATTGATATTCCTCCAGCACTGTTCTTTCTGTTAAGGATCGTTTTAGCTATTCAGGGTCTTTTATTGTTCCATATGAATTTTTGGATTGCCTCTTCTATTTCCTTGAAGAATGAGGTTGGAATTTTGATAGGTATCGCATTGAATTTGTAGATAGCCTTAGGAAGTATTGCCATTTTCACGATGTTGATCTTTCCAATCCAGGAGCATGGGAGTTTTTGCCACTTTCTAAGTTCTGTTTTGATTTCCTTTTTCAAGTTTTTAAAGTTTTCATTATAGAGGTCCTTCACTTCTTTGGTTAAGTTAATTCCTAGGTATTTTATTTTTTGAGGGGCTATTACGAATGGAGTTGCTTTCCTAATTTCAGCCACATTTTTCTCATTGTTGGCATACAGAAAAGCCATTGATTTTTGAGGGTTAATTTTATACCCTGCTACTTATAGAACAGGAGTTTTGCCACGGATATGGGTGAATTTAGAATTTCACTCTGAGCCAGGTGCTTGTGGTTCACGCCTGTAATCCTAACTATTCAGGAGGGTGAGATCTCAAGCTGGGCAGAAAAGTCTGTGAGACACTTCCCTTCAATGAACCAGCCAGAGCTGGGAACAGATGTGGGCTCAAATAGTAGAGCATCAGCTTTGAGTAATAAGCCAGGTAAAAGCTCAAGACCTTGAGCTCAAGTCCCAGTACCAACAAGAAAGAATGTTTTAAAGACATGTAACAATAATATCAGAAAAGAAAAAAAAATTAGGTGAGAGAGAAGGGCAGGATGACATTCTATAATGTACCAGAAATTTGTGGGATTTTTTTTTAAGTTTTATTCAGACATCATAGGGAGATTTTAAGTAGGAGGTTTTGCCAAGCACATGCCAGGGCCCTGAATTCAAATCCCATTACTACTCCTCCTTCACACACACACACCCCAAAAAAGGTGGCACTTAACAGCATCTGCACTGCTTACCTCGCGGGGCTGCAGTAAGGATCAGTCTTGGGTAATATCACTTACAAAATGTACATATATAAGATGAGGATTTAAAAAAAAAAGGCTTCATTCCTTTAAAAGCAAAGAAGCCATGTTTCCAAACTGTTTAATATTCCTGTAGACTCCAGGAGAACCTCAAATCTTAGAAAAATCCATGTGACATAATTTCAACTTTTTCTCTACCAGAACTGGAATCTTCTGAGACCTGGAAAATCCCAACCCAGTCATTATTGCAGGATGTGGCCGGACAAGCAAGGAAAGAAAAAGTGAGGCTGCCCCACTACCTGCTGAGCTCCAAGACCAAGAGTAAGCCTCTTGGAAAGGTAAGAATAGACTTGATTCCCAGAACCAGGCAGGCTCTTCCACAACCCTTGGCCTTGGAGGAGCTAGGATGACAGGCGTGGTTGTTTCTATTCATGTGTTCTTCCCCAAAGATCCATGACTGTGTCGGGGGCAAAGTGAACACATCCTCCATCGCCTCAGCCGTCAAGAACAACGCCAAGGCCTCCCCTTTCGGGTTCTATCTTCTGCCACCATCGGTGAAGTTTGGAGTGCTGAAAGAAGGACAAACCTACGCTGCCACAGTAAAGCTCCAGAATATTGGCGTAGACTTCTGCAGGTGAGCCACTGGCCCGCATCCTGTACCATGTGTGCTCCGTGGTGGGGCTCTGAACACGGACATCAGCAAGGGCATGCTCGATCCTAACCATGCCTTCATCTCCATCCTTCCTTCACTTACTCCACTCAGGGGAGATAAGAGTCTCATGGACATTCCTGTCCTGGTTGCCTTCAAACTGTGATCCTCAACCTCAGCCTCCTAAGTAGTAGCTAGGATTGTGGGTGTGAGCCCCTCCCCCCAGCTACTTTCTGTCTGGAAAGGCTTGAAATTGGTCGCAGTCATCTTCATGCTGATGAGAATGGTCGTCAGAAAGACAGTTATGAAACGAGCCTTAAGTTTGTCTCTCAATTGAACAGGAAGGCTGATTTTCCAGAAGGTACAGACTTCGTTCCAGTGTAGTGAATACGAGCAACTTCCTAATTCTGTGAAGATCTCAGTGTGTTCAGTGCTTCTTTTTCACGATGGCACAAGTTTACTTCTATCTTTTTTCCTGGTAGGTTTAGAGTGAAGCAGCCCCCACCCAGCACTGGACTGAAAGTGACTTACAAGCCTGGACCAGTAAGTGCAGCACGTGTGCGTGTGCATGTGTGTGCGTATGCATGTGAAGGCGCTCGCTTGCACAGGTGTGCGTGCTTCCAGTGGAGGGGGTGTAAGTTAATCTACCACTCTGGTTAAGCCACGTGGAATTACAATACTTCTACTATCATAAGCAAAAGATTTTGAGCCAGGCACCAGTGGCTCAGGCCTTTCATCCTAGCTACTCAGGAGGCTGAGATCTAAGGATCATAATTTAAAGCCAGCCGGGCAGGAAAGTCTGTGAGACTCTTATCTCCAATTAACTACCAGAAAACCAAAAGTGGTGCTGTGGCTCAAGTGGTAGAACGCTCACCTTGAGCTGAATTGCTGAGGGACAGTGCCTGGGCCTAGAGTGCCCCATGACTGACTCCCCCCACCCCCCAAAACAAAAAAAGATTTTGATAAAACATACAGCTTGAAGTTTGCCACTCGGTAGAAGAATCATGGCTTTGTATCTCCAAGATGCTGGCTGCAGCTCCACTCAGCTGCCCTCTGTGCAGTTTCATACAAGTATGTGAAAGTTACTTTGTGGCCAGGTGCCAAAGGTTCACCTGTAACCCTAGCCACTCAGAGAGCTGAGGATAAAAGTTCAAAGCCAGCCAGAGCAGGAAAATCCATGAGCCTTTTATCTCCTATTAACCAGCAAAAAGCTAGAAGTAGAATTGTGGCTTAAGGGTAGTGTGCTCGCCTTAAGTGGAAAAAGCTGAGCAAGAGCAGAAGGCTCTGAGATGGAGCCCCAGCCCCAGCACAGGAGAGAGCAACTACTCATCCTGGGCGGGAGTGATGGGAGCCTCAGGGGTGCAGCGGCAGGGATGACTGGTCTGGGGAGAGCCCATGGTGCTCCCTGGCCTGACGGTCTCAAAGCACTGCCAAAGCCTTCTCTTACCCACACAAGAGGCTCGGTGCAGGACGCCATTGCTTAGTGCAGTTGGTGGCTAGTGCTATGACCCTTGGCTTTCCTCATCTTCAAACAAGGGCACATTCAGGGCATGCTCTTCCCCGCGTGCAGCTCGGCTCTGGCCTGGGCTTCAGAACTCAGCAGTGTGCCAGCAGAAATGGCAAGGAGAACATGCACGTGGACACCAAAACCACGCACTCAGGGTGCCTCTCGGAAATCATTTATCACTGGGCTGCGTCAAGATTTCAGAATCTTTCCAATATAAAACAACCCCCCATCCCCCCAAAATCAAACCCTTCCTCCCCTGCTCTTGGAAGTTAGTAGATCTCATTTTAATCTAAAGTAAGATCATGCCAAAAGCTGCAGTGACTGTTGGATCAACCCTCCTGTGCATTAAAAACTCAGTACGTGTTCTTTGAACTCACTCTAGATGGTTATTGGTTTTGATTTTCCTTTCCTCTTTTGGACAGTAGGTTTGGGCTCTGGTAAGAAATATAATGTATAGTCTTCTCTGTATGTAAATCTAACCAGTGTTCAGTTTGGTTAGCTGCCAGTGCTAAATGAATGTGCTCAGAGCCCCAGCAAAACTGCACTGTGGCGGTGTCTAGCTCCCTCGGGGACTTTTCATTATTACACAGGCAGCCCTGTGTGATGGTTGGGCTTGGAGGACAGGGCGTCTGATTTCTTCCTGAACATTGATTTTTAAAAAGGGGGGGGGGGCAACAACATTTTTAAATCTTATTATTTATAAAATACTGAAAAACCTTTCCTTTACAGCCAATTGCTTTCCATGTGCTAATTTCTCCATGGTTTTTCTTTTTTCACATAACTGCTCCCAAGTATGTTTTTTAACCCCTTCATCCCTCACCCAAAGGCAACAGTAATAGTTGGCTAGGGTTCTCTGCACAGACCAGGACAAGAAGCCTGTGCCTTGCTATGTTTTATTATTACCAGGTTTTTTTCTTTGCTTGTTTGAACCTCTCGGTGCACCTTCCAGACCTCAACAGCTTGGCGTGCACATGCACTCTGTCCCCACTTGCCGGCTTTGTCCCTTGCTACCTCCTGTGTTAAAAATGCTGAAGACCAAGGAGCGGGGTGAGGAAGTCCAGAGGATTCTCCTGGCCTCCTCCTGTTTTTTTGTTTTGTTTTGTTGGTCATGCAGCTTGAACTCTGGGCCTGGGCACTGTTCCTCGGCGCTTCAGCTCAAGGTGAGCACTCTACCACTTGAGCCACAGCACCACTTCCAGTTTTCTGGAATTTAATTGGAGATAAGAGTCTCACAGACAGGCTGGGAAGGTGGCTCAGTGGTAGAGCGCTTGCCTTGCATGCATGAGGCCCTGGGTTCGATTCCTCAGCACCACATAAGCAAAAAGAAAAAAGCCAGAAGTGGTGCTGTGGCTCCAGTGGTACAGCGCTAGCCTTAAGCTGAAGAGCTGAGGGCCAGCGCCCAGGCCCAGAGTTCAGGCCCCATGACTCGACCCAAAAAAAAAAAAAAAAGTCTCACAGACTTTCCTGCCTGGGTGGGCTGGCTTTGAACCTCGATCCTCAGATGTCAACCTCCTGAGTAGCTAGGATTACAAGTGTGAGCCGCAGGCGCCTGACTCATCATTTAAGATTAAATTTGTATCTTTTTTAGATGACGTTTACCTTCATAAATATATATACATACACATAATGTATTCTAACTGCTGACAGTATCTTACTAATTTTTGCAATTGTATTATCTTTAAGTAGTTGTAGGTCTTCATCTGTAAGGTTGCCAGGAGAAAGTTACTACTGACCATCAAGAAGTAGCAACCACTCTGGGTGTTCCCAACGCCTATCTTCTATGCCACCTCTACCACCCTGGCACTTAGCTTCCCTCCGCCTTTCCCAAATAGCACCTGGTTCACCCATGTGCCCTTGGCAGCTTCCCATCACTGGGACAAAGTACTGAGGTGACAACTGAAAAAGAAGGAAGGTCTGTTTTTGGCTCAGACTCAGGTTTTAGTGCCTGAACATGTGACTTCCTGCTTCTGCCCGTGGGGCCAGGAGGCAGAACACCAGAGCCGGGAGCACACGGCACAGCTAGCCTCCCCACACAGGAAGCAGACAGAGAAGGTCAGGCACACTCCTAAATGACGATCCTTCCTCTCAGCAGGGCCCTCCTCCCAGCGCCCACACCCCGTCCTGACTGCACACACAGGTGCGCGGCCTTTGGGATGACTTGCAGACCAGAGCACAACATCCTTCCAAAGTTTCTAGTGGGTTTCCACTTACTCCACGGGACTATACCGAACCTAGGAAATCATTCCGCCACAATGCTTCCCATTTAATGCCAAGCTTAGGTACAAGGAAGCTGAAGTGACTTACCAAATTACTGTGAAAACCCAGGATTTGAACTCACCTAGCTCTGACTGTAACTCTGCCTTGTGACTCACAGGTGGCGGCTGGTTTGCAGGCAGAGCTGAAGGTGGAGCTCTTCGCCACGGCCATAGGGGAGGAAGGAGCCAAAGGAACTGCCCACATCTCTCACAATATTGAAATTATGACGGAGCACCATGTCCTGCTCCTGCCTGTGGAAGCAAATATCCTTTCAAGTTCAGTCCAAGCAATCAGAAGCGGGATAGACATGATCTGTGAGCGAGAGAACAGAAAGCCAAATGTGTCTGCCTCCAAAATCTGAGACTTAAATTGCACAGGACAAAGTCCATGTCTTTATTCAGTATTTAAAAGCATCTAGCTGTATCTAAAAGATACCTGGCTCCTAGCACATTAATAGCAACTAAAAATCAGGCAGTTATCAATGCTGTACTATAGGCTAGCTACGGGGATATCAGGCAATCGGAATACCTCAGTCTTTGAAAACTCTCATCTCCACGGGCAACAGTGGTTCTTCCTACAATCCTAGTTACTCAGGAGGCTGAGATCTTAGGATACCCGCTCCAAGCCAGTCAGGTTTGAAGAGATTTTTCTTTAATTAACCAGCAAAATAAAGCAGGTTGTGGGACTGTGGCTCATGTGGGAGAGCACCAGTCTTGAGTAAAAAAGTCAAGTGAGACTGAGGCCCTGAATCAAATCCCAGGATGGGCATAAAGTATAACCAGTACCCTTTGTTTTAGGAAGTAGGGATAAAGCAATTAACAAAAGACAAAGCTCTACCTTTACACAGCTTATACTCAAGTGAGAGGAAACAGCACACAAAGTGAAATATAACAAGGGTAAGAACAATGTAGAGATGGAGGGGTTGCCGGTGTTAAGAAGGGAATAGTATAAAATAGTGTGACCTTTATGTCTTTCTTTTAAAGTAATGTTTTTATTTTTTGCTTGTACTGGGGTTTGAACCCATGGCCTGTTAGTTGTTGGGCTTGAACTCTGGGCCTGGGCACTGTCTCTCAGCAATTCAGCTCAAGGCAAGCACTCTACCACTTGAGCCACAGGGCACTTCCAGCCTTTTCAGCTTATGTGGTGCTGAGGAATTGAACTCAGGGCCTCATGCATGCAAGGCAAGCACTCAACCACTGAGCCACCTTGCTAGCCCCTGGGCCTTACAATCTTGCATGGCTTTTCACACTGAAGGCTAGCACTCTACCACTTGAGCCATAGCTCCAATTCCAGCTTTTTGCTGGTTTATTGCATATAAATCTCCTAAGACATTTGTGCCCAGGCTGGTCATGAACCTCCACCTTAAGATCCAGCCTCCTAAGATTACAAGTATGAGCCACTAGCACCCAGCATGACACATTCCACAGAAACATAGGAACTAGCCTGAGAACTATTTCCCTCTGGGGATGAAGCCAAGCCCCGCCACCTAGGAAACATTCTGATCCACCCACCACTGAATTACTTGTCTTGGCCAGAGAATCCTCTTGAATTTATGCTAAAAGATGCACTTATGATCATCTTACTCTTCCCTTGCTGATAAGACACAGTCAGGTAGGCAAAGACCACCTGGCATGGTAGTGGCTTGCTGCAGAAAGGACAGAGGTACAAAGAAGAGAAACCCACAAAAGGCATCCCAAGACATGTTTGTACATCCCGAGACCCCAGACACCATGCACGCAGCATCCTGTTGGACACACAGTTACCCAGCAAGGTTGCTAACCATGAAAACTCTTGAGTTTAAAATGTTACCTGGGGCTGGGAGCCAATGGTTCATGCCTGTAATCCTAGCTACTCGAAAGGCTGAGATCTGAGGATCAGGGTTCAAAGCCAGCCCAGGCAGGAAAGTCCGTAAGACTCTTACCTCCAATAACCCACTAGAAAACCAGAAATGGCACTGTTACTCAAATGGTAGAGCACTAGTCTTGAGCTGAGCTAGTCTTGAGCTCTTCAAGCTGAGAGACAGCACCCAAGCCCAGAGTTCAAGCCCCACAACCGGCAAAAAACTAAACAAAAAAATGTTACCTGGATTTTGTATCTACAAGTCATTTAGTCAGGAAAATCATAGTCCTTAATGAGGATCTCACCAGTTTTAACCAGCAGTAACTATGATAATCACCAAAAAGATTTTCCCCGGGGAAAAAAAAATCCCATGATCCAAAAGACTTCCACGATTTCTTCTTCTGCACTTGGAGTGTTCATGTCTCGGAAGGTTTCTCAACATTAGACCCAGTAAGTCATAGATGGTAATCTGTCAACCACTCAATTCTAAAATGACTCACTCTGAATAAAAGAAAATATTGGCTTTCAGTAACAGCAAGTTGCTCTTTCTCTATATATGTTCATTATAAATAACATGTTAACTGTATATAATTTATAACTAGGTATATATAATTCTATATAATGTTAAATATATATCTTACATAGTAAAATCAATCTTCATGTTATATATTGTGTACTATTGCATTGTATATTTCTAGAAACACATTTATTTATTTATAGCAAAACTAATTCATAGCAAAACTAATCTTCTACTTAAGACCGATTTTATCAAATTTTCCATTTCCTACTTTAGAAGAAACAGGCCAGAAACTAAATGCAAGAAGTAAACCCACATTTTGTGATTCTTAAGTTTATTTTTAATGTGTACATACATATATGTGCTGGTACTGGAGTTTGAACTCAGGACCTTGCTCTCACTTATTTTTGTGTGCAAAGCCTGTACTCTACAACCTGAGCCACAGATCCATTTTCCCACTTTTGGCTGCTTCCTTGGAGATGAGTCTGATTGGTCTGCTGGGCTGGTCTCAGATCTAAGGGTCACGGCTCAGCATGTTTATTCTTTATCACACGCTGTCTTAGTTGTGCTGATCAAAGGTAACCTTACTCTCCACATAGCAGCAGCACATACGTGAACTCCGAGGTATCTGGACTTGGAGATGCAGTTAAGCCAGTGGTTTCCAAACTTTTTGGACCTAAGACTCCTTTTTTATTATTAAAAACTATTGAGGATTCCAGTGAGGTTTTTGTAGGTGAAATCTATTCCTATTTACTCAATTAGAATTCAAACTGAGGGGCTGGGAAGGTGGCTCAGTGGTAGAGTGTTTGCCTTGCATCCATGAGGGCTTGGAGCTGTGGCTCAAGTGGTAGAGTGTTCACCTTGAGCTGAAGAGATGTGGGAGGCCCAGAGTTTAAGCCCTGCAACTAACAAAAAAGTAAAATAAAATAGCCACACCCTGGTGGCTCATGCCTGCAATCCTACTCAGGAGGCTGAGATCTGAGGATCATGGTTTAAAGCCAGCCAGGGCAGGAAAGTCCGTGTGACTCATACCTTCAATAAACCACTCGGAAAACTGGAAATGGTGCTATGGCTCAAATGGTAGAGCATTAACCTTACGCTGAAGAGCTGAGGGACAGCACCCAGGCCCAGAGTTCAAGCCCCATGACCGACAAAAAAATAAATTCAAACTGGGGAAAGCGTAATTCTCTGAAACAAATAATGAGCCCACCATCCTGATCTTAATAACATCCTTAATCAAAACTATTTTCCCCCAATGAAGAGTGAAATTAGACAATCTCACCAATCTCTTTAGCATCTGGCCAGATGGGACATAGCTGAATTCTCTGTCCTCTCTCCTCTGTCTGTTTTCTCCTCCTTACAATAGTGCTGTCAGAATCAGAGTCCCTGGAGAGCCTACCTTGTGTCCATGAGAGACAATAGCAATGTCTCCTATGCTTTTCCCTGCTGTCCTAATGACTTACCATAAGCCAGGTACCTTAAAGCAAGATGAGGCTAAAGCTGCAAGTTGTCAGACAGGGCTGGTTCCTCTGGCCTCCTACAGGAGGTGTGGCTAACATGCTACACCCCTAGCCTCAACTGCAAAGGCTGAGGGAAGGCAGGGGCAGGGAGCCCCAATTCCAGCACAAAAGAACTAGAAAATATTAATGGGGAATTATTCATCTAATGCTTTGAGGCATAAATCCAACAAGTACAAACAGGATATGGATTTAATCTCTCTTTGCATCATGAATTTCAAGATATTTAAGTAATTCATCTCATGATGGCAGGGATTCGTGCCAAAACTGAAGACTGATTCCCCGGACATCACCGGAGACCATCAGGCTATCTGCTGTCTGTCCACCCTCCCCTTTCCAGAGCTATCTTGGGAACCGCCAAAACTCATTCTTTATTGTTACAATGCCCAACGGTACCACCACCACACCCCCTACCTCACTCCAGTAATTGTGTCATGACTTACAGGTCTGGGATTTGGGACACAAGTCTCCATCCAAGCCACATACAAAACTAGCATCTCTGAGCCAGAGAAAATGTTGGCAACCTAACTCAGAAACTTGGATGAAGTAGATTCATAGAAAGATAAGAGAACCATCTGAAAGATGCAGAAACTATGAATAGACCTGTAACAAATAGTCCAAATTAGTAATTTAAAAATCTGCTGCCTCGAAAGTCCATTGTTCAGAGGTGTTTCTCCCAACCTTTTTCTAGAACATTCCTACTTTTCAAAATTCCTATCATGTAGACAGATGCCACACAAAGTATACCAGTCACCTAGACACCACTGCATTACTGAGAGAACTTTGCCTCACTATTCTCTGTAAACAACTATTTTATTTGGGAAAGTATAAACAGCAATGAGGAAACACAAGAGGTTTGTATAAGTTGCTCTAGATAGATTTTCCTCTTCTTTTAGCCTCAAAAATCCATGACACTACATGTACAGTAAAGTCAAGTACCTGATTGCCTCTGAAGTAAAGCAATGGAAAATAACAAAGTATACAATACCTCATGTGCCACAAAAATAAATAAACCTTTGAAATGTTATTCTGAACTCTAGTAATCTAACTACCTAATTTAAAAAAGATTCTTTGCTCCCTGCTAGCATGTAAAAAGAAAAACTTCTGCTGGGATCACCCTCAAGAGCACAGGAAGGGTTTTTTTTTGTTTTTAATCTAATCATGCTCCTAAGCCCAAGAAACGGAGCCGGACCACAGCCGCCCAGGAGCTACATGGAGAGCCCTTCTGTAACACGGACTTCTGTTCTGTTATTTGCTGCTGTTAAGATGACGGCCAGCCCAGTGTCCTTGCAGGTCGGCTTAGAGTTCCTTTACATGGAAAGTAGAAAATGGTACACTTTCAGTTCTAAGTCAATGTTAAAATCATCTTTCTCCTGTTTTTCCTCTTCCTCTTCTTCTCTTCCAACTGGCTTGTAGCTTCGGCAAAGAACATAACTTCACTCTTTGCCTCACACTCCCTCCTGAGATAATCAAGACCAGCCATATTGAAGCCAATTATATCCTGGAAAAGAATATGAGAGATTATAAACTTTCTGCCCTTTAGAGGAACCTGGCTGTATCAAGAGTCGGAAATGAATGGCTTCTTTTGTTGTTAATTGTGCTAAGGGCTTTTCTTCTTTACATGTGTGTAGGTGGGGTGGGGGTGGTAGGGTGGGGAGTTCCAGTCACTGAGGACTGAACTCAGGGCCTTGTGCTCTCTCTTGGCTTTTCTGCTCAAGACTTGGCACTACACCACTACAGCCACACTTCCACATCTGGCTTTTTGCTGGCTAATTAGAGGTAAGATTGAAGGATTTTTGTCTGCTTGGGTTGGCTTCAAACAGTGATCCTCATATCTGTCTGCTGAGTAGCTAGGACTATAGGTCTAAGCCACTGGTACTTGGCTTACCTTCTTTTGTTTTTAAAAAACCTATTCCTACAAGCTCCCATAAAGAAAACTTTCTCTCAAATACAGCCATATGTGATGAGCATAGCAAAGACCAGGCACAGCATACTATGCTACCTCTAAGTCACACACACAGGACTCTGCCTTGTTTACTCTATACAAAGACACTTACCTGAACTTGTCTCACTTTTGAAATAGTTGTTTCCTTCAGTTTCTCTATCACAGGCACAAGCATTTGGTTGCTAGTAATCTGTCCAAAGTGAATCCTAACAGGAAAACAAGAGGGTCATATGTTGCAGAGAGAGGTTGGGTCCTATCTGTCCCTCCTAGAAACAGGGCAAGTGGACAAAGCACCACCAACACAATACAGACTCCTTTCATTATACCACAGCAGCACAGGAATGCTTCTAGAAAAAAAAAATCCACCTAATTTAATTTGACAACAATTCTTTAAATACCATTCTAAACCTTATTACCCATGCAATTCATCTCCAAGCTATTTCATCTTCTAGCATCCCACCACATGACCAGAGGTGACAACATACAGAAAGCTGAGAGACAAAACAGAGCCTCTTCAGAAATGCTAACATGCCAGGCTCTGGTGGCTCACGCCTGTCATCTTAGCTACTCAGGAGGCTGAGATCTGAGGATCGCAGTTCAAAGCCAGCCCAGGCAGGAAAGTCTGTGAGACTCTAATCTCCAATGAACCACCAGAAAATGAAGTGGTGCTGTGGCTCAATTGGTAGAGTACCTGCCTTGATCTGAAGAGCTTTAGGACAGTGCCCAGGCTCAGAGTTCAAGCCCCACAATCAATAAAAGACAGGAGGGAAGGAGGGAGGGAGAGAGGAAGGCTAACATTTTCCTCCTGAGACCCTAACAGGAGAGTCAAGCTCTGACCTGGAATCCCAGGAGACCCCTGATGACCATGTGTGCTTCCGCTCAGGCAGTGCTCCTCTTACCACCGCAGGCACAGCAGGCACTCACTCCTGCCCAGTCAGAAGCACACATGCTGCAGCACTAGAGATCATGACGGTAACTCACACCATAAATCCTTTGTATTTAAGAGTTGAATAACCACATGTTCTAGATGTGCCTACATCTCCATACCTAGAGAAATAAACTGTTCTTCAACAGGTTCTAAACAACATAGCTCAGAAGGAACGGCAAGCGAAGCACACTGGTTGCTCAGGCCTCGGCACGTGGTGCGCTGGGCAGCACAGAACCAGGGCTCCGGAGGCCCAGCGCGGGCAAAGCGCGGGCAAAGCCACATGAGACTTACAGAAGGTGGCCATCACTCCTCTCACTAAAGGCAAGCACAGTTCAAAAGGCAGTATTTCATTTCAGATAACACCAAAATTTCCTGTCTCGGAAGCTGAAACCAGACTTTTAAAGTGGGTCACCGAGGTAGAGCAGACAAACATGATACTTTCTTTGCCAAGAGATCTACCTGAGGAGAAAGAAGAGACAGCGACAGAGAAGTTCAATGTCTGAGCCGAGCTGGATGAATTCATTGAGGAGCTTCAGGATGTCAGGGACGTAAGAGAAAGGCAGCACAAGCAGAGACTCTTCCAGTTCGCTGGAGAAGGAAAAACAAGTGTAACTGTGTGACATTCCTTAACATTCACAGCTAGGGAATTTTTTCCTTCACTTCCCTTTCTCTGCTTCTATATTTGAAGAGACTTCCCTCATTTTAGATTTTAAATATACTTGTCCATTCTGCAAATGATTCTTTCAAACTTTTTCTTTTTTTCTATTTACTATTTTGGGGCTTAGAATATTTTGTTCCAGAACATGTTGGAAAATTCCTCAGATAAATAATGTTCCCAGAGCCTTTTGTTGACTATCTGATGTTTATTCAATACTTCTTTCCCCATGTATGTTGGTTTCTGGGCTTTCAAGCCAGCAATGGTGACTGAATCTGACACTAATTGTACCTACACTATCTATCTGTGTACCTTACAGAACTCTCATCTCAGAGACCAGCTCCCCCTGTCACAGTCCTACCATCAGTTGACCAATTCTAATTAGAAATCTCAAGAGGATTGTAACTGGGGTCAGAAGTCAATTTATTAAAGAAAATGAAAGCCAGGCACCAGTGGCTAATGACTGTAGTAATCCTAGCCACTCAGGAGGCTGAGATCTGAGGAGGCTGAGATCTGAGGATTGCAGTACAAAGCCAGCCCGGACAAGAAAGTCTGTGAGACTCTTCAATAAAAACCACCAGAAAACTGGAAGTGGTGCTGTGGCTCAAGTGATAGAGCATTAGCTTTGAGCTGAAGAGCTGAGCGACAGCACCCAGGCCCAAAGTTCAAGCCCCATGACTGACAAAAAAAAAAAAGAAAATGAAATCTTAAAAATGTACAAGTAGCTAGTACCACTGATCACTTTCCTTTACATTGCTCTAGTGATGCCCCGGCATGGTAAGTATATATTATGATTCATCAGGGAAATAAGCTTCAGTAGGTTTCATGGAGATAAAACCAAAAGGTAAACTGTCACACTATTTCAGGGCTAGGGGCATGGCTCAAGCAAACATGAGGTCCTCAGTTCAAATGCCAGCACCACCAAAAATCGAAACAGGAAACCCATCAAGAAATGTACAATTCTGATTTCATTAATCAAAAGAAACTCTCAGGTAAGCACTCAATAAATGTTAGTACATGGAAAATTGTAACTAGAACTCACCTTGACTTGATTCCTTTAAAAATCTCCAGTACATAAGCTGAAGGCTACAAGAGAAAGATAACACCATCAGAAACATTCTTGATTGGTTTCTACTAAACATGTTTAATTTCTATCTCTTCCCAAAATAAGGACCCTCTCTCTCCCTTGAGAGCAAGGCCTGCATGGCTCATAGTTGACTGAATTTATGTTTGTAAGCCATGGTTCCTCCCAGCCTCGTTACCTTGTAAAGAAGTTCCCTTCTTTATAAAATGGAGATATTCTGACAAGAGTACTGAATGGGAGATACAAGTAAAATACTAATTGGTGCTTGCTAGCTAAGCATATTCTACTGTTACTCCTTGTCCCCAACTTTCTCTCTGATTTGTGTTGACTTCTCCTCAAAAGACTTCTAAGTTCATTGAAATGAGCAGACTCTAAAAGTCTTTGAATACTGAACATAAATAAAACACCAGAAAAAAAAGACAGAAAAATGTGTATACAATCTAACCAAAAAGTAAGTTCCACTGAAATGGTCCTTCAAAAACCAAAAATACCAAGCTGGGCACCAGTGGCTCGTGCCAATAATCCTAGCTACTCAGGAGGCTGAGATCTGAGGATCATGGTTCCAAACCAACCCAGGCTTCTCCAATTAACCAGCAAAAAAGCTGGAAATGGAGCTGTGGCTCAAGTGATAGAGTGCTAGTTTTGAGCAAAAAAAGCTCAGGTACAGCACCCACCAGGCCCTGATTCAAGCCCCAGTACGGGCACTAAAAATAGTACAGACCATTGCCTGCATTCAAGGAAGAGTTTCAAAGACAGAAGATGTCCCAGCATGTTGAACCCCCAGTAATGCCTCTCCACTTCCTGTTCTTGTCTCCAAAGGTAACCTTGAGTCACCGAGGAAAAACACATTCAACTCACTGAGATGTTGCCATATGCCCTCAGGATGGGGTTGACAGGAAGAGGAACCTATGAAAAGATTATTTTAACAATCATTAGAAGCATGAGATTCTCATGGTGCTCATTAGAGTAATGAAATATTTTACAACTTTAGAGAAAAACCCTAAGAACTAAGGGTAAAACAATTATCAGGTATCCTGGTTGTAGAAACTTACGTTTCTACTCAAATCACCCCAATTCATTTCTATATAAATTTCTATACAAATCACCCCAATTCATGACTTCCTAACTTTCCCTTTGTATTAATATTAAGCTTCCATATCTTCTAAGGTTGAGAACTGTCATTGAACTAGGCTGCATTTATTTCATTTCTGCTCTGGGTTGATAAAAATTCTTAACTGACCGCTGTCTCGGGAATCACATTTATTGAGATGTCCAGTACACAAATGAACAGACAGCACACCTCTTTCCCTGCAGCTTTACAAATGGCTCTGTGTTCTTTCATTTTTGCAGTTTCTTCTCGGTACAGCTCGATGGCTTCCATGATCCTCTCAGCCTACGGAGATGAGAAAAGGAAAGCAATCGTACAACACGAACTGTCCTCCCAGGACATAGCAACCTCAAGTCCTGATGTGAATGAATATAGCCCCAATCAGTTTAATAAATATGTGCCAGAAGAGTGCCAAGGAGCAGTTAAAGATGTTTTTCATTTTAACTTTGTAGGGCTGGGAGGAGGTGTCCTGGGCCACTATAGTCAGAACAGAGTCACTGGAACTCCAGTAGGGCAGTTCCCAAGAACACCTATAAGGTGCTGCCTTGCCAAACCCATACTGACCAGATGCAGGGCCTCTCTGAACGGAGGCTGTGATCTGCACCTTAAATCTCACCAACTTTTTGACCCAAAGGAACTATGCACTTGAAACACCGACTTTTAACAAAAAGTCAGAATCCTAATTAGGAATGAGACATCACATTTTATACCAACTTACCGCTTTCACTGTCTCAATAGTTTTCTTTCCGGTAAAGTAACTGCCACCTTCAGTCTCACCTGGAACCTACAAGAAATAAGATTTGTAAACAGTACCACGAACAAGAGTTAAAGGGACAATCAATAAATCATATATCTGAAAGAACAAGCATTGTTTTATGAAAATGGTAATAGCTCTCAGTTACCATTAACTGAGTGATGACAAAACTATGTATGATCACAAAAGAACCCAACTTTTCACATCTTTTCTTACATTTCTTTGTTTCTTTGGGTCCAGTCGTGGGGCCTGAACTCTGGGCCTGGGTGCTGTCCCCCAGCTCTTCAGCTCAAGGCTAGCGCTCTACCACTTGAGCCACAGCGCCACTTCCAGCTTTTTTCTTTTTGCTTATGTGGTGCTGAGGAATCGAACCCAGGGCCTCATGCATGCAAGGCAATTGCTCTACCACTGAGCCACTTTCCCAGCCCTCGACCTTTCTTTTTTCTTCTTTTTTTTTGGGGGGGGGGTGCGGAGGGGGAAGTGCTGGGTCTAAACTGCTTGTTGGGTAGACTCCAACCTGAGACCCTTAAGATCCCAGCCAGATTTGCTCCACACTTTGTCCACTATATACATTATATATACACTACAGAAGAAAAATCCACAAAGATTCCTCCACCTCTCAGCTGGCAAAGAGGTGCACAGCATGGCACCTAACGCCAGGTCTGATTACTGTAAAAATCCTCACCCATCAAATATTTACTTACTGCTGGTTGGTCTTCTTTGGCCACACCCTCCTCATATTCTGCTTCCCTTTGCTGCCATGAAAGACATTAGTTTGAGAGAAAGTAATAAGTGTTTTCTATAAAAGTACAATGAGGTAGTAGGAAACTCACCCTCTCTCTCTCCCCTTATTCCCTCCCCCTACCCTTTATTATGCCAGAGCTGGGCCTTGAACTCATGGCCTGGGTGCTGTCTCTTAACTTTTTTGTTTAAGTTGGTCTTCTTCCAGTTGAGCTACAGCTCAACTTCCAGTTTCTTATTGGTTAAATGGAGGTAAGTCTCATGGGTTTTTCTGCTTGGGCTGGTTTTGAACTGTGATCCTCAGATCTCAGTCTATTAAGTAGCTAGGATTACAGGCGTGAGCTGCCAGCACCCCATGTGAAGGCACTTCTTTAGGAACACAATCCCCAAATCTTTTCCTGTTTGGCTTCTGAAATGGAATGATGTTGGATAGTTCTAGACAGAAAATTTTAGCTGGGGCAGACTTTCGATGACCCTCCCTTCCTCTTCCTCTCCCTCCCCAGAAGATTTAAATCCAAACTTAAAAGTCATTACCATTTCTCTTTCCTCCTCTAGAATCAGAGGTTCCCTTGTTCTCTCCCAAAGTCTCAGAGACTTGTCATGAGACGATGAGACAATATAGTCTCCACTGGGACTCACGGCCAGGCACCAGACTTCCTGGTGGTGCCCCTGGACAAAGGAAACACAAACATAACCCAAATAAGAGGAACTTCTCCATAGCTCACTTCCTGCTTGGATTAGTGGACAATCAATGAAAACATATTTTTTTCCTGGTGCTTGAACTCAGGGCCAAGGTACTCTTAGCTTTTTTAACTCAAGGCTGATACTCTATCACATGAGTTACAGCTCTACTTCCTGATTTTTGGTGGTTAATTGGAAATAAAGAGTCTCACGGACTCTGTGTGGCTGGGCTTCAAACCTTAATCCTCAGCTGTCAGTCTCTTAAGTAGCTAAGATTACAGGAGTGAGCCTTGGGTGCCTGGTTATGAAAACATTCTTAAAAGTAGTTCTGAAGACCTGGGCAGCAAATAGGGCAAGAGGTTACCTCTAGCGTTTGTATGTGTTCAAATTTGTCTGCATCCCACTGCTTAATCTTATGGTCTTTCCCAGCAGTGAAAAAGAGGTGAGACTTTGGTACAAACCGCAGGTACATGACACTGAAAAGAAGAGTAAGCTATGTGTTATCAAATGCCAGAATAGATAAGAAGAGTCTTAACACATGTTAATAGTTTTGTCTTGCTAGTTCCAGAGTGTCTATTTTTGGAACTTTGAACTCATCGTTCATTAATGTCTATATCTATATCCTTCTAGGGAGCTAGTATTCACATACCACTCAGAGAAGGGCCTTCAAGAAGATCATACCTACCTGTCATCATGGGCAAAAAGGGACTTGTGACAGTCCCCAAAGTCCAAACCCCAGATTTTCACATTCCTATCAGCAGAGCCAGTAGCTATTAATGCCCCATCCTATGAAAAAAAGAAGCAAAAGAACATTAATTCCAAAATCCTGTTAAGTCATTTAAAAAGTTTCCCCAAAGGCATTCAAATAAAGCCAAAACAATTTCCTCACTCTATGAGGAGCACCTGCTTTCTTGCTTTTACCCACAGAGCTTGCTTAAAAAAGCTTTCAAATCCTAAGTGGTGGCAAGGTTCACGGGATAGAGTGCCAGCCTTGAGTAAAACATCCAAGTGAGAGTACAAAGTCCTGAGCTCAAGCACCAGTAGCAACGTGCGCACACATAGCACAGTAAGTGAAAGCAGAAACTCTGTGTTCCGTATTTTTCAAGGGTGGTCCACTTATTAAATGAGAATATCAAGACACAATGAGGTTGGGAAATGTTTATGATCTAGCCTTGTATCCTTGGCTCCCTATGGTGATTTTCTCTCATTTTCCCTACATCAGTGCTCAAATGGCTGTGAGCACACTGGTCGGATAGCTGTGGCCATCCTTCCCTCACACAGAGTATACCCAATGTTAACCCAAGAGCAAACAGTAGGTGTTCCCTTTTCAGAGCTGCTTATTCTAGGGCATTCTATCTAGTACAAAACTTTATAGACAACCACTATTTGGGGAAGCTAAATCAAAGAGCTAGGAGTGACAAACTGAGGAAATTACTGAGAAAACATGAAATAGATATACTTAAAATGTAACAGATACTACTTTGTGATTGTTTTAGAGAGTGACAACCACATGATAAAAATGCTCTCAAACTGAGGTATCATCAAGCCAAGAACCGAGGAAAGTCCCTGCTTTAGAAAAGACAACTTTTTTCCGAGACTCAACGCATTACTCACATAAGAGATGTCCATACAGATGACTGGCAGTTTGTGTCCATACAGTGAGAGGAAAAACTGAACATTAAAAAAGATAATGCATGGAATAATTTTATTACATGTGGGTTAAAAGTTATAAACCTAAAATGTAATGAACATTTCTGGGTTACTTTATAATTCCAAGACAAACCAAAGACAGCTTACTTAGAGTACTACTATGGAACTGAAGACTCCACAGACACTTGCCACAAGCCCAGGTCTCAGTCAGAACACACCACAGATATTCTCTCCAGTTTCCTTCGCTGAAAGGACTCTGGGACACTTGTTCCACAGAAATACTGCCAGGCCAAATCCAGTCTTATTGACACTCTGGGCATAGGGCACAATAACATGTTTTGGGGTTCTCTAATTTTAATCAAAATCACCAGGTGTGACAAAATTGCCTAGGCCACTAGCAGTGTTTTAAAAACTACTGGCAATGACAGGTTTTCAGTCTACAAAATCTTAAAACAAACTGATGATCCACTGAATTAATACTATTACTTGCTCTAGCACAACCATGTTTTCATTCAGAAACAAATTTTTAGAAAATATACTATAGTTTAAACTGGGTATGGCCAAGCCCACTGCTTTATAACCTCAACACAAATTGTAATAACATCACTCAGAAAGAAAGAAAACACCACAGGAACAACAAGTGTACCTTTAATGTGTCAACATAGAATATCTTCACAGTACAGTCCAACAAAGACACAGCCAACAGCTTCTGATTAGGAGAATAACTGACACACAGAACATCTTCATCTAGCTGTAAGGTTCGAGTCTGTTTCACTGAAAGTCTAGTACCAGCCAAGGCATAAAAAAAAAAAAAAAAAAAATTAATATATGAGTACTCTACCCATACAGACAATTTCAAACCCCACACACGACAGAGGTAAGTCAAGCCAAAAGGCTCTTCAATGGCTCCCATTTTCACTCTGAAAAAAAAAGGGTACAAAAAATGTTCACTCAAGCCGGGCGCCGGTGGCTCACACCTGTCATCCTAGCTACTCAGGAGGCTGGAAAAGCCATGAAACTCTTAACTCCAATAAACCATCAGAAAACCAGAAGTGGTGCTCTGGCTTAAGTGATAGAGTGCTCACCTTGAGCTGAAGAGCTGAGGGACAGCACTCAGGTCGAGTTCAAGCCCCATGACTGACAAAAAAAAAACAAACGAACAACAACAACAACAAAAAATATCCACTCACCTTTTTTGGCTACTGTTTTCATCTTTCACCAACTCAAAGTCCCAAAACTTGACAGACTTATCTGCACCACCTGTCACAAAGCCACGCTGAAAGGTAAATGACATTTTAATGAAAAACTACTTTAGTATAGAAACTAAGCTAAGAACGAAAAAAAATTTTTTTGAATAGGAAAAGTGGGACTTCTCAAACCCCTCCTGTGTTGTTCTGATGCTACAAATTTCATTTGACATTTTTAGCACAGACTAACACAGAGATGGACCTTTTCGAGGGAAAAGGTCAGTGATACTTTTGTTACAATCAGAAAAGAAAATCCTTAGTGAACACTACTGGGTTTTCTATAAGCAGTGAAACTAATTTACAAACACACTGAATGGATGATCTAATTAAGCTTGACTAAGGGAGTAAATGCATTCCTGCAATGTCCTGTCCTTCCTTAAAATGTCTGAGATGGTTTTTCAAGATCAAGATAGGTGACATGTTGAAGGAGAGTAAGAATCTACCTCTACAGCATTGCTCAGGAAAACATTTTTCTTTGAGAAGTACCACAAGCCACTGGTAAAAACATACAACTGTATGTAACCTGATACTACACTGGCATTGAGTGAGATTAACTGAACCGGAATTTTTTGACAGTTACTTATGAGGGATGGCACCATATATGACATCTAAAGACTAGACTCGTGCAAAAAAAAAAAAAGCTTTCTTTAAAGAAATCCTGACAGAAATCTTCCTTATGCAAAAATTAAACCTGATGTGACAGTTGGTGCTGAAGTCTGGAACTGTAAGACTGGGTTGTGTTACCTGATCTGGAGAGAGGGACACGGCCCACAAAGCCCCGTGGTGGGCATCTATGGTCTCCAGCAGATCTCCTGAGGCCAAGTCATAAAGCTGCAGCTTCCCTGTCTAAGACACAAAATGAACACAGCCCTAATTAGTGCACATGCAACTTCCACGATCCAAGTCCATAGACTTCAGAAAACATTTTGTAACTGAGCAGCTAGAAGGTGAGATCAACTGCAAGTTGGAGCCTCGGCTACAATAATAAGACCATTATCTCAAAACAAAACCTGAAAGAAAAAAAATAACAAACACCAAAGACCCTATTCCATTTTTTTTTTATTCTTCATCAACTACTACCACTGCCCTGTCTGCTGTCTTAGCAGCTGAACTATCTGTCAGTTCTTTGCTATGGCCCAATCTCTGTGCTACCGACAGCATTCTTTAGCTCTGAAGTGTGCTAACATCCTACCTGCAAAATCACCAAGGTGAACAGGGTTCAAGTAACACACCCAAAGGTTGCATAGCTAGTAAGTACCACCACAGTCAGTGTTCAAATGTGGGTCACTGTCACACCCTGTCACCCAGATGAAGGAATACTAACAGGATTTATGCAACTTGCTCCAAATTATAGAACCTGAACCCAAACTCATGTCTACTGAGGTACACGCAGCAGCCCCCTGCTTGATGAGCATCTAGGAATGAGGACTTGCTTATTTATCTGATTACTTAACAGATACTTATACTTATCAGATACTTAACAGATACTCATCACTTAATGTGGTTTAACATCAATTAAAACAATTTTATGTGTTCATAAGAAAATGAAAGAATACATCATCAAAATAAGTAATATTTTTCTTCATAATCTGATATATGGTTTTGATGAAAATAAAGAAAATAAAGCTTTTAAAAAAGAGCTAGGTTTTACCAACACTTTAAGATCAGAGTAGAACCTACCCCTACCTCCACCCAAATCCAACAAACACCTTGGTCTTACCTTGGTCCCTATGACCACCTGCCTATCACCGGGAACAAAGAACGAGCAAAGAGCATATTCGCAGGTCATTGTGCGAATGCACTGCAGTGTAGACCTACAAGAGAGAAAGAATCCACTGCTTGTGTGTAAAGGGGACCTTGCTTTCCCACCTTGAAGGTCAACATGCATGCTGACCCACACTTCACTCCAGAAGGATCAGCCTAACTGTGCATTTGTCAGGATGTGTCTTTCCGTTAAATATCATATATATCCAGTGTTTCACAATACTCAAATATTTACTAAATGCCCAGTAAATGCCAAGTACAATTCTAGGTGCTTCCAGTGGATAACGTAGCATCGGTCCCTAACCTCAGAAGACTTAGCATTTGTTGGCAAGAATAAATATGTAAATAGAAGTATCAGATGACAGTAGGTGCTATGAGGAACAGAATGCTGGATAAAGGGGATAAATACAGGGCTAGGGAAAGGAAAGGAGTGCTGCTTCAGAAGACAAGAAGAAAGCCTGTAGACAAATGGGGAAGGAGAGTGCCAGGCACAAAGAAGAATGGTGAGGCAGAAGCAGGCATACTTCAGATATGTTTTAGGGTTATCAAGTAGACCAATGTTACTCTACAGAGAAACTGAGGAACATAGTAAGAGGTAAGTCATATAGGATTTATTTATTTTTGGTGTGCTGGGACTTGAAGTTGGTGCTTTGCATTCTCCCTCAGAAGAGCCTACAGAAGGACAAGCAAAACACTGCAGACCAAGCAGGAACCCTAAGAATAACCTGGATGAGATGAGGGTGGCTTAGATTAAATGATGACAGCTCAAGTGATGAACTGTGGTTGGGATTCAGGATAAAGTTTGCAAGCAGAGCTGATAATCTGGTAACAGATTGGATGGCCTTGGGACAAGAGATAGAATGACTACAAAGGCAGAGGCCAGAAAATTGAGTGGATACAACTATTTATACTAAGTAATGTTTGTAGAGAGAGTAGGTGAAAATTTTTGGAGAAATAAAGACCATGAAATTGGTTTGAGATCTATAAAATTTTAGATGCCTAGTTAGATATCTGAATGGTGACACAAAGTACTACGGTAGGTAAGTGTGATCTTCAGGGGAGGTTAATGCTAGATATTCTGAGTCATGAGATACAGAAAATTCATTTCCAGAGAACACATAAAGGAAGTTCACAAAAAAAGATCCAAGGATTTGCCCTGAAATACTTTTGTAACTTGGGTCACTAAAGACAAGGATTCAGACTCAACTTTCCTGCTCAAGAATGGCACTCTACCACTTGAGCCACATCTCCACTTCTGGCTGCTTTTTTTATGCTGGTCCTGGGACTTGAACTCAGAGCCTGGGCACTGTCCCTGAGCTTCTTTTGCTTAAGGCTAGCAGTCTATCACTTGAGCCACAGCTCTATTTCTGACTGATTGGCAGTTTATTAGAGCAAAGAGTCTCAGGAACTTTCCTGACCCAGCTAGCTTCAAACCATAATCCTGTATCTCAGCCTCCTAAGCAGCTAGGATTACAGGCCAGAGCCACCAGTGTCTGGAGAGGAGTCTGTTTCTTCTAAGAGGGAAACTTTTTTGCATGCAAATGGTTCACAAGAAGAAAATGGCTAAAAAGGAAGAGAAAGGGCTGGGATATGAGGTGCAGTCAGCTTTGATTGTAAGAGCATAGGAAGGAAAGACAGAAACATGGTTAGATAGATAACCTAGCAGATAAAAACAAAGGCATGTAAAATGATTCAGATGTTCCCACCTTTCATTAAGCCAGAAAGGAGGTCATCTGCTGAGAGACGTTGGAAGTTTCTGAGATCTCAGGGAAGATGTGTGAGACTGGGGAGAAGTTACAGTAACATTTTTCAATGGCACTTAAGAGACCACCTATTAAAAAATGGCCAGTATAGTTGTCTTCCAATCAAGGACAGTTACAACTCTGATTAGGAAATAGCTTTTTTTTTTTTTTTTAAACAATATATAAACAACAATATAAGCTCTACAGGTCAATGGACAAAATGCACCCAACACATATTCTAAGAATTGTATTTATGGCCTTGAGGATGCCAAAAAATAATCCAAAGGGAAGGAAATTCCACCAGACAAACCTCTGGGGGAGAGAGCAAACCTGTTCCAGATCTTAACAGACTCGGCTGCCGCGGACAGCACAGCGATGTTATCGGAGCTGAACGACAGAGTGCGCACGTCGCTGCGGTGGCCCCCGACGAACACCCTGTTGGTCCTGGAAGGCTGAGGGGCCGCCAGGGATGTGTTCAGGGTGTACAGCTCAACCAAGTTGTTCTGGAGCAGGAAGACCACCTTTAACTCTCCTTGAGGAGAGTGAATGAAGTCGAAGGACCTGCAATGGAAACATTGTCAGGAACACTCCAAGCACCCACAAGCCTTGCACCCAGAGTCCATTTGTTCTAGGGGAAAGCCTTCACAACATCCTCAATCTACAGAAAGCCAGAAGAAGTGTAAAGGATTCAGAAACACGAGAGCTGAGTACTGAGCAGTAGCCAAGTGTAGCATTTAAATCAAAATACCTGGGGCTCATCTTGCTTCACATACATATCTTCGTTTTGCGTATTTTTAAAAATGATTTTAAAGCCTTTCTGAACATAGCGCACACTTTTTTAAGTTGGCAACCAAAACAGCTCAAGGATAATAAAACGTTATTACAATAACGCAAACATGAGTAGGAGGCGCAAGTGGGGGCAGCGGGCGCAGGAGGCAGCCCCATGTCTCAGCTGCCATCATCAGACACGATCCATACACACGGTTTGCAAACAGAATGGCAAAGGCAATACTTTATTATATGTTTGCCTATTTATTTTGGCCATACTAGGGGAAGTTGTTTTGTTATTTTGCTCATGCAAGGAACTCAAAACCTTGCATTCTCAGTCAGCTATATCATTTGGGCCACATGTCCACTTGCAGAAAAATTTTTTTTGGTTGGTTATGTGGCTTAAACTCAGGACCTGGGCAGTGTCCCCTGAGCTCTTCTGCTGAAGGCTAGCACCCTACCACTTTGGGCCAAAGCTCCACTTCCAGTTTCTGAGTAATTACTTGCACATAAGTCTCATAGGAACATTTTTGCTGGGGTGGCTTTAACCACAATCCTCCTGAGTAGCTAGGATTATAGGTGTGAGGAACAGGTGCCTAGCTCAATCCTAGGGTTTGAATGCAGAGCCTTATGCATGCTTGGCATTTATACTAATTGACCTATGCCTTTAGGTCTCAGCTTTAGTTTTTATTTTTCAGATAGGATCAATTTTGCCCTGTTTACCTGACTGTGATTCTTTTACCTACATCTAGCAGGGACCACAGCTAATTTTTTTGAGACAGGATTTCACTAATATTTTTGCCCAGGCTGGTACCTCCAAGTAGCTGTGATTCTAGGTCTGTTTTACCATGCCCAGCCACAGCTTAGTAATCTATAATGACTACAGACACTCTATTTTCACTCACTTGATTTTGGAAGAAGCTTTGATATTAGTCATGCGCTGGATTTCATCTTGAAGAGTCATTTCAACATTAACTTCAAGGTCCTCTTCCTCTTCCTCCCCTTGGGAAGAATTTAATCTATACAGAAGAAAAAAATACTATCAACTATCATTTTTCTCTCTTTATTTTTTTTATTTTTGGGTCTGGTCATGGGGCCTGAACTCTGGGTCTGCGCTGTCCCTCAGCTCTTCAGTTCAAGGCTAGCGCTCTACCACTTGAGCCACAGTGCCACTTCCAGCTTTTTTCTTTTTGCTTATGTGGTGCTGAGGAATCGAACGCAGGGCCTCATGCATGCAAGGCAAGTGGTCTACCACTGAGCCACCTTCCCAGCCCCAAGCTATCATTTTTCTAGAGGTAGCTTTTTTTTTTGGTCGGTCGTGGGGCCTGGGCACTGTCCCTTAGCTCTTCAGCTGAAGGCTAGCACTCTACCACTTGAGCGTCAGCCCCACTTCCGGCTTTTTCTGCTTATGTGGTGCTGAGGAATCGAACCTAGGGCCTCATGCATGTAAGGCAAGCACTCCACCACTGAGCCACCTTCCCAGCCCCTACAGGTAGCTTTATGTAACTTCCTTGAATGCAAACTCTGGCCCCAGGACAAGCAAGCTGAGTGACTTGGGGGAGGTAATTGAACTACACAGCCTTGTCTGAGAATTAATCAAAGTAGATCAGCACTCCCCACAGTGGTACAACAACCCATGGATTTTGAACTCAACAACCCCTTACATTTCCCTAAATGTAATACAAATTATTCACAAACATTTCTGATAAATGTTTTTAACTTCAGGATTTTTTAAAACCCACCTTACTAATCTGTACTTAACAATCCAACCATGTCAAATGTACTAAGTCTAAAACACTATGCTAATGTTTAACAAAAAGGGTTGAAACATGTCTGGACTGGAGTGTGGATACCAGAATGTGGACAGAGAGGAGGAAGAAGGGTAAATATAATTAGAGCAATCTGTGCAAACATATGAAAAGGAACAAGTGAACTCAAAGTGACTGGCTTAAAAATGGAAAGCAGGGAGGCAGGAGGAGGGAGAATGACAGATGACTCGGACTAAGACGCATTATTTACATAAATGCATATGCTAAAGTAAAATCCCCTTAAATAACAGATACAAAACAAATACAATCACAAGTTACACTAAGCCAGATCACTGGAGGGTTTTTTTTTGTTTTGTTTTGTGCTGGTACTGGCTGGGGCTTGAACTCAGGGCCTTATACTCTTGGCTTAGCTTTACTCTTCAAGGCTGATGCTCTACCACTTGAGTCAAACCCCCACTTCTGGCCTTTTTTCTGGTTAACTAGAGAATCCTTCTCAGATTTGTCTGCTTGGGCTAACTTTGAACCTCGACCCTCAGATCTCAGCTTGCTAAGCAGCTAGGAATACAGGCATTAGCCACTAGGGCATGCCAGATTACCTATTTCAGATAAATTCCAACGATTATAGAATGATTTTCTATAGTTACATGACTTATTTCAGAGTAATATTGTCCCCCAATCTCAGTTACATAAATGTCCAATCGTCTTTGCAGGTTACCACTATATTACCAGCTCCATTCCTTACAGGCTGCTACCATTAAAAGCACATTGCTAACTTCTGAGTGTGGAAAGGCTCTCAGAATTCAAGTTCAAACATGAGGCTGGAGCTGTGGCTCAGGGAGTAGAGTACTTGTTTAGCAAGCAAAGACTTGAGTTCAAATCCTGATACTGCTTGAATGGACAAATAAATAAAACTTGGTTAGGTCATAATTCTTCTCTAGCTTTGGACAACAAACATTCAAAGCAGACCATTTTTCTCATTAATATGTGGTATCCTCAGGATATTTCATTATTAATAAATAGTAATTCGACATACTTTGCTTTCTTCTTAGCTTTCTTCAGCTTCTTGTCCATTTTCTTCTGAACTTCTTCTTTGGAAAGTACACAGAACACTTCTAGCACTGAGTCGGTTCCCTAGAAGGCAAAAAGCTGGTATAACTTAGCTTACTATGTTCAGTGAGCAATAAACAGCAGCACTGATTTTTCTGCTAGCTCTACTACTACAAACCCAGAGAATTGGGTTTGTCTCACCTCTAAAGTTAGAACATCACTTTACAGCATTGCTTTGAAGACTAAATCAGATGTGTGTGCTTTCACATGGCAGGACAAGCCAGTGTTTCATAAATGCTTGATAGTAAGAATATTAAAAGTAACAACTTTCAATGCTTTGTTAATAAAAGCCCAGGATTACAGATCGATTATATCACAATATTAAGATTACGAAAAGAAAAATCCATCTCTATGCTATGAAAGAACAACTCAGTCTTGTTATTTCCTCCTCAGCCCATACTCACATGGCAAGCAAGAATCCTACCGGTCTTGTCGACTGCAAGGCTGACAACTCTGTCCCTTCCTTGCCGCATAATGGAGCCAGCTTTCTTGCATGAAAGAATACGCTGCAGAGAACGCAAGTGAACAGGAAGTTGTGCTACTACATCTTTGAAAAGATACGTTTCTACAAATTTAACCCACAAGTACTCCCTAAAAGGGTGACAAGGATGGCAGATGCAAGCAACTGCGGCTCTTGCTTTTCCTGCTACACAATGAAGAACAAAACTGATTTACATCCTCGGGAGTTTCATCTGTCTCAGGCTCTCCATCCATCCCGGAGTCTCCATCCTTGGCTTCAAGTCTCTCTTGCTTTCTCGGAGAAGATTCTCTGATTTTCTTGGGATTGGGCTCTTCTGGGTCCTCAATCTGCTTCATTAAAAAATGGGAAAGAAAACTAGACTGCATTCCAGGAGGTGACTTTGAACCAAATAACTCAAAAACCTTTCCAAGGGTCACTAATAGCATGATCAGTGGTGGTTTATTGGTCATTCTTTTGTTTTTTGCCATTACTAGGACTCTTAAGTCAGGGTGTAGACATTGTCCTTTAGCTTTTTCATTCAAGGACAGTGCTCTGTCCCTTGAGGCATAACACCACTTCTGGCCTTTTACTGTTTAACTAGAAATAAGAGTCTAGAGCTGGGCACGGGTAGCTCATACCTGTTCTAGCTACTCAGGAAGCTGAGATCTGAGGATCACGGTTCAAAGACAGCAGGAAAGTCCGTGAGGCTCTTATCTCTAATAAACTACTCAGAAAAAGCCAGAAGCGGAACTGTGGTTCAAGTGGTAGAGCACTAGCCTTGCACACAGAAAGGCTCAGGGACAGAGCTCAAGCCCTGAATTCAAACCCCAGGACCAGCAAAAAAATAAAAAAGTTTCTCAGGTTGACTTCAAACCACAATCTTCCTGAGTAGCTAGGATTACAGGCTCAGTGGTCTTGACCAAATTTCTATAAGAGTATCAAAATTTACTAAAAATAGGCTTGGTCATATACAATAAAACATTCATTATATATTGTTTCTAATAACTTCCTATAGTACAAAGACTACTTGTTGGAAGTGGAAGAGTGGCTCCAGGAGTAGAGTGCCAGCCTTGAGTGAAAGAACTATGGGAAATCAGGAGTCTGGCCCTGAGTTCAAGTCCTGGTACCAGTGAAAACACACACACAAAGGGCTACTGAATAAAACAATAATGTAAAATAAAGACCTACTCTTCATTAACTTTAATATTCTGGTTTTTTTTCTTGGGGGGGGGGGGGCCCTTGAACTTAGGGCCTGGGCACTGTCCCTGAGCTTTTTTGGTCAAGGCTAGCACTCTACCATTTTGAGCCACAGCTCCACTTCTGGTTTTCTGGTAATTGTAAGAGTCTCCCAGACATTCTTCCCCCAGCTGGCTTCAAACCACGATCCACAGAGCTCAGCCTCCTAAGTAGCTAGGATTTATAGGCATGAGCAAACAGTGCCTGGCTTTTTTTTAATGAAAACTCTACCATATTCTAGAGACAAAGATTCTCATAGGTACTGCAAGACATATTTCATCTTCTCCTTAAATACAGCAAAGATCAATCCTTATCTAGGGAACCCATCTAAGTAACTACTAGATACAATGTTGTATCTCTAACTCCAGCCCATGGTCCTTAATTTTTCTCCCACACAAATTCTTTGAGAAGCAGGTATAAGTCTTCCCAGAATACATATATTTATAAACAAGTAAATAGAATGTTATACTGTGAAGTCCATCCATGATATTCAAAGGCCCAAGGTTACCAAGCTACTAACGCAATAAGCTAAATATCAGCACTACCAGAAGTTGTAAATTAAAATTTACTCTTCTCAGCTCAAATATACAAGGACAATGAGCAAGGAAAATCTTCTACGTGTATATAAAGTACTCAGTAATTACATCTGATTTTATATTTAAGGAGTCTGTGATATTGACCCACAACCTGGGAAACAATAATTACCTCCTGCAGATAGGCTAAGTCCCAAGCTCTCAGCTCACTGTCTGCAGCGCCAGTGATTAGCCGCTTTTCTTCCGATACCAGAACCAATCCCCACACCTATGGTATACAAGGATTCACATGATATTTAACGGGTTTCAAGTAGCACAATGCTACAGTCCAAAAGGGTCAAGTATACTTTAGTGCAATTTCTTTGGCATATGAGTAGAATTGTGGCTTACGTGATGCTAGCAATTTCTAACCTTTTATTGTCCAATTTAGATAATAGCTGTTCTCCATAAACCCTAACTACAGCCAGTGTCTAGCAAATAAAAAGTGCCCCAGGAAGGTCTATGTAAAATTGCAGCTACTATAGCCACAAAGTGAATAGCAAAAGTAACAATATCATTTCAAACCAAAAGTCAATGCACACCCTTCCTCCTCACTGATTACAGGTATAGTTTTCAAAGTGTGATTTAAAAAAAAAAAAAGCACCACAGAATATGCAAGGTACATAAAATATTCTCTGAACTTGACTGAATAATCTACATACAAGTAACCTGCAGTCACAACTTGCCACTTCCACATCACTGGACAGACTCAGTGCACAGTATTATTAAGTATTTCTACAATGAGTGGTGGACACTTTATGATGAGGGAGCTCACAGATTCATAACTATCGAAGGCTATTTTTCCTTTCTTCATTTCAGAGTTTTGCTACATAGTGCAGAATAGCCCTGAACTCAAGATCCTCCGCCTTCATCACTCCAGTGCTGGGATTATGGATGAGTAATGCTGCCGCCATGCTAAGTTCTCTTAAATGCCAGAGGGCTAGCTCCAATGGTTGGCACTGCTTAGACAAAATCTCACTACCTCTCAAGACAGTAAATAATGATTACTATTAGCAATACAGACAAAAAGTCAAAAAAAGGCCAAGGAAGAAAAACATCTTTTCCTTGTTGCCTTGCCGTTCTTTTCCCAGGCTCATGACCCTAACTCGTACCTCAGTTCGGTGGCCAACCATTGTTTTGAAGCAGTGCTGGTTATCAAGGTCCCACCATTTCACCATGGTATCTTTCCCACTAAAAAAAAAAAGGCAAGGAGGAAAAATTGTATTAGGTCAAGTCATTAAACTCACAGGGAAATCAAGGGCTCGTTCACTGCTGTAAAAAGATAGTATACAGCAATATCTAAAGCTTCAATTCTACCTGACCTTTCTTAGGAGAAACAATGGATGTTAACTTTCCACATTATTCCTTTTTTGTGTGTGTGTGTGGTTGGTTGTGGGGCTTGATCTCAGGGCCTGGGCACTGTCCTTGAACTCTTTTGCTCAAAGCTAGTGGTCTACCACTTAAGCCGTAGCACCACTTCCCATTTCTGAGTAGCTAATTGGAGATACAAGTCTCATGGGGACTTTTTTGCCCACATTGGCTTCGAACTGAGATCCTCAGATCTCAGTCCCCTAAGTAGCTAGGTCCACACGATTGTTCTTATGCAAGAGGTCAGATGTATCCATATAGACACAAAGAAGATGCCGTACTCCAAGTACTAAAGAACACAGAATGTGATCCATCATGTCTCCCCCAACAGGTCCATCACCATGCCACTGACATTCTCTCAGCCTGCCTACCATGCAAGCATTTGAGACCTCCAGGCTCGCATGCCTAATGAAGCCTGAGTTTTGAAAATGCCCCTTCTGTGGTCTCTAAAATCTGGACTCCTCCAGATTTCTGTATGAGAGCCTGAGCTTCAGGTCTAGGTCCTGGCTTATCTTAAGCATTTCTCATCTGGTTTCTGTCCATTGCTGGTCCTTCACTCCATTCAATACAAATCAGAGAATGTCTACTTCTAAAATTCATAAGCTCAGCGTTCTCTAAAGAATCAAAACTAAGCTCTTAAAACCTCCCATGAACTGGTTCCAAATACAGTCCCTTCCTACCAAGTCTCATTGCTCTACCTCTTCACTAACATGACAGCTAATAAAATCCCCCTCATGAGCAAGCTGGGGAAAAAAAACATGGCATACAAAAATCCATCCCATAGCCAGCTGCCACTGGCTCATGCTTATAATCCTAGCTACTCAGGAGGTACAGTTCTGAGAATTTCAAGTTTGAAGCCAGCCCATGGGGCAGACAAATATGAGTCTTACTTAAACTACCAAAAAGCATGGAATGGAGGTTTGGCTTAAGTAGAAGAGTGCCAGCCTCAAATGGAAAAGCCAAGTGAGAGTTCAAGGCCCTAAGTTCAAGCCACAGTACCAGTATGCATGCGCAGGCAAGCATACACATGTACACACACACACACACACACACACACACACACACACACACACACACACACACACACACACACACACACACACACACACACACACACACACACACACACACACACACACACACACACACACAATCCATCCTATTGGTCCTACCTCACAATGTTATTTTTCCCACTCTATTTCCCAACCAATGACATACACAGAACTTTAGAGTCATTCTCTCACAGAACATGTTACATGCAGAGGACACACTAGTTACCTGCATTCTACCCCACAGGAACAAACTCATATCTGGAACAGTTTTCCTAACATTCCCGAATCATCGCTGTGGTTCCTGAGGGTTTTAGCCTTCTTAGAACTTCAATAGGGTAAACCCTATGTTTCCTTCCTTCCTTCCTCTTTTCCTTCCTTCCTTTTCTTCCTTCTATTCAGAAGGCCTATGAAGGACATCTCCCCTCAAAAGACAGGCTAAACACCTGTATTGAACAGCTAGTCTTCCCAACAGTGAAGGGATCCAGAAGACAGACAACTCTCATTTCTTAACAAGTGTGGTAAAAAGTGAAGGAACACGAAAAGTGACTATCAAAATTAAGAACAACAAATGATCAAAGGAAAACTAGATGGTGCAACTCTGGATAACTCTTTGATACTATATAAGCAGGACAGAAAAGAGGAGAGAAGGCCGGCGTGTGGGCCTGGGCATAGTGAGAACTTCATTAAACAATGAAGCGAGTTCCTCTTCAGAATGCTAGGGAATTTACCGAGAAGCAAACCGGAAATGAACCCATTGCTTCTTTACCTGGTAACTAGCAGATTCTTTTCTCGTAGGAACAGAGCTTGCGTGACAGCATCCTTGTGTCCCTTTAGGCGGTACAGGCCACTCTCATTGATCACATCCCACACAATAACATCTGTATCCTAAGGGAAAGAAATGATGCAGAGAATAGATTTTCTTTACTACAAAATCCTCATTCTTTTCTTTAGTGATATAGAGGTTTGAACTTGGAGCTGTACGCATGAAAGGCAAATGTTCCACCAGTCACATCTTCAGCCCTTTTGCACACTTTGCTTCTGGACCAAGTGCATGCCCAGACTGTGATCCTCCTATTTTAGGATCCTCACTGTAAAAGGGATAATAGGTATGTGCCACTGTACCCAGCCTCTTACACAGAGATGGAATCTTACAGACTTGGCAACCCTGGCTGGCCCAGAACAGTGAGCCTCCTAATCCCAGCCTGCCACACCGCTAGGATGACAGGCACGTGCCACTGCACCCAGCTACTGGTTGGGAAGGAATCTCATACACTTTTCTGCATGGGCATTCTGCAGTCATCCTAATCTTAAGCCTCCCAATTACAGGTGGAAGCCACAGGTACCAAGCAGAACTTAATAATTACAAGGGCAACACAAAGTCCTAGAAAACCTGCAAAGCATACAGAACATCAAAATGAATCCCATCATTCACAAGATACTTTGTTCTACATTGTTCTAGTCACACCTGTGCGGGTACAGAAGTATCTAACACTCACAGACCTGGGTTATTTTCACACCATTCTCCTAACTCTTTTTCTACCATCCACATACTATATCCTATTTTGAATCAGGAGAGTCCCAAGTTTCACCCAGCACTACGTGAACCAGTGTGAGCATAAGCCTTACATTCTTTCAATGCATCCAAATCAAGGCCCCTGTCCTTAAGTCTCACCTTGGACCCAGAAGCCAGTCTCCCTCCTAGCTGATCATACTTCAGAGTAGTGACAGCGGCTCTGTGTCCATTGAAGGTCACGTTCCCTTCCCCGCTGAGGAGACTAAAGATTCGGATGGAGCCATCCTCGTAGCCCACAGCTAAATGCAGCCCATCTGGGGAAGGGCACAAGCAAGTGACTTCCTGTTTAAGTCCCTGAAGGATGAGGATCTGTAAGTTCAGAAACAATGTGGAGAAGTTACACGTTATCAAGGGAAAAGTGTGGAGTGGAAGAATTAGGAACACTTTATAAAACTGAGAATATGACTAATTCCAAATCACTCTTGTGAATAATTGCACTCTATGCTCAGGAAATGGTAGAAGTATTTCCTCCAGAGCTCAACACTGGAATAATAAATGCAAAAATTACCCAGGCCATGAAATAAATTAGTAGGTCTTTAATTTGGGCTTACATCAAGTGATTTTCAGTACAGGGCTTATAAACCTCTCCTTGCTTTAACCAACCCCCATTATTAAGAAGAAATTTGCACAATACCGGAGTATTAGAATATTATGGTGGTTTTATCCGAGAGACTCCAGGTGACAGGCATCAAGATAATAACCCTTTTGGAGTTACATAGTGAATACATAAGTTTAAAATGCCTGGATTTTCCCACAGAAATGCTAAGCCTAAAAGCCTAGTTTTACAGCCTCTGGGCTTCACCTGTAGAAGAATACTGCTCTGTCTATTACAGCAATACTCCCTTTAAATGTCTTGATTAAATAAAAAATAAAAACCTGGCTGTGACAAGTTGAAGAACTTAAAAAACGGAATTGGTACAGAAAAACAAACATGTAAGGAATCAATAGGACTACAAACCGTGAGTGAACTATGGAAATCACTGCCCACGCCCCCCCCCCCAAAAAAAACCCAAAACACCTCAGAAGTAAACTCCTTTTTGGCTGTGATTTTCAGAATGTGGTGGTGAATACAACAGAATTGGACCCTTGGCCCCCTAGACTCATGCAGAGTAAGTCAAATTTCTCCCATTTTGCCTTTACATAAATGAATACCAACTTAACCGACTTCTGACTGACCTTCTCGCCTTTCCTTAAGTCCCAGATGAAAACATGTTCACAGGCTGGCACTGCCACATAGCGACCCTTCTCTCCACGAAGTGTCACAAAAACAATGTTACCCTTTTGACTGCCAATAAGGCCAAAGACTGCACTTGGCACATAACGCAGGTACTGTTTGGTGAGCCCCATGGTATGACGTCTGATAACACAGATGAGGCAATCTGTGGATATAAATGAAGAAAATCAGTTCTTGAGGTACCTTTGTTTCGATAGGCTAATAAACTCCAACTATCTTATAGGTAGTTAAAAGTATTTAATTTGTGGCTTCTTAACCTTTAGTTTACTCTGAATAGATCACTCACAAAAGTACCGGGATATGGCTATTTCTAAAAGTCACTGTTGACTTAACATGTAATCCCTCATTCGTCAAGCTTTAGGTTGTTTAGGTCATGCTGACATCATGAATAGCTGACTTTATAAATGCTTCTATGAAGCTACATAATTCACTTCTGTCCATTTAGATGCCATCAAATTCTGACACTGAGATGGATAGCCTAGGACTGGACATACTGACCATTGAGAAGAATCTATTGTGAGCCCACACATTAAATAGGCACTATGAATACACATTACTAAATAGGTACAAAATCCAACTCTTACGGCATTTGCCTTCTAGTTAGAGGTGTTTTTAAACTCCAGACTAGAGGCTGGGAAGGTGGCTCAGTGGTAGAACGCTTGCCTTGCATGCCTGAGGCCCTGAGTTCAATTCTTCAGCACCACATAAGCAAAAAGAAAAAAGCCGGAAGTGGTGCTGTGGCTCAAGTGGTAGAGCGCTAGCCTTGAGCTAAAGAGCTGAGGGACAGCGCCCAGGCCCAGAGTTCAGGCCCCACAACTGGACCCAAAAAAAATAAAAATAAAAATAAATAAACTCCAGACTATCCAAGTCAGCTACAGGACTTACAAAACACTGTAGGGGACTACCTCACCCCATCTCCCTGGCACCTCAGACTCATTCACCAAGTCTATGAAACTGTCTCAGGAAGGGAGTCAGGAGAGTAGTAGTGCAGTGAAACTATTGGAATATATTGTAAACACATGAAAGAAAGGTAACGATGAAATTCTCCCCTTTATAACTAGTGTACAGGAAGAAAACTAAAGAACACAGAAGTCTTGGGAGAGTTTTATCGTTGTCAGCTTTTATGTTTGTTGGGTTTAACTATACTGAGTCTATTTTTTTGGGGGGTGGGGGAAAAGTTGGCCTGGACACTGTCCCTGACCTGACAGCTGCTTTTGCTCAAGGATCCAGTTCTACCACTTGAGTCACAGTACCACTTCCAGCTTTTTCTGAGTTTTATTGGAGATAAGTCTCACAGACTTTGCAGCCCCAGCTGGTGTCAAACAGCAATCCTTAGATCCCACCTCCTGAATAGTAATGATTACAGGCATGAGCCACCCACCAGCACCCAGTTTACTGAATCTGTTTTGTTATTATCAGTACCAGGGTGTGAATTCAGAGCCTCAAAACCTGATGGCTCGAAAAGTTCATGAGACTCTTATTTCCAACTAAACAGCAAAATGCTGGAAGTGGAAGTGTGGCTCAAGTGGTAGAGGGCCATTCTTGAGCAAAAAGTCAAGCAAGAATAGGAGGCCTTGAGGTTCAAACCCCAGTACCACTGCAGACATGCACGCCTGCACACATATACACAATACTGGTCTAACAACCCAGTAATAAAGAGATGCATCTGATAGTTCTGGAAAGAGATAAGGAGATCCTACTTCAGAGAAACAATCGGATTAAGTGAGCCGACATAGGAATGGTTAAAAAGTAATTGTGGAGTTAAGACAGGCTGCTGCTGCTCTACCACTGAGCCACATTTTGCCAGTTTTGTCACCCAAAGCCAATTAACCCTGACCAGGTGACTAATTCTTGCCCAATGCTCCTCTAATTATGTTAGTAACTGTCATCGCTATGTTCTTGGACACAATTTTCTGTGGAGAACTCCCAGAGTAGGCGGAAGCAGAGGCTCGGGGCTCCTGTTACCTCTAGTTCTGGTCTTAACCCTTACCAATTAGAGTTCCACATACGTATTGGACACACCCACTGAATACCCTGCAGGTTCACTTTTAACAGCTCTGTTTGAGAAATCTTGTTTTCCTAAACGTGTCTCACTCCCCCCTACGCCACTCCCACCCCCTCCCCCCGTTCTAAGACACACAAGTTTCCTAGCTATTCAGGCTCAAAACTCTGTACTAGTTTTGAACTCATTCGTATAAATAAGTAAACAATACCAGTAATGCTTGGCCAAATGGACTAAGGTACTGGAGATGATGTTAGTACACGCTCTCGGACATCACCCCCCACGGGAATAAAGCAGGTGACTATTCTTATCCCCACTTTACCGTAAGAGTACCACCGCGTCTAAGCTGGGTCTCAGCGTGCGGGGCACCCCGGACACCACCCAGCACCCGCGCCGCCAGGACCAGCGGCTCCACCGCGCACGCGCCAATCCCCAGGGCCGCACGCGGACCCCGGAACACGGCTGTGGGGACGCCCGGGGCCAGTCATCCCGCTTCTCCCCACTTAGGGACGGGCTGCAGACGCCCTCGAGTCCCGTCTGCTGCTGCCCCACTAGGCCTCACCACGAGCCCCGGAGCAGAGGCGCCCGCGCACCCCGGACTCACCTCCGCCTCCACGAGGCGCAGCCGAAAGCACCCCTCTCCGGCCCCGCCTTTTCCGGTCCGCCCGGGGAGCCTCTTCCGCCCGAAGTTTCCTTTGCCTTCGAATCGGAAGTGGCGAAAGGGCGCGCGCTCTGATTGGTCCGCGGTGTCTGGGAGCGGAAGTCAGCGTTTCGGAGCGCCCGGCGTAGGTCTCTTCCACCCTGAGGAGACTCGGGGGCTGCTCTGCCCGGGCGGGTGACGGCTGTGAGGAGATGGTACTCTGTCGGCTTCTGTCAGGAGCGTAGCCCGCGCTGCCGCCGCCCAGATGGAACCGCCCGAGAGCTGTGAGAGGCGGGACGGGGGGCCTGCGGGGCGGAGCGCGCCTTCTGGGGCTGCGGGCCGGGGTGCGCGGGGCTCGGCCCGGGGCGGGGTGGAAGGGGAGGCGGTGCGGGGCTCGGCCCGGGGCGGGGTGGAAGGGGAGGCGGTGCGGGGCTCGGCCCGGGGCGGGGTGTGGGGAGGCGGTGCGGGGCTCGGCCCGGGGCGGGGGTGGAAGGGGAGGCGGTGCGGGGCTCGGCCCGGGGCGGGGTGGAAGGGGAGACGGTGCGGGGCTCGGCCCGGGCGGGGTAGGGGGAGGCGGTGCGGGGCTCGGCCCGGGAGGAAGGGGGGGAGGCGGTGCGGGGCTCGGCCTGGGGCGGGGTGTGGGGAGGCGGTGCGGGGCTCGGCCGGGGCGCGGGGGAGAGGGAGGCGGTGCGGGGCTCGGCCCGGGGCGGGGTGGGGGGAGGCGGTGCGGGGCTCGGCCTGGGGAGGCGGCGCGGGCGCGGGCAGGGAAGTCAGGCCTCCTGCTGCGGTTGCAGTCCTCCGTCCCAAGCCCCCCCCCCCCCCCCCCCCCCCCCCCGTCACCGCCCCTGCGGAGCCGCCGCTGCACGGCTGGGTGATCGGCGCCGGGCGGGAGCGGGCCTCGGTCGAGCGAGCACAGAATGCTGAGTGGTCCGGATCCCCGCAGTCCGGGGTGACATTGGCCGGGCTGTGTGTTTGCCACCCTTGGCCTCCGGAGAGGAGGTGCCTGGAGTCGGGGCCCTCCTGCGGGTGCGGCGGCCCGGTGGGAATGGGCGTTTCTCCGCTTGCAGCCCTTTTATCCTTAGGTTGCAGGCAAGTTTTAGGAGTGAGTTCTGACGGCTCTCAGTGAATTAAAGCTGACCTGGAACTAGAAAAGAAGTATGCCCTCACCATGCAAGCCAGCCTAGGAATTAGAAGTGTCTGCATTTGTCGTGTTTTTAAGACGTTCAGGTAACCTTCCAAATACAAGAACACTGTAACAGGAATGATGGATGAGACTGGAAAGCTGCTGTAGCTTTAGAACCCAGCTTGCTGTAGGGGAGCCAGTGGTTCGCGCTTGTCATCCCTTCTACTCAGTGGGCTGAGATCTGAGGTCGCCCTTCAAAGCCAGTTAGATCTGAGATTCTTGTCACCAATTAATCAGCAAAAAACAAGTGGAGGTGTGACTCAAGTTGTAGAGCACCAGCTTTGAGCAGAAAAAAAAACAAGGGAGAACTCAAGAAGACTTTGAGTTCAAGCCTCAGTTCCAGCACCAAAAACAATAATAGTAGTAATAATAGCAGTGAGATCGCTGGGAGGAATGAGATCTTAGAAAAGGAACTGTGGCAACCAGACAATTATTTCAGGGATTCTAGCAGGGAGGAGAGCATTTTTGATGGGTGCGTGTGGTTAATGACACCTATAGTTCCTCTGCATCATCTTGATCTGGGTGGGGGGAAAGGTGGGAACCATTCCTCAGTGGAAAGCTGTAGTTTAGATTCTAGTGATACCTCCTTGGAGTATTTACTTCTAAGAAAGCTATCTTACAACTGTGTAAACTATGGATAGCTGATGTCAATCATAAATGATGTTTGCAAGTTGTCTCTTGGAGATTCCATGGGAGCTTTTGCCTGTTTTTGGACATTTTATTTCAATATTCCTCATCTGTTAATATGACTTCTGTGATTGACTCTATATACCACCGCCAGGTTGCTTTTTGAAACAAGTGAAATTTGGGGGGGGAGGAAGGTGGATGGATGGTGGTACTGGAGCTGAACTCTGGGCCTAAGCACTGTCCCTTACCTTTATTACTCAACACTGGTGCTTTACCACTTGGGCCATGCCTCCACTTCTGGCTTTTTTTTCTCCCCTCTCCCCCCTCCTTGGAAATGCACCTCTCACATCTCAGTCTCCTTAACAGCTAAGATTACAAATGTGAGCCACCAGCTTAGGCTGAAGCAAGTGAAATCCTGATCCTCTTCATTTTTGTATTCAAATGAGTCAGTCTTTAAAAAACTTAACATTATTAAAAATTATTAGAAGGAAAGTGGCGCTGTGGCTCAAGCGGTAGAGAGCTCGCCTTGAGCTGAAGAGCTGAAGGACAGACAGCACCCAGGCCCAGAGTTCAAGCCCCACGATCGACAAAAAAAAAAAAAAAATAGAAGGAACAACCACAGATGGAAAATGTTTGTGAGTTAATACCTCCTATAAAATTCCTTTACATGCTACTTCAAGGATACCCCTACTTACTAGAATTTCAGATCATTCAGTGCTTTAAATGTTACCATTGAAACTTAGTGCCATTTTTTTAATATGTTAATATATAACCAATATTGCTGATTTACTATGAGGGCATGTGCTGTAGGAGTTTTTGAATGATAATTTAAAATATGACCTAGTCCATTGATGGGTCCTAGAAATCATTTTATAATACTATATTTATTGTGAACACATTGTACCATTTCAGTTAGTATTTTTGTATCTGGGCAACTTTTTTTTAAGTGCCATTAAGATAATTTAAAAAAAAATTTTTTTTACTGGTTTATACCAGTTGTCAGGGTTTTCATTGTTAAGTTTCCACACATTTACACTGTAGGTCAATGTTTCAACCTCTCTATCACAGAACCTCCCTTCTAAGAAATAGTGGGTTTCCTTGTTCTATTTTCATAGTTTCAAATAGTCTCTTTTGACAGTATTTCATCTTCTTTATCTTCTCTCCCCTGAGCACAACTTATTTCATCCCCCTATCAGTCATCAGTTTTTCTTGAGTTTCTCTGTGCTGTGCTTGTGATGTGTTACACAGATACTCTTCTTTATGATTCTTGAGTGCCCTGAATCTCTTAATATACTCTGAACTTCTAAATATTTAAATTCAAAGACATAAATAATGTCAAGCCTGTAATTTGTGCAGTGAAGTAGAGCTGGTACTTCTTTGGAAACAAGATGCATAGACCAGCTCTATGTATTTTTTTTCTAGCTCTATGTATTTTTATCTAGGCTTATCAAGAGCATTTTGAAGAATAATAAGTCAAAAGGTCTAATTTTTCCTTTTAAATGATAATAGTTTCTTTTTACACACACACACAGACTTTTTTTTGACAGTGATGCAAAGTGTTCTGCCTAATTCTGTCTAGTCTTGAACAATAAAATCTGTTCTAACCATTCTACTTAATCATGTAAAGCAATATTTAAAGAACTTCTTAAACTAGAAGATGACAGAATGTGGGTAAAAAAGAAGCTACAAAGAATTGTTTAGATTGTATCATTTGAATTGTGAGGAATATATAAATGAAGATCATACAGTGCTCCATTTGCTTTCCTGTCTTTGGGTATGTTCTCTGCCACTAAAGTACTAAGAAAGTATGGCTAAGGGAAATGAATCTGAACCATATTGAAACCTGTTTGTGTCCCATGGAGACTTTTGATCCTAGGACATTACTAGGCTTCTGCAGACTGTTTTAAAGTTCGATGTGTATTTGTGGATTTGTTCAAAGTACGAGACTGATAAGTTCATTTTCAGCAGAAAGTCTTGTTACTCTTTAATCTTATCCAAATTCCAGCTTCCCCTCCCATAACCTCACTTGAGTTCTCTGTAACATTCCTTCTGTCCAGTCTTAATCTAAGACATCATCTCAGATCTGTTTGCAAATCTCTGCTTGTATGAGCTCACACACACACATTTTGTGGATGAAAAGTATCTATTTTCCGCAGGATTCTTAGACTGGCCTGTGACCCTAAGTCAGGAGCCCCTTCCTGAATCCCTGCATGTGTGTGCACACAGTGTAAATTTATTTTTTAGTAAGAAAAATCAATTTCTGGGGCTGGGAAGGTGGCTCAGTGGTAGAGCGCTTGCCTTGCATGCACGAGGCCCTGGGTTCGATTCCTCAGCACCACATAAGCAGGGGGAAAAAAGCCTGAAGTGGCACTGTGGCTCAAGTGGTAGAGCGCTAGCCTTGAACTGAAGAGCTGAGGGACAGCGCCCAGGCCCAGAGTTCAGGCCCCACGACCGGACCCAAAAAAAGAAAAATCAATTTCTTTATATGGATGGAACTGCAAAAGAATGCAACCCTTATTGAATACAGGACTCTGTCCATAAAATGCCATTCAACTTTGCTCTTCCACAGAAACTGTGAACATTACTCACTTAACACCTATTGTCTTGTGAGCCACAATGATCCACCCACAGGTACTGACCAGAATATGATTCAAGACACAGGAGAACACCGGACTTATGTCAAAGAAAGTAATAGAATTTTGAGGAGGAAATGATAACTTTTTTACAGGCAGCTAAGATTTGAGTATTCCTTGGATTTGGGAAAGTTTCTATTGACCCTGAAAGTTTAAGAATTGTACTAGAAGCAGTTAGCAAAAGCAAAACTTCAGGAAGTTGGTTAAATGGAAGAAGAGGAAGTAGAACAGTAAAAGCATGTTATGGGGGGGGGGGACTGGAAAAACAAGGGAAAAAATGAATACTAATAGTTCCCCTCTATAATCCTAGCTGCTCAGGCCTCTGAGATCCCAGGATCGCAGTTCAAACCCAGTCTAGGCAGAAAGGTTTGAGACTCTTAATCTTTAAGTAACCACCAGAAATCTGAAAATGTTGCTGTGGGTTCAAGGAAGAGTTCCTTTCTCTGGACTCCTCAAGTCTTGAGCCTGTCTTCTTCAGAGAGACATAAAATATGCAATAAGTCATAATAGCTTTAAATATTCTATTGAGGTCACACAGCCTTGTTTGTGCAATATCCTATTGGCTATATATGCCAGCCCTATTCCTTGTACAAGGGCATAAGTGCCAG